ATTATACATATAATATTTACTGAAATTAAATAAATATGTATGTCTAACTAGCTAGTATGTATGCCTAACATGTTCCCATCCCTATTGACGCACACATATAATAATGCATTATGTTATGAAACAAACTAAATATAAAATAATACAAAAGTGAAGTAAATGTTGTCAGTGCACTCATTCTCAGCCAATCACAAGACGTTCTGCGGGTGACGTGCAGGTCGCGCAGGCGCAGTCTACTTTCCTTTTTGGCAGCAACAACAACACCGCACTGAGCGGATCAGTCAGGTTCGCCCCACCGCCCCGAGCTGTAACCGGGGTCCGGGCGACGGGGAACATGCTCCAGCGGGAAAGCAACAGCACCCGGGGAGACGTATGACAGTAGCAAAATATGGCCCTCTGTTCGCACAGGTTTCCGAGCGAGCGACGTCTTATAAACGAGTGATCCAGCCGTGTAAGTAAAGCGAGATTTGGCGTTGTCCTGCTGCTGTAGGGTAGATAGATCTGAGGTTTGCTAGCGGCTGTGCAGCCGAGAAGGTAGCTTTTCCAGGGTGGTAACCCTTTCTTAGGGAACCCTTATTGTATTCACCTGTATTATATTTTAGATAATTGCTTATTACACGCGACATCTTCCCAAATTGGGTTAGTATTATAGGACAATTTGCTATAGACTTGTGGAGTGTATTGAACAAAGAAGCTTTACGTGGGGCCGCATGGACTGAACATGCAGAGAAGTCAGTGGGTGTTTGTTTTGTGCTCTGTTTCGTGCTGACACACTTTTTCAGGATAACCACATGAGGTCTGACCTGGATATTTAGCGCATATGCCGTGACCCAGCTAATTTTGGCAAAAATCATCCAAACTGTGTCATGGTACAGAGTACTTGGGACTTTATTATGAAGTTTCTCCCCTCAGTGTACCCCAACTTGACTTTGCAATTAACAGTTATCATAATGTCTACTAAAGACCCACTATTATTTGAAGCGTTGACTTGATTCACTTATCTTAGTTACAGTATTTTTGCCTTTGAACTGATGAGCTTACTACTACCACCTCTGTATGCTTTGGTAAAGACTTGACCCCATTCAAAGCAGTCACCCAATACCACATTGTATTGTCCAGTTGCATTTGTTTCACTGATATTTGTCATTTTTGTAGCTATTGCCAAATAAGGAGTTTGCTGTTGTGCCTTACATAGGCCCAGTGTTTCCTCCAAGTAAAACTATAAAATATATAGCTGTAGTTGTAGAAGTAATTCATTAACACTATAAACTCTAGTAACTAGAAACATAAAGACTTATCTGGATTGATTATAAAACAACTGGAACAACATTTCAACAACCTCTGAACATAGGAGGATGGAAAAAAATCTCACTATTATTAGTCAGGCCAAACTGTCCATACTGTTGTTTATTAGTTTTTCAAGTTTTTAAATGTTTATTTCCCTTTTTGATGAGAAACTGCCTTAGTCTTGAGTTCAAACAAGATTTGTGTTTTTGCGGCAATGCTTGAGATTGTGAGTCACTTTTCATAATAATATTGCCAAGTGATTATGAAGGCCAGCTTTGTGTGAACCAATTTAATATATTTTTTCCATTCTTAAACTTTAAACATATGCATGTTTTTGATTTGGGTTAAGGCTAGCTGAGTCAACAAGTGATAAAAGTGTTCTTCTTACCACTTTATTTTGTGTGGTATTTAACAATTTTGGTAATTGTTGATAATTAATGCAGACGTCAGGAAAGGATTTTATGGGTCTATATTTTTTGTCCTTTTTTGTGAGAGAGACGTTCAGATAGGTCGGGAGAGCAATGAAGTGAAGTGGAAGTAAACAAGTGTGCACAAAACATGGAGCCAAACAGACTGACTGACCTATTAACCAAAGCCCCCTCTTTCACCCTGCCATTATTCACATGCTCCTCGGCATATCAGAACAAGCTAGTGTAACTGCTCACTATGATTTGGTAGCTCTGCTCTGTCAGTGTGAGTTTGCCCGTCTGAGTCTTGGTTCATCTTTGTGTAGTAAAAGGAGGGGAGGCAGGTTGCCATGTTATTCAAATGTTCCAGGGCCCGGCAAGCTTGAGAGGGACTACAGGCTAAAAGAGGCCCTTTGTGTGAGCCAGACAGATGGCCATAGAATGAAGACTGTAATGATACCCTCAACGGTCCATACTCTGCCATACAGGCTCCACTCATTAAGTATGTTGCATGTTGCTGAGAGTTTGTGTCAGACTGGGGAATAGATGTACAACTTATGTGCACAACATATTGATCATTTACTTGTTGCTGCTTAATATTTCATTAAATTATTTACAAAATATTCATGAAGCACAGTACATGAACTTCTTGATTTACTACTAATTTACCCCTTCATTTAACCTTGAATTGAACTAACCGGTCCGACTTTGCAATAATGCCGTTAATGCATCCATTGTTCACAGTATTGTTTATAAGCTCTAGATTTAAAAATATATATATTCTTAAGATAGCTTGAAGATTCTACTTCAACAACACCACAATTGGTACTTCAACTACGCACAAAAATCTCCAGAAAATATAATATTTTTAGAATGTAAAGCATATGCTTCAGTTAAATCACTTTAGTCCAAATCAAGAATGGAATGAAAAATAATTATTATATTTTTAAAAACAGTCTATTCTAAAATTCTAAAAATCTATTTAGATTATGACACTGTCCATGTTCAACCTATTTGCCATAACATAATTCTAATTCTTGTTAACTAAGAGAAAGTTATTGATTGTTCAGACAACATTCAGTTTTGAAATATTATCACCTGATTGTAAACATTTGTTATTCAAGTATTCAAAATTTTCCCCAAAAGCCAGCTGACTCTTACACCAGCAGTGGTTTTATTGACCATGTCTTTCATCAAGTCAGTGACCAATCGATGGTGTGGATATTATTAACCTTCCCTTTGCGCCTAGCCTCTTTATAATTTTCTCTCTTATCTCCTGTCTTTTCAGGTTCTTTCTTCAGTGTTCAGTTATCGCCCATTTCTTCAAAGATAACAGTTACTGCAGCTCCTAATCAATAAACAGTCTGATTAATATTGTCTACATCTTTCCTCTTTTGAATAATTTAGATTTTTTGTTTACTCTAAAGCTGTACAAATAGCATTCACAATACTCAACTAGAGAATCTCATGTTATTGACCTGATTTTGTGATAAAGTCATCCAATCGTGCAGCTTTAGCAACACAGCTGTAGCCTTTCTGTGTTATGACCCCTCTGTGTGCCATTTGGTTAGTCATTGCCTAGATTTTTTTATCAGCTAAGCACAATAGAGGGTAGCTAGTTTAACCTTGCTTTATAAAACTTTATAATCTAAAATTGTGGTTGTCCAGTGCATAAAGTTGACAACAGTTTGCATTGTTCATCAATCCATATTAAACCATTAACTGTATTATTTCATTTGTTGTGTTACTCAAAATGTTGATTTGATTATTTTTTCTTTTTTCCACAGGGCAGGAGAACATAGCGAACCATGTTGCTTTAAGTTTGGGCCTGTGTTTGGGGGAAGGCAGAGGGCCAGGCGGGCGGGCCGGCATTTGCCACAAAGGGCATCAGGCTTCCTTTGGCACATTTTGAAGCCATGGGCAACACAGCCACCAAGTTTCGTAAGGCTCTTGTGAGCGGGGACGAGGCTCTGGCCTGGCAGCTCTACGAGGGAAACCCACAGTTCAGGGACGGCCTTGACCCCAATGCATCGTATGGAGAGCAGTACCAGCACAACACAGCTCTGCACTACGTCTGCCGCCACGCCATGACACGAATACTCAGGTGAACATGGAGCAATATACCTGTGTAATCACATGCTCTATCTAATCACACTTGTCCTTGATGTAGATAAAATTGTTATGGGATTTAGAGGGCAAAGGAATTATTACAGCTGTAGCTTATTTTTTTATTACTCTTCTGGCAGTAGATGATTAGGTCAGCCTTGTAAATACATAATACACTTTATTGTATCCATTTACTTATGCTTCCTTATGTTTCTGTGTATAAACAGTACAGTAATACATTAAATATATTTCATGAAAAGATACTCAAAGACTCTTCAGCTAGCAGAACAAATTGGGTGTCATAAAATGTCTTAATAAAAAGGTCAAAATAATAAAATGCACAGACTCAAGTACGTCTCTGTGTACACCCCCCCCCCCCCGCAGTGATAATCAGACTGCTGGCTATATAACCACGACAGCTGAATCACTGACTCAATAGACTCCCTCCTCCCCACACGTTTCCCTATGCACTTTCCTACCATGATTAGAGGGGCCTCTCGCTGCTCTGTGCATCTGTGTGTGCACTTGTCTTCAAGCCGGGAATATGCAAGTCCACGTCTGCTTGTGAATCAATCGCCGTGCTATTTGTGTCCCTTCCTACTAACCTGTAATGGTCTGTAGAGGCGTGCTACAGGCAGCAAGCCTCTCCTGATAAGCATCTGAGGAAATGCTGCTTTGTTCAAACTACTTGAGTGGACAGACGCAGAAAAGAGAAACGACCAAGAAATCTCAGACAAAATAAAGCCCCAAAGGATGAGTGTGGGCAGCAAGATGCAGTCTGTTTTTCTGATTATTTTTAACATGTATCTGTTTCACATTCACTCCCTGGCTGCCTTTTAGTCATCTCTGTGGGTTGGAATTGGACCGAAATCCCATGAGAATGAATAACTGGGCGATCACAAGTTAGACCTATTAGCGTTCTGCACAAGGATGTAGGCCAGGAAATCTACCCAGACTGTTGTTTGTCTAAAGGAAGACAAATACCTTAAACAAACATAGAAAAGAGGCAGCTTTAATTGCATGGAAGTTCCCTTTAGCTGTGTGCTCTTGTGCAGTACTAGGCTTTGTATAAGGAAGTAGTTAGGTTTTGTTAATATTAAGGCCATCCATTCTGTGTTGTGTGTTTGGATGGAGGGGGTTAGTGGCTGAAGGAGGAATAATTAGTGATTATTGCAGTGCGGGTGAACTGGCAGTATCTGTCATTAAGGGAGGCTGCAGAGGATCGAGCCAACAGAAGAAGGTCAGGCGCAGCAGAGCAGTAGAAATACTGAAGCACTAATTCAACACTGTCCAAATCCAGCAGCAGCAGGCCAGTAATGGTAGAATTTTACCTTCGATTTTCTGTGCATTTACATTAGATAATTCTCAGATATGCTAATGTTTTCCTCTCAACAAATTCCAATTCAGTACATAAATTAATCATGACATGGAAAAATGTAGAGGAGGTAAAATGATTCCTGAGTGTGAGCAGAAGAGATTCTCATATGATGAGAAGGGCAGAAAATGCAGAGAGAAAATAGGAAAACTCAATGGAAGATCTGACAAAAAACAGAACACACAGAAGAAGTACAACCAGAGCCTGTCTCTAGGGCGACATGTCCATCCATCACTGTCTAATGGTGCGTTTAGATCCAACCGATAGCCAGATCCCATCCATTATGTCGGATGTGTTTACTGGAAATGCTTCATTTTCTTCCATCTTTACTTTTTGCTTTTCAGTAAGTATATTTTTTACAAAAAAATTTCAATTTTCTTTGCTTTGTTATATAGGTCTTTCCTGTTCAGCAAAGAGGGGAACCCCAACAAGCGAAATGTGCACAATGAGACATGCCTCCATGTGCTTTGCCAAGGCCCACAGATCCTGCTGCTGCCAGACGGGGCACTATCACCAAGACTTGCTCGGCCCCAGAGAGATGAGCAGCGGCGCACTGACTGCCTCCAGGTTCAGCCATTAAGACAAACAAGCTACTGTTGATTGAGTTTTGAAAGTTGATTAAATATGTTTGTGGGATTTCCCTGTGTAGATGATTCTGAGCTGGACAGGAGCCAGGCTGGAGGGGGGCCAATATGAAAAGGCCAATGTCAACGCCACTGACAACCACCACTGCACCTGCCTGCACTATGCTGCCGCCGCAGGCATGAGGAGCTGTGTGGAGGTGGGACTAGGGCAAATAAACCCTAATTATACGTGATCTTTTGATTACTTGTCCTCTCCTTATAGCTTATGCTTCTGTCTCGTGCTTTGTTTGTGCTGATGTAGCTGCTGATCCAGAATGAGGCAGACCTTTTTGTGGAAGATGAGGACAAGTTGACTCCGTGCGATCACGCCGAGCGGCACCACCACACGGACCTGGCTCTCAGCCTGGAGTCACAGATGGTTTTCTCGTCCTCATCTCAGCAGTCCAACACAGACACTCAAGCTGAAGGCAACCTGCTGCACTACAAAGAGGTGAAAGGACACAGACCTTATCGCATAGAGTTTCCTGGTGGCTTGATTTTGGAGAATAGTAGATGTGCTATTTGAAGTCATTTACATTATACTGACTGAAGCTGAAAATGCAAATGATCCCACTCGACCAGAAAGACCATGGCACACTGCCTGATTTGTGTATATTCATTTAGTTATGCGGCATGTTAGTTCTGCTGTCGGCGTGTGAGGGATGTTGACAGTGCACTTTATGTAAACCTCATAAAACATATAATACATCAGTTATGGAAAAAGCAGGTTAAACCCATTTTGTGAAGTCCCTTCATTTGAATGAATCCATTCCTCAGCTTTATTTCCTCCAGTTTCCTGAAACTTCCCTGCAGTGAAGGCATCAGTGCAGCTCTTCAGCTGCAGCTGCTGCCAACCGATAACAGTTTGACCTGCAGCCAAATCCCCTCAATGTCTCATGTTAACCCCTGTAACCACATTTCATTTGTTATGTCTTATTTTTATACTTCTTCCATTTAATCACAGTACTCTGTTTAGCATCTTTCTAAAATCTCTTCAGGTTTAAGTAGATATGACATTGTAAAGGACATCAAAAGGATCACTGGTGAATGACTTAAGGCTTGGTCTTGTAGGGACAGCCATCAGGCTAAATAAGTACATTTTGTCCTTGCAGCCTTTTGAGGGACTAAAGCTCCAGGACCTGCGTAAGCTGAAGGACATGCTGATTGTGGAAACGGCCGACATGCTTCAAGCCCCTCTGTTCACCGCCGAGGCCCTTCTCCGAGCTCATGGTCAGGATCATTATTTTGTTTCGCATTAAATTGAACACTGAATTGGTCGCTTTGTTAGATGCGCCTTGAGATTTGATGATGGTGAAACTATACTAGTTATGTATAAGATATATATCAGACTTTCTTCACATTTTGCATAGTGACTAATGTACCCGTAAGGTGTGCCTTATTTAGAGGTCTGCATAAGGTTCAGTAAGCAGTGGCCCTGTTGTGTTTGTCTCAGACTGGGACCGGGAGAAACTCCTGGAAGCCTGGATGTCTGATGCGGAAGCCTGCTGCCAGCGCTCTGGTGTGGCCATGCCCACTCCACCCCCGAGCGGATACAACGCCTGGGACACTCTGCCCTCTCCACGCACCCCAAGGACCCCGCGCTCCCCCCTCACCCTCACCCTCACTTCACCCACTGACAGCTGCCTCACCCCTGGAGATGAGAGCCTGGCTATGGTAGTACTCATCTTTTATTTATGTATTCGAGTTAATCTTTGAGAAACATTAGTTTGAATAATATTTCTTTTGACAAACAGATATTTCCAAAACAAAGTGCATGGCTGTCACAATATTTCTTTGCCTCCTTTGTAATCATTTTTAGCTGAGTCATGTTATGAAGTACTATAAGCCCATCTCCCACTGTTTCCATGCAACACTTGTAATTATAAATCCACTAATAATATTTGTCAGGGCAGAGTGTGCTCAGCCTTTGTCGTGGCTTATTGAGAAATAAGATTTGAGGCCTGACAGTATAATAACACTAACTCAAGTAAACAACAAATTGTATTTCTGAAAACAAGCTGTGATTTCTTAATGCCATAATGGACAACTTGTTTCTGCAGTGTGGGATCTGCCTTTGCTCGATCTCAGTCTTTGAGGACCCAGTAGACATGTCCTGTGGTCATGAATTCTGCAGAGCATGCTGGGAAGAGTAAGTCTATACACTAATACCAATGCAAAGTTTTTGGTAATGTCTATTCATCAAAATTACCTGTGTTTTAAGGTTTCTCAATGTCAAAATACAAGAAGGTGATGCACACAATATCTTCTGCCCGGCATATGAGTGTTATCAGTTGGTTCCAGTGCATGTGATTGAGAGTGTGGTGTCCAGAGAAATGGACCAGCGATATCTTCAATTTGACATAAAGGTTTGCACATTAAAATATTAAAGGACACTTATGCAAAATTTACTTTTTTGTTACCTTTTAACCATAGTATACTGCTATTCCCTCGTCAAAACATACTTGGATGTTATTGTTAATCAAAATTGTCCTCCTTGAGCTTTCAAAATGCTCTTTTTGCATTTTGCTTGAATTGAGTCCATAAGCCATTTCCGGCTCTGTGCTCAAATTGTGTTCACAATGAATGCATGACTATTAGGACAGTGCTCACAGGGCCTAAGGACTTCATTTATTTCTCATTGTTCATTCCTGTTGCTGACAGCAGAGGGGGCTCCAACACCTAAATGCCTAATTGGAAACAAGGCGTAGTTTTATTAAGTGTATTTTCCAAATGCAGACATTACAGGTTAGAAAATGTGAAATACTAATCTAAAGCATGTTTAAAAGGGAATTAAAGCCACAAGAACGTGTTCTATAAAGGTGTAAAATATTGAGGTGTAGACATCTATTGCCTTGGTCTACCAGTTTTCTGCAATTATGGGAAAATCTGAAGTAATGTATGTTTTAGGCTTTTGTGGAGAACAACCCCTCGATCCGCTGGTGTCCAGTGCCTCGCTGTGAGCGTGCCGTGCGACTGACCCGACCGGGCCCAGGGGACAACGATCCACACAGCTTCCCCCTGCTGCCGTCCCCCGCTGTGGACTGCGGCAAAGGGCACCTCTTCTGCTGGTACATCGCCTTCTATTTAGTTCATGTGCAGTCGAACTGTCATTAAAGCTAAACTTTAAGTAATTTATTTAACCAGTAGATGGCAAATGTGAAACCTGTCCCTCTCTCCCCGCTCACGTTCTGTCAGGCCAAAGCAGGACCACTATCAGACAGAAGCAATGCAAATAGCATCTAGTGGTATAATGTGAGAATACAACAGGGCTGGGCCTGCCAGTAAAATTACGGATGGTTACTTTTTCTTCTCATTTGTTTTCTGAGTCACTTTGAGTCACTCTTCATTATTAATGGCAGATGCTATCTCCTGTATCTGTACAGGGAGTGCCTTGGAGAGGCCCACGAGCCATGTGACTGTCAGATGTGGAGGAACTGGCTCCAGAAAGTCACTGAGATGAAGCCTGAGGAGCGTAAGTCTCAGTCATAGCCTATTAGCCATAGAACGCTGTCAATCAACCCCGTTGCTTAGTGTTATAGGAGCATTATTAATGTTCATATCTTGATTTATGTAGAGCAAATTAATTTGAGACCATTTTAAGACCAATATGATGAGCGTAACAGCAGCAGTTATTGAGAGAGGTGTTTTTCAACAGAAAGTGAATTGTTAGTTAGTTATGTCCATACATCTCAGCCTCCTGACCTTCTGGGAAATATTTTTGAGTGGCTGTACTTGTGACATTTTCTAAATATCTTCTGTAGTTGCAGGTGTGAGTGAGGCTTTTGAAGATGCTGCTAACTGCCTGTGGCTGTTGACCAACTCAAAACCCTGTGCCAACTGCAAGTCCCCCATTCAGAAGAATGAGGGCTGCAACCATATGCAGTGTGCCAAAGTATGTACATCAAAGTCATTAAGTCTTCAACATGATGACTACTTCATATTTTGTCTAATCACTGCTTTGTTTTGGTCTGCACCAGTGTAAGTATGATTTCTGTTGGATTTGTCTGGAAGAGTGGAAGAAGCACAGCTCGTCCACAGGAGGCTATTATCGCTGCACACGCTACGAAGTCATTCAGCAGCTTGAGGAGCAGTCCAAGGAGATGACTGTAGAAGTGAGGGCCCTGATCCTGCCATCTATATGCACATACAAAATATACTTACTGACATGGTAATGTGATGATGCTACCCTGTTTCAGGCTGAAAAAAAGCACAAAAGCTTTCAGGAACTGGACCGATTCATGCATTATTACACTCGCTTTAAGAACCATGAACACAGCTATAAGGTAAGGCCTGTGTTTAGGAATATCCACACAAATAAAAATCATGTAATCTGAGACCTAACAGCAATGCTCTATTTGATAGTTGGAGCAGAGACTTTTAAAAACAGCAAAAGAAAAGATGGAGCAACTAAGTAGAGCTTTTATCTGCCGTAAGTAATCAGAGCCAGAGTCTCTCATTTCCTTGATGATATATTGATGTTTTAGATAGTGTTAAACTCTTGTTAAAAACGTGACAGCACATTGCATTTGAAGCTTTTTGTAGAAGGATAAAATTGATCTGTGTTGTGATTGGCAGGAGAGGGCACTCCTCCTGACACCAGGTTCATAGAGGAAGGAGTGACAGAGCTGCTGAAGACGAGACGAGTGCTCAAGTGCTCATATCCGTATGGCTTTTTTCTGCAGCAGGGAAGCACCCAGAAGGAAATCTTTGAGCTCATGCAGGTAATGGCCATTCAGCATGTGGTTCAGTAAGGAGACAGATCAGGGTCATGCAGTGCCTGCGTTTTAGACTGATTTGGAGATGGTGGTTGAAGACTTGGCTCAGAAAGTCAACCGACCGTACCTGCGCACGCCCTGCCATAAAATTGTCAGTGCAACGCGTCTGGTACAGCAGAAGAGGCAGGAGTTTCTGGCATCTGTGGCCCGAGGAGTGGCTCCAAATGATTCTCCTGAACCTCCACGCAGAAAGTATGCTCTTAAATGTAAATGGCTAAATCCTACACTCCTAACGGACCTAGTTTTAACAGATTTAACTTTTCTCAGTTACCCGGGAGCATCGTGGGATTGGGAATACCTGGGTTTTGCCTCTCCTGAGGTAAAATATGCTGTAACAAATTATAGACACAGTGATTTTTTTTTTTTTTTTGTAGATGTCTGCATTGTTTGTTTTTAGATGGGCAGTCGGCACTCAGTCTTGGGAGCAGGAGACCAAAGAGATCGACATTCACAGGTAGCACACTTAGAGCTTTCTATGCAGGTGCAATAGCTACATTCACTTTTGTACAAACCTAAGTGTACAAAACATGATTTATTAAGCTCAGCGGAGCTTTGCGTTATTACAGTGTAACAAGTGGACTGTGTGCAGGATTTTGCTGACATTCAGTACCGGCGCAGACACCGGCCCCGCCGCAGAGGAGACATGCTGAGTCTGCACAGCCTCCGAAGCAGCAGCAACACTCCAGAGACCAGCCGCAGGAGCGACAACACAGGTGAGCCAGGGCATGATTGGAAAAGCCATAAATCTCCTCAGGTAAAATGTGTGATGTATGTTACTCTGCTACATTTTACCTTTGCTACATAGATGGTTTGGAGAGAGGTGAAGGGCGCAGACGTGTGCTGGGATCTCTGGATGAAGACGACCCCAACATCCTCTTGGCCATCCAGCTGTCCCTGCAGGACACCCGCAGAGAGAGGGGTCTGGAGGAGAGGCCCCCAGATCGAAGAGCCGCTTCTGCTGGAGAGTTGGTGGACCTTGCTCTACACTCCCTCAGCACAGATGCACCTTTGGGTGCTTCTACAAATGCACCTTTGGGCCCCAGAGGCTCATCCTTCCCCTTGTCTCTCCTGGACCCTCCTCAGCCCCCCAACAGGACCGATTCACAGCCCCCTGTCCCAAGCTCCATCCCACTCCCTCCTCCTCCCCCCTCCCTGAGCGCAGAGCTGCTAGAGCTGGGAGATAGCCTCTTAAAACTAACCAGTCTTTCCCATTCCTATGACCCCAACACACAGCGGCCATGGGCGTGCTCTCAGTCCATCTGTGGGCCTCCTTTCTCTATGGAGGCAAATCATAGTGACCCCACCCACCGAGCTGATCAGGACCACCTCAGTCTGACCGAACTCCACTATTGCCCCTCTAGTGGTTACTCTGAGCCTGAGCATAGTGCTCCCTCTGCACAGACGTCCACTCTCCTCGCCTCATCTGCCCCGGACCACCTGCCCTTACATGTCCCAAAGCTGGACAGCGCCTACTGCTCAGAGCCCCAGTCTGCCTCTGCCCCTCACTCAGAGCCCCAGCCGCCCACCCAGCTGTGCCTGCCTTCACCAGAGCCTGAACCAGAGCTGCTGCTCTCCCCAGTCATTCCTCCGGGGGGCCCTTTCACCCCCAGTGACCCTGAGAGCCTCCAGGCTCTGGACCCCACTGCCAGTGCCCAGCTGTTGGACAACATCATGGCCTGGTTTAACAACAACATCAACCCCCAGAACAACCCCCAGAGCCTGGCCCTGATCCCCTCACCTCCCACTACGGAGACTGATTCTTCTCCGGACACCCTCACAGAGACAGAGAGCGTGGCGTCCAGAGACACTGCACCTGTCCCGGCGCTCTGGCAGCCCCTGGAGGGTGAGCCAGTCCCTGGCACTGCCAGCCCTCGTCTGGAGCTGGAACACAGGGAGTCAGAGGGGAGTGCGGGGGGTACGCTGTCGCTGGACGAAGAGCACACACCCCCTCCCCCTCTGAGCTGTAGTCCCACTGCCCCACAGGATGAGTCCTCACCGGAGGAGTGGGAAGAGCAGGTGCACCTAGTTTGACAAAAGCTGAGACAGGACGATGTAGTTATGTCAAAAGCACTGATCACAAACCCCAGTGAAGCCTCTGAGTGGTTCATGTATTTTACTGTAATATCTAGAGAGGACTCGCTCTGCATACTTTGTCCAAATGATGTCATACTTTATTTTTAAGTGCTTTTGTCTGTTGTAAAAACAGACATTTTTGTTAAGTTATACAGATGATTAGTTTAATACATACATGAAAAAGCTACTGATATCATGCACATACAATGCTGCATATGTTTTGTTTGTAATAATTTATTCTCCATATTTATCTTTGTAGTTCAGGGTAAAGTTGTGGTGCTGTCCCTGCTAAACTCCAAACTTGCCTCATAAACACAATTGTTCTGTTAGCGACACACTGATACTGTTAGCCTGTGTGCAGCTCCTGGAGCCTGTTGAGCGTACTGTACAATCAGGGCCTGAAAGTGTTTGGACCTTCCCCCTACTCTGTGCCTCAACACTGGACCAGAGGACCTGCTCCTCACATTCAGAGCTGTTACTTTGAACAGGTCTGTGTGAAACAACACCTGAGGGAACGTGTTTCCATGAAGGCTTCCTGTTTGGTCCATCCTGCCACACTCCACATGCCAGTATTTAGATTTCTGTGCTTCACTAAACTATTGCTTTGGCTCAGTTTAAACCAAAACTATATTTCACAACACTACTCTTAGTTAAAAATTTTGTTAGTTATTTTTTTTCTGTGATTTTTGAAACACATTTCACTCTACTGTTGTACACTACTCTATGAAATACTGTGTATAATTCTGTACATGTATTTTGACTCAGTTTTGAGTACAACCGATACAGTATTTCTGTTTATACTCAAGATTGTGCAATGACAATATTTATGACAATTAAACAATTATTGAGCCAAAGCAATTTTTTAAATTATCAATAGAAAGTCTATGCTGACACATTTCCAGTTTGTCCTGATTTTAGTGATATTTCTACCACTACTGGCTGTTACTCTCGGTGATGTTAATAGTGTCAGTGAATGAAGTTTTACACTAATTAATCTTTTTGTCTTAATTTTTCATGGCAAGATGTATGTCCATGTGACATCACAATTATGTGTGCCTTTATTTTAATTTGTGTAATTAGTTATTGATTAGAGTCATTTAGGCATTTTACATTTCTTGGTCTGGAAAACATTACGTAATTACAGATTTTACAAAAAGTTAACGCTATTCAAGAAATATATTTTACTATAAATCTACCTTTATGTACAGTAGTGTTATCAGTCATTTAGTTTCTGGGGTTGCCATATAAGGTTTACTTTCTATCAACTACCTGTTTACAAAAATATTCAACACTGCCTGTAAGAAGGCTGATGGTAATACACTTGGCCAAAGGCAGTTTTGATATTAACATTATTAATGTTTCACAAATCCATCAATCATTCCTAGTGTTAAGGTTTAGTGGTGTCAGGGCAGTTTATTTAGTAAGGTGTTTACGGCATGTTTTAAAGAGGGCCAGTGCTGAAGTCATGGGCACTCAAGGTTTTATCTTTTCTTTTCTTCAATAAAAAAATACACAAGTGCTGACACTTGACCCAGAGCAAGTTACTGCAGACAGGACAGATCAACTTAAGCATGCTCTTAACATGTTCAAATGTTAAATGATGTATGGATTACTGTTTTGATGGGATTTGGTCCAGTGCCATTTAATTTATCTCAGATCAAATTGTTCATTTGACTGAATCTACAACCAACCAACATGACAGAGAACTGCACTCTTGCAGATCATACTTGATACATTCCCTATGGGTCTTGAGGCGCCTGATATGGCCAATAAATACTGTAAATGAAAAAGTCAGTGCAAAGTTTACCCTCAATAAAATGGACTGGAAGTATGTTGTGTCTTCCTTCTTCCTTTATCCAGTTTTGGGGCACCTTAAACCACATTATGTCCATATAATGAAAGTATATATACTTTATACATTTTAAAGTGTTGGTGAGTTCTTGAAGTAGTGTATCCTTTATTAAATTTGTATGTATATTATACTTTATTGACCCCGAAGGAAATTCAAGTTTTTCTGCAGCAAACTTGCACATTTGCTACAACAGTTACACTGCATTTCTCAGTTTCCTTTGAGTAACAGTTTAAGTGTAGTTTAACAGGAGGACTGGGCAGGTAGGTCAGACCCTGTGAAAGAGCCAAAAGTGTCCATCTATTTGCTGCAGCATCACAGCATCCAGGGGGAACCAGGTGAACACAACAAGAAAGGTCTTGTTTTTTCTCTGCTTAGGTGATTCAGTTGGTAATGAAATGGTTCATTCCTTCAAAGTGTTTCCTCTGAAAGGTCTTCTGCCGCATTTTGAGCCACATATAGTGTTAAAATTCTGTAGCATCTCAACTGTCCATAGCTAGCTCCTTAGTTAGCCTTTTGCAAAGTCTCCATGGATACGGGAAAAACAAACGGCTCATTTCACAAAGTCCAGCAATCCCTTACTTGTGTCCTTTGAACTGCACATGTTGCACTTCTTAGTTGGTTAAAATCTCCACCACTCTCACCAGTTGTCACCTACTCTGTTGCAATAGTTCAGGGCATTTTGACAAAAGTCGATACAACACCAATAATTATACACAATTCCTCAAGGGCCTATTAATTGTTTGATATTATTAAGTCCTTCCAAAATGAAATTAAGGAAAGAAAACTTTCTTTTTGTTGCTTTCAACACCTTACCAATAGGCGGCGCTGAAGGGATGGAAGGAAGGGATTTTTAATTGACGTCATTTTTCGGCGACATAAACGTACACCCAACAACAGCGGCCTGTGAACCACAGGAGAGCTGCAATTTTTCTCTTTTGGTGGAGGATTTGTCTTTAGTCCATCACCACTATGAAACTAGTTCGGTAAGTGCATTTAGGGTGAGCCTGATTGTTAAGAAAGATGCACAGAAATGTGATAGATTTTGCGATGCGTTTGGATGGAGTTGGATGTTTATAGATCAGGCGGGAACGGTTGAATGGGAACTAACCCGGACTGGATATGATTGTATTAACAGGCATTTTTCTTTTGGCAATGTTACATGTGAACGTTACAAAAAACTGCACCAAGCAGCATTTTGCAAAAAACAAACAAACAAACAAACAAAAAAAAAACTTATGTGCCTGCATTTTCGAATGGATGAGGAGGCGTCTTTGTTTTGGTGCTTCGGTCTCATAAGTAGCAATCGGCTGGCTAATGCTAGCTGTTCCCATTTGTGTCATTTTTCTTTGCAGGTTTACAATTCAGGACGACGCACAGCAGGTCACGATTAAGACTACAATAAATGTTAAATGTTTTCTTTGTCATCTACAGGTTTTTGATGAAACTCAGTCACGAGACGGTTACAATTGAGCTTAAAAATGGCACCCAGGTCCATGGCACCATCACAGGTAAGTTCTGAATGTGAAATATAGGCCAAGCTACCCTGAAGTATTTAATTATTGGCGTTAGTGCTCTTTGTAGGACCTGTGTAAGATAATGGCAAATTACCATCTTTCTAAAAAAAAAATTTTCGAGTTATGATACATTTGTGCCAACTCTTCGTGTAACCACAGACTAAAACTGCTCAATCTGTAAGTTAATTATATATATATATATATATATATATATATATATATATATATATATATATATATATAGTGTATGTATAAATACACATATATATTTTTTTAAAGGGGGGTGGGGGGGTCCTAACTGTAACCTGCACATTGCCATTATAGTTTGTTTAAATGCATATTATCTGTAGTGTTATGTTCATCAAAACTTTTAAGAGACAATAAAAGCTGCATAAAACATACTGACCTACTGATGCATGAGGATAATGTAATTTTATTTCACAGAATTGATTGTTTTTCAAGTATACTCATGATATTTCTCACTCATTTTCAAAGGTGTTGATGTGAGTATGAACACCCATCTGAAGGCTGTCAAAATGACCCTGAAAAACCGGGAGCCGACTCAACTGGAATCACTTAGTATCCGTGGCAACAATATTCGATATTTTATTTTGCCAGACAGCCTGCCTCTGGACACCCTGCTGGTCGACATTGAGCCTAAAATCAAGTCTAAGAAGAGGGAAGCAGGTGGGTGATGAGCTATATTAAATAAATGCAACAGCTAAACCTACAGTTCACACATTGAAAGTGTTAAGGGCCACAGACCATTTACAATTGGCCATCCAGACCTCGTCGTATTCACACGTCATCTAGATGCTACTTGCATTACTGCGGTCTGGCAGAAGAACACCGTAACCTGCCCACTGTAGTGAGTCCAACACTGTAAATGCAAAACAGTGAGCAACGCCATAGACCGTGTGAGATATAAGTTACAGTCTTTAGCAACGTGCACAGCTCTGCATGGGAAAAGTCATGGGAAAAGTTGTGGTAAATGCATTTGACCTGCAGGTGCAGCTGGAGTTTGAATTATCTGAAATGCAACTTAGACAAACTTTATTGGCCCACAAGGGAAATTTTTAGGACATGGTAGCTCAATATATTATAATAACAATGAGAAATTTTAAATAGTAATAATAAGTTCAAAATAAGTAGCAAAAATGGCAAGAGACTGGTGTCAAATAAGTCATAATTATAAAAATGTATATGTACAGGGTATAATACAAATAGAGAAATAGTAATACAGATATATCTTTGCTATGTACAAGAGGTTGCGTAGAAAAACAGTGCGAAGATGATATGATGATTGACAGAATGTAGTTATCTATTACATGAGGGCGAGTTGTTGTTTAGCTGTAGTCTTTTGGTTTGTTCTCTAATTTCTGCCACAAGTGATTTTTGTATTTTTAAAACGTTGCTTTGCAATAAGTGCCAGGGAAGTTTAAAGATGGCCATTTAAAACATTCAAAAATCAAATAAACTTATATTTTACAAGGCTATCATCATTTTGCAAATTAGTATTTTATGTTTTTGTGCAGTAAATAACTACTGAAAATTTATACAATTTATGTACAATCTACTCATGAGAAAAAAAATCTAATAATTTATTGACATTTCTAATTTTGGCTTTTTCAGTGGCAGGCCGTGGTCGAGGCAGGGGCCGAGGCCGTGGGAGAGGCCGTGGAAGAGGCAGAGGTGGTCCGAGGAGATGAGCCACTAAAGCTGCGTGTACAGGATTTTTGTTTAATTTTGCAGAGACAAGGTTTTGTGAATTTAATTGTTTTGTACATTAAAGTGCTCAAAATGTAAATGAAGTTGAGCTTGTGTGTTATTGCTGCACAATTTTTCTTTATTCTTTTGTTTACAGTTTATATCAAACAGTTCAATAAAACCTTACCTTTTTTTTCTTGTATACCCTCATTAGAAAATGATATTTGGACTAACCTTTTAAGAAACATAAATTTATATGAAAACCTGTACTCTCACATGCTTTTTTTGGGAGAGGGGGGGCATTATGTAATATGCTCGTAGTCACTTCAAAATATTTTTTTTTCCCAGTTGGGAGGGAAACTTTTAAGGTATGGGCTCCTTTAAACAAATGATTCTATAAGCTCAGTTTGTACCGTATATAAAGCCCATGTCCATGAATATTGAATTAACCAACAGTCCCATTAGTTCCCGTTCTAGTCTAAAAGGGAGAGGAGAATGTGCACTGGCTAATTTTATGTTTAAAAAGCCTGACTGATGAAAAAAATTATCATTTGTAACTCAAATCTGGGAAAGGGGGTCTTTTATTTGGAAGGGTGATTTTTTTTTCAAGATATGAAAATAGAGAACACATAACAAATGGTATAAATTCTTCAACTTTTAAAACTAAAGCTTAAATCACTTGTTTTTGTTGAGTCACTATAAGGTTGCATACAGTTAAAAATTACGTAATTTGAACTGTATTGAAGAACTGAATCGAGCAGCTGCCACAACAAGACCCAGCCTGCTGAGAACACAAGACCCTGGCGGCACTGTAAAGGTGAACTGTTCACCTCTGCGCCTGTTGAGTTTTTTTTTTTTTTTTTTTTTCCCTACAGTGGTATTTTACGGACAACGCGCGGTAAAGATTTTGCTTCTCAGTTCAATTAAATTCATTCTGATTTTCAAAGCACTTCCGGTATGAAAAGTCAACAAGCGGAAGCGGTACGTTGTATTTAGTTTGGGAGCAAACAGCTGACCGTCATTGTACAACGTAGTCACAAGTGCAGGTTGTACGGTCCATTCATTTTATTATTTATGTATTTATTTTTATGTATTTTTATTTATTTATTTATTTTTGACAGATCTGATCTTGCTCCAGTTTGAGAAAATGTCTAGTAATGATGACGGGCACTTTTCATATTTTGCGTTTGGAAGCAATATGTTAAAGCAAAGACTTCAGTTTAAAAATCCCTCGGCAACATTTTATAGTACTGGACGACTCAAGGTAAACAATCTGAAAATATCTCTTATTTATGTACAAGATTCCTTATGTTAGATGCCGTTACGTCGATTTATCCTGAAATTAAACCGTTCACAAATTAAAATATGATTGTTCTCACGCATAATATGAGCACTAATGATGCCTCTTCTGTGTCATTGAATCTGTTCATTTTTATTTTGTGCACAGGACTATGAACTCAAATTCGGCTACTGGAGAGTTGGTGTGACATCGGCTTGGAAAGGTGCGGCAGCCACCATCGAGTACTGTCCAGGTGCTGAAGTCTGGGGAGTCATCTGGACCATGAGCAACAGCAATCTGTCATCACTTGACAAGTGAGACACGTAGTTTTGTTATAACATGTTGAGGATCGTGTTGTCTTCATTAAATCTAGCCAATAACATCTCTAATTTCTCTAATAGTCAAGAAGGGGTGCAAAGAGGGATTTACTCGCCTTTGGAGGTGAGTGTGGAGACGGAGCATGGGCCAATACTTTGCAGGACCTACCAGATGAATAATTTAATCGTAGACCTCCCTTCACCCCAGTATAAAAAGGTAAATCCCAGGTCTAGCATTTGCTTTGTCCGTAACAAATACATTTCATACAGACATAGTATTACCATATTGTAGTCCGTGTTCCCATGTACTACTCTACCCCTCAAAAAGAAATTCTAATGGTTTATATTTTGCAGTATTGTCCAATGTAATAAGGATGTGCTTTGCAGCGGTCTACGTTTGTTTGAAATTTCAACATGGCCGTTATCTGACTCTATATGCTGCTTTTTAACAATACTTCATTTGTTTGCACTGCTAGTTTTTGTTTTCGTTTTTCAGTCTATCGTGTGAAACATATCTATTCTATAACTTATTCTATATCTGCACCATATTGCTAAGGTATTCCAAGTTTTGTGAAGTTTATTCCTTGATAATGCCAATAAAACCTTTTCTAATTGTGATTTTAGGTTGTGTGTTTGGGGGCGGAGGAGAATGGACTTCCAACAGAGTACCTCAACAAACTTAAAAGTATTGAAACGAACGGCTACAGTGGCCCCTCCTTACTAGATCAGCTGAAAATATAAATTAGACCAGAATGTTTATGTAAATGTAAAACGGTTTTACAAGTTAATTACTGGTTAAACAGAAGTCATGTGACTCATTGTATTTAACCGGGGGACAAAAATAAAATGAATCCAACAACTTATTTTCTACTTTCATCCCAAGTGTTAAAATGACATTCAAGATTTTGGTGTGCTCCATGTAACACAAATTGAAGCTTTTTATCTTTAACTTCACCTTGATATAGAAAAACTACTTCTCAGCTTTAGCATGCTTGCAATTTAAATTTGCTCTGGGTCATTTACAATTAGAAAACAATTTTATTTAACCATACATATTTGCCTTAACCAGGTTTCCACATAGCAATGCTTTATGAAATAGAGTAAGAAATATAGTACAAAACATGTGAGGACAATAAGATATCTCAGGAATTTAAAACACTTTCTACCTTTAGTACTTTTTATAAGACACTGAAAATGCACACTTTACAACATCTTCAATATGGTAATTGACAGAACAATGTCATGCAAGCATGGTCAGAGAAAAGCAGTAACCAGACACTCATGAACTGCTTTAATAATGTTACATTCTTATGGCCTTTTACATGGCACCGTCAACATATTGAAACACACTGAAAATATATCTCCTATGATGAATGTAATGTATTTCAATGTCAGGGGAGGAAGTGGCAATAAACAATCCAATGCACATTAATGGTGTAAAGGTAAAAATGACTATCCTAGATTTGAAACAGGAAACATAAATACATGTTAATTTAAAAAGTGCAGCAGCAGGAATCAGTGCTTTAGTGAAGATTCTATGGTGGGGTGAGGCTGTACCCTGTACCCTTAAGATACGTAATCTTGTTGACATTAAAGAAAAGAAATCCAGACTAATGTGGGGAAAAACTAAACCTCACTGTCAAGTTGATGTGCAATATACCATTATCTATATGAAATGTAAAATGTGGCACAGTTCTATTCTTTACTGTGTAACAAACATATGGACATATAAGGCCATTCATATTTTTTTTAAATCTCTTTTTCATCTTCTGATAGTGGCTGCGCCGCTTCCACTGGTTGCGCCGCTTCCACTGGTTGCGCCGCTTCCACTGGTTGCGCCGCTTCCACTGGTTGCGCCGCTTCCACTGGCTGCGCCGCTTCCACTGGCTGCGCCGCTTCCACTGGCTGCGCCGCTTCCACTGGCTGCGCCGCTTCCACTGGCTGCTCCGGTGATTTTGTCTCCTCCTCGTTCTGGTCCTCCATGTGCTCCTCATCAGTGTCTTGCTCGGTTTGGTCCGAGGTTTCTGGGGGCTTCTGTTCAGGAATGTCCAGGTTGTGTTTGATTTTGTTCAGCTCCGCCATGTTAAAGCCAAGGAGTATAGCTGCTCTATTGTTCTTAATGTTCTTCATACACTTCGTACGGCGTGCACTAAAAATGGCTGCTAGCTCTGGTTTTGTGAAAGACAGCCTTTTGCACAGCTCCTCAGTCTCTGCTTTTGTCGCATATGGATTACAGTTGAAATATTTGGTACAAAATAGTCGCCGTTCCTCTTCACTGCGGCGCTCCATTGGTGTAGGCTCCAATGCCAGCTTCACAGTGGGATTGACCTGAGGTTCAAGAGGAGGCTTTCCCTGCAGGTGTGGCTCGATCTTTAGCTTCTGCCTCTCCGATCTTTCATGCTCCAGCTTTTGGCGCTTGGCAGCCCTCTCCTCTCTTTCTCTTTTGTTGGCCTCCATCACTGCCTTCAAAGCCGCTTCTATCCTTTTTTGGGACTGCACCTCCTCTGGGGTTTTAAGTTGCATGTCTGAGTTTTTACTGACAAGCCCTTTGACTAGAGTCGAAGCAGGTGCTAAACCTTGTTTAACTGCTATCCCCTGTGGTACTTGAAGGAAGTAGAGACCAGATGATTTGTTTGTCATTTGTGGAACAGGTTTTGCAGGAGCAGCTCTTGTTATAGTCATGGTTGTTCTGGAGGGTTCTGGTACAGGTTTGGAAGGCTGTGGCTGTTTGGGGGAGCAACGGCAGCGCTGAATGTGAAGCATCACAGCCTGTTGCGTCACCTTCCCTGTGTACACGCCATTGCAGTAAATGCACTTGAAGGCTTCAGTCTGAAGAATGGCATGGATAGTCGGTGCCACAAAATGTTTCTGTTTGAGATGCTGCAGGTGTTTAGCTTCACTGGAAGACTTTTCATCACAAAATGGACAATAGGTGCTGCTGACTTTAACAGGCCCAGTACTGGAGCTAGATTTGATGCACGGCTTTAATTTAAAATACATGTGTTCGTTTGTACTTGTGATGAGAGCCAGATGAACCTCATTATCTCCAAGCACTTCTTTTGGGCCAGTTGTCTGTACATCAAAGTGCGGAAATGAAAGCACCCCTGGACTTTGACTGTATATTTTGCAATTGAGTTTGAGGAAATCACTGTAGGCTTTACTTGTTGGATTATGTTGTTTTACATGTTCAGATAGCTGTTTGATTGAGAAGAACACAGATGGGCAAGACACACAATTCAAACCATGCAGCAGATGCTGGAAGATTGTCGTCTCAGTGACCAGAATCTTGCACATTAGACATTTCATGGATTTATCTGCCATTTTCTTCAGGAAAGGTGCTCGAGCAACCAGATGTTCAGACTTGTCTGGAGTAGATTTAACTTGGTGCACTACCTCTGTGTGCATATCAAAGACATTCGAAGGGAACAGTTCATTGCAGTGGGGACAAGTGACCCATTTCTTTACTTGTGAGTTGTTTGATTGCTCAATGGGCTGAAGAGGTATGGATGTGCTTTGAGATACAGGCAATGTAACCTGCAATGGTGCAAATGTATATGTTGGCATGCCATTCACCCTGTTACCAGTTGGTATTAGGTGACTTAGGAGTGATTGTGAAGTCAACATTGTACCCTGTAGGGTAGGTGTATTTGGGGCTGTTATGTGTGTCGTTACTGCAGGCTTCACAGCAGTTGCAGCAAGAGCTGTCCCATTGGCTTGTAGTCCAGAAGCAAGTAGCATGGGCTGTGTTTGATGAACGGGTTTTGGTTGAGCAGGAGCTTGAACCAGAGGTAACGCTGCTGACTTGATGGCCACATTGGAGACAGTGGGAATCTGGATAGACTGCCCTTGTGGCAAAGTACCTTGCAGTGTTATGGTGGCACCAGGCTGAAGCAAGCCTTTAGCTTCGGCACTAGCTAACTGCACCAGAGCAGAGGCTTGAGGGGGCAGAAAGGCCTGGTTACTTCCCGGAGCACATATAAGAGTTGCACTGTTTGGAGTTCCTTGTAGAGTCAATACAGTTCCTGCAGACTGTCCATTGGTTGGTAACACCAAAGTGTTAGTGTTTAACAGCTGAGGTTGCTGTTGCTGTGCTTTTGAAATAATGTTTGGAAGTGTGAGAAATATTCCTCCATTTCCATTGACTGTTGGTTTGGGGACATAGTTCTTGTTCTCATAAATGTAAGATTGTACTTGTGTACTAACGTTATAGTGTGTTGGTGAAACCAACATGTGATGCAGCATTTGGTCCAAGGTGCCTGTGTTTCCTTTACACATTTTGCAGCAGTATATCTTCATAGTTTTTCCTCCCTGGCTCATATATCTGTATCCTATATATTTCTCAGCCAGCTTCCCAAGATGCTTCAGAATAATATGTTTCTTCAGTGCAAATATTAAAGAGGTTGGGAATCCACATCTCTGACAGTTGTACCTCTCATTTGCACGGTGAGTGACAGCCCTTTCTGTTGTTTGTGGTGAGTCTTTTAGAGTTTGACCATGAAAGAGGTATGCATGTTTTCTGAGGACCTTGGGGTGGCCAGTGAAGGAGCAGTGTGCACACACTGCCAGAGAACAGAGGGACTGCATAAAGGAATGACATCTTGAGACATGGCTCCTGAAGTTGTAGAGATTTTGTGTCGAGTACTTGCACATGGCACAACACAGACTCCGAGAACGGTAAGGCCACTAAAACAAACAAATGCATTTTTAATGCCATGACCAACTTGTCAATTTCAATCCATGTGCAAAACTTACCCTCTTTTCCATTCTTCCATTGAATCCTTCTGTGAAATCAACCCACTCTGTGTCCTCAAATGCATCTTCGTCATCTGAATTTTTCTCTGAGTTTTCATTAAGACTCTGTAAGTAATAGTATGATATTATTTTTTGTCAAACTTCATACCAATTTATGTGCCACATGTATTTCTATTTATATGCATCTCTGAAGATACAGGATACAAAAAAATATTCTGCCTTAGTTCCAACAGATGACCAATGGAACAGAAAAAAAAATAAAAAATTTCCATGGGAGAACTGGGGGGTCTTGCCTTAGTCAAGGCAAGACCCCCCAGTTCTCCCATTCTAGCCACAAGGCATCCAGGGAACAACATAGTACAAGCACACAATAGTAAGGCAAAGATGTTCATAAATTTAACATCTCTACAATGTGCAAGTTAAACCAAGAAAAAGTTGTGTACCTTGAGATACTCCTGGCAGTCCTCAAGGCCGATATCACCAAGGACCTTTTTAACAGATCTCCGCGCCTTCCGAATTTTGTCCACACTTGTAACTGGAAGTTGATACATATTTCCTCCAGGAAGATTGGGGAATGGGCTGTAAAAAGTTAAGAAAATGTAACAGTGACCATCCACTAATAAAAAAATAATTAAACTACTCTTGTTCATTTTATCAATACATTTGCTTTTATGTCAAAATACTCATGTAGACACATTAAAAAAATTGCACCCCAATACTAGTAAACTAGAACTAGTGTAGTAACTAGATACTCAATTGAGCATGATCTATACTAAAGAAAATTGTATTATAAATGAATTATTAAGTGTTACAATGGATCAGGCCAATTATGTGTACAACTGTAATAATAAAAGAGATGGTAAAGGAGACGTGCGTGTATGTTTTGTAAGTGGAGTACTGAGATCTGTATTAAATAACTATCTTATTCCCTAGTATTAACGTGCTTTAAATGTATAGTCAATCTATTCATTGACGAGCAAAATCAAATGTTTTTATTAGTACCCAGTAACCTATGTTTTAAAATACACCTAATAAACCATTTTAAAACAAAACAAAAAACAAACACGGGCAGATCACATTTGGGGTCACGGAGAACTGACATCCCTGATGCTCATGCGACACAACTCTCAGCAAAATATATGGTAGAAGTTGGATTAGTTTATGTAGGCTACTGCAGAGAACAGCGCGGTCACCTTTCTCCCCAATACACTGTCCATCAACACCGGTCAATGCTTCAATGCAGCCCCATATTTGACACACATGTACGATGATCAGAAGGATGTGACGTTGTTTTCTTTAATCTGAGGATGCCCCACAGCACTCGGCATATTTACCTCGTCCAAATCCAGCAGTGTTGATAGTGGTCGCTGTCTCCTCCACCGATGTGACTGCTCACTGTGTGTGCGTCGATGACTGCGCCTACTGCCGGTGCAGCTCACGCACAGTCATTAAAACGCTCCCTCGCCACTGAGCGCACAGCAGTACACACAAACTTATGGAGTATAAACACGAAAATTGCAAACGTACTGTTTATACAAGTTATTTCTGCTCCAGCTTTTGTCCCTTTCTTCCACTAAAGAGAAAAAAATGGCGCTCAAGTTCAGGATATGACGTATTGTGTCTAATTTGCATACTGCCCTGAACTGACCAATGGGAACGGTTTTACTTTAAAACGATAAATAGCGTTTTATCTCCAATAAACAAAATCAGTTTTTGTTCAGGTAGTGTTCAGATTACATATTTTTGCGATACCTTCAAAGTTTATTAAACCAAGTAGTTGTTAATCGATTGGCTATCACACTCCATCAAAAAGTTAGCATAGGGGCGTGGCCAGCCAGCCCACTTTCAACAGTCACGTGATACAAGAATGGGGCTAGCCAATGAGCTGTCGAGTAAACGAGCTAAATGGGCGTGGTTTCGCCAATTACGTCATATCATGCCATTTTATTGTCCAATGACATCCGTACACAATTTTGATTGGCCGTGAATTAAAACGGATAGTATTAAAACAGATAATGTTAATGATCATGTTAATTGGTTCTATACACATTTTTAACTCCGAAATATTGAATGTGAATTGCATTTGCTGCGATTTTTTTGGTGTTGCGCTAAACGGCGCTAAATGCGCAATGGCTAAAAACTGGAATAAAATTACAAAATTATGTTTATAATGATTTTTTTTAATAAACTATAACATTTTCCACATTGTCTGTACTGAAATCAAGGATACTGTACCACAACTGCTAATAAACGGTTACCGCTAACCATTTACTGTCGCTTCAGAATACATTTGAGTACCACCGTAGAATTAGGATAAAAAAAATAGATATATACACATAACCTCTAAAATGGATTCAGAAGTTATCAAAATGACACAAAAATGAAGCAAATAATTTCTGTCAGAAATGTATTAAATTATCAATTATTACTTTAACAAGTACAATTTACAGTCAAAACCGGGTATGGTCCATTAGTGCCTTTGACAGCAAGTCATTAATACATCAGTATTTAGTCACAAAAGAACAGGATTTTAAGAAGCTGTAGATGTTTCTAAACAGACTATTGCTTTACATAAAACCTTTTTGCCATCATTACAATTGGAAGGCATGAGGGAAAATGAGGCAAATGAGGTGTGCGTACAGCTCATCAGTGTTAGCTAATGTACCGACTGTTAAGATACATGCTTTTTTCCTGGTTCAATGGATGCATCCCCCCCTCCCAAACAAATATAGTTCAGTGATTGCAGCATTGCAGCAGGATAATTTACAACTTCAACAAAGTTGCAACTTCTGGCAAGAGCCGATAGTATTTGAGTGAGTTACTCCATTAGCTTTGACTCCTATAAATTATCCTTCATGCCTTACAAATAAATGGAAAGGCAGCGTTCACAAATGTCAATTACAATACCTTTAATTCATGTAGTTTTTAAATAACACATTCTGTCAGGATTCAGGAACACTGTAGGGCCACAGCATAATTCATGGCCTAAATATCTCTAGTTTTGAAGAAATTGGTCATCAAAACTATCAAATAAATATATTGCAATGAGGTGAAATGCAACAACAAATAAATTATTATGAAAGGCATTAACTTTTATACAATGCAAATAATAGGGTCTGCTGTATGAAGACATTTGATCTAATGCTTCAAAAAATCTAGACAAAACTGATGTGTTCAAGACAGGGTTTACAGACTGTAAAACAGTTAATAATTAAAGCAATTGGTTTAAATTAATTGTGCACATTGTAAACTGAATTTGAGATAGGAAACAAAAAACACCATCTCTAAAGAGTCATCCATTTTGTTGCATGTTTCTGAGAAGGTTATATCTACAAACAAGAAGTAAATTAGAGAAAGGAGTGAAATGTTCTTGAGGTACCAGATTCTGTAAACGGATAATTTACTTCTAAGTCCAATTAGTGAGGAATTTGTATGACATAACACTTTCTGAGGTGGTTGGAATGTTGACCACTTTGTGACCCTCGTTCTAAAACACCACATTGACCCCTCTTGTGATGGAGAACCGTGCAACATTATAAAGGACAGGGGTAGTAGGTGGCATTTACGCACTGTACTGGCCCATGGTGAACATCTTCATGGCACTGTCCAAGGAAACACCAGCCTCCTGCAGGTCATCCCTGTACATAGCAAAAAAACTGGGTCAGTCAAACTTACAAAAAGATAACTCCCTTTGACCGACAGGTAGTATGTAGTCATTTATTTGAAAAAATATATATTCTAAAGAGTAGTTTTATCATTCCACTTTTAACATCTCTTTAACTTATCTGTAACAATATGAATCTTTGTTATTAGCAAAGATAGCTCAATAATGATCAATATGTATTCCTTCTTACCATTCTAGCATACAATTTTGACTACTTGAGCGACCGCTGCTCTTGACCCATCTTAAAACTGACACTTATTGAACTGCTGACTCATGCATACTGACCAGTCAGAGATGGACACTGTGTAGAACACAGGCAGCTGAGACGAGCTGGACAGGCCGGTGGAGTCGTCCAAACCAAAGGCGCCTATGTTGGAGAAGATTAGCCAGTTCCCCACAAACAGCTCAGGCAGCAGGCAGCGCTCCACCACTTGGTCTAACTGGTCCAGAGAGGGGCCCCACAGGCTAGAGGGATATGCCACTTCTTCCGCACACAGTGAATGCTTCAAGATGAATAAATATATATTATTATGAATATTTTACAATAACCACAGACTTAAACAATTAGGACAGATCCCATAACTTATTCCAATTGGGCAACACAGGACTTTCTCTGTTGTATGTCCATTATGGCAGGTCGTTGCTTTAAAACTACAATTATTCTCAAATGTTTACAAAATGTGCATTTCATAACCTTTACAAATTCTGACACCACTTCCCAAAATAGCTACAAAGCATGACTTGTACTGCTTCCTGAGAGTGGCCATCAGATGAGTAATTATCCTTGAATGAAAGTTATCTCTCCTGGATGGAGACCTACTAACCTTGTGCACAGTAGGGGCAGCAATTGTGTTTCCCAGCAGCTTTGGGCTGAATGAACCATAAACACCTTCATTCATATAATACAGGAACTCTGTATTATCATTGTTCTCTCCTGCAAAAAAGTGCATTGGGTTAGGTCAGTAATACAACCTTTCCATTTGTTGAAAGAGCGGACTCAAAAGACACGTACCATCCCAGGGAGAAGTTGCTAACTTTTTGCCGATGACATTAACTGCCAGACTTAGAGCAGAAGCAACATAAAAACTGCCTGGTTCGGCAAGCACTTGAACCCCCGACAGTGGAGGAAAGTAAGCATCCAACAGCGGCCTAATTGCAGACTCGACCTCCAAAAGAGTCACAGAATTAATCCACGTTCTAAATAAAATTCACAAGTCATGAAAATGAATGCCATTCATCGGTTTAAGTAATGGCAACGGTTCTCTGTTAGTATCCATCATTTGTGTTACTACACAGGTACAACATTACAACTATGCAGTAAAAATGGTACCTGTTTGAGCTGAAACTCAGATCCGCTGAAACCGCCACCAATGTCCAGAATGTCCATGCTGAAGCCGAGCTCCGCCTAAACAAAAGAAGACCAAAAATCCTACGTTGAATTACAGAACTGCATCATCAAAAACAATATAGTTCTGTTTATTTTGGTGAACTGAGTAAAAACAGTTTCAATTAAAATCCATAACAGTGAGGAGAAAACTACTGACCCCCATGTCAAACACACAGCGGGCATCAGACAGAGCATGGGTGTAAGCCTCCTGTGCGTCTTGGCATGATGTGGGAATATGAAACGTGACCCCAACCACCTGGACACCCAGCTCCTTTGCTGCTTCCAAAAGATGGCGGCAGCTCTTCAAAGAAGAACCAAAAGCCATGCTGGTTTCAGCTGCATGAGCATCTGTGGTCAACTGCACCAGTAATCTACAACAAGTCAATTAAACAAAATTAAACATTTCCATAAAAATAAATAAATAAATATAAAAACTAGAGTTCAAACCCTTTAAGAGATCATTTGTCTTACTTTGCACCAGGATGGAGTCGAGAAATCTTGGCCAATTCGGCTTCATTTTCACAAACAAGGAGCTGCACGTTGTTCTTGGCTGCATGTTTGATGTGGGCCAGCTGCTTGCAAACACCAGACAGAATAATATTCTCTGGTGGGACACCGTTCTCCAGTACCAGGTTGACTTCACCCTGAATTGATTATTTATTTATTATTATAGAGTTTATTAAAAACTCATCAGCATACAAGCAATCAACTTGTGACTGTTATGCAATCATAAAATAAGTTTTGTGAAGCATTGTGTATAAGTATAAGTATTGTTCTATAACAGGATTAACAGATTACAAAAAAGATAAGCTTTCCTTACCTTGCTGGCGCATACAAAGCCCAGTCCCAAAGAGGCCAACACCTCAATCACTAAAGGATTGCTGTTGCACTTGACTGGAAAGTATGGCTGAAGATATGGCACAGTGCTTTGCCAGCACACGTGCTGTCGCATTAGGGCACCAATGTCTGCCACTACAAATGCATTCTTCTCAGCCTGCAATGAAATCACAACTTTAAATGAGGAATTGATGCAAGTAACGCCTTGACCAGACAAAACAAACAGTGTTTTAACTAACCAGAGCTTGCTCGTAGATGTGTCCATCAATGACGTCTTCAAGCGTCACTCCTCCCTCCATTAGTTCAATGATGTAGCTAGGGTTGTCTGTGAGTCCTTTCATCTCAACCGTATTCCGCAAAGCAAACAATCATAGGAAAAGATAATAAATCAAGGGGTCACGACTGAGCCAATGGGTCCTGCCGGTATGCAACAAACTGAAAAAGAAAAAGTGAGTTCAGAGAGTGAACATGAGACATAAAATAAAAGCATACACATATTGTGTATTTGTTAAATGCATTCAAGTATTGAATTTCCATTGCAAAATTATTCTCACTTTCTATAACTGGAACATGGTTTCTAGAGACATGTAATGTGTCATTTTTGCCTTGTGTTTATAGTCAATAGTAACAAAACTGACTGATCTATACAGAAATACAATGTCCTGTTGTTTTGTTTTCATCCCCAGAATTTAAAGAAGAACCCCAGGTAACTGAGAGCAAAAATACTACACTCACATGGACAAGTCAGGAGATGGACCTGTCCCGCTATCAGCTAGGATCCCAAGGTGGCTCAGCGTTGAAGTCAAAGTGCTCCCGGTAAAGGGCCGCCCCTAGGCCCTCCGAGAAGCGCTCATACACTGGTGCTGTAATGGGGGAGCCCTGGGACAAAGAGAGTAAAGATGACTTTGTATACAAAATATAATGACACATACTGTACATAATGTCAAGACAGACACCCTGTGTTGTTTCAAATTATTAAATTAAGTTGTAGATAAAAGGACATCAAAACAAATACTTTACAGCCTGTAAGGCAAACATATCGCCAACAAAAAATAGCAGCAATGTAACCTGACAAAATAGAAATGCGCATGCGCAATACTAGCAGTGTCAAAGTTGACTAATGCGATATTAATATTTAACAGCGTCAGAGAAGTAAAACCTGGAGGCTTTGTTAACACAAATATCATATACCGCAAACACAGAATACGATGGCAATGAGTAAATGCGGTAACAGCCACGAGCATTATGGCTGATGAGACAGTCTTTGAGAGTATCGAAGGCACGTCGCAATGTCTGTAGCTCTTCGAATAAAATTATAAATAACTACATTACGGCCGTAAATATTAACACATTTTGCAGTGGCTATCCTATCATCCCACCGAAAACAACTAGGGTGTGTGGAAAAACAACGTATGGCTGAGAATTTGTTCAGAGAATATAATGAATCAGTCAGTCATGTGCGGCAAGAAGGCAGAAAGACTAGCCCGCCATGTTACCGTCCGTTTGATTCACTCCAAGGAATTCCTCTCAAGAAGTCCGTTGTACTTACGTGAGATAACGGCTTGAATGTTTTGGAAAATCGTCTTCTCTTTTTCGGCGGAATTTTTAAAGAGTAGTGGACACAACGACGAAAGAAAGAAAGGCGGCTGTTTTGGCCATATGTTTAGGAGGACGGTTTGACTGCGGCTTCTCTCTCTGCATGAGGAGGGAAATGAAGCGAGAGAGGGACGAAGAGGAAAAGGTAATCAAACAGCCCGGGGGCGGGGCCAGCGCTCATTTGAGCCAATCAGAGGAGAGCATTGCCTAGACCATACCAAATATGTATTTCCGAATGTCTTACAGCTAGCGGTGGATGTTTGTTCAGGTTACATAACCATGAACCTCCGTAGATGGCAACTCCCTCAATCAAGCAGTACAAGATACACGGCTGTACTATGTTGTTGGGACATCTTAAAGTTGTGTGTATTCTGTTGGTCGAAAGAAGTCAATTCACAATTCTGGTAGACTACTTAGTCAACTACCAGACTGCTGTCACAATTTCAGTCATTCATTCTTCATCCATTTAGCTCAGACAACGGCAATAGTCTAATGGCCATTAAGCTCATCTTGACAGTATATACAGTCAATATTCATAATGCACATGTGCTACACTTTAACAATGTATTTTGTCTTTAAAAAAAAAAAAATAAAAATAATATATATATATATATATATATATATTATATATATATATATATATATATATTATATATATATATAATATATATATATAATTATTTACCCAGTAGGCTATTATACGCCCATTTCAGTTGCCTAATTTTATTTCAACAAACTATTTTCTTCTGTCAAGGTTATGTTATTAATTAGACTACTGTTGGGAAATTATGAAGCAAAATTGAAGCTAAATAATTAATAATATATACATTTTTTTTTCTATTTTACTAGGCATTGTAATATAACCTAATTGGCATTTAAGTAACTTGTTTGCTCTCACACCCATGGAAATCTTTGGTTCAGAAGGTAAACAAAATACCTTATAGCTAGACTGTATATAGCACACTAATATTATGTAGGTTATGTGTTATTCAGTATGCTATTTTATTATGAGTGAATACAAGCATATGTCATTGGTCAGTTCTCAGTGGTGACACTGGGTCAAAAGGCAGACTCAGGCAATCACATGCCACTGCTGTTTTCGCAACATCTCTCAGCTGTCCCACTTTGTTACTATTATCTGTACTTGAAAACGTAAACAATTTCAGTACTAAGATATTATAGTTAAACTGCACATATATTTATAGCATTCAGTTCAATACTTTGTAGATTTTCTACTAATTTGTGATGAAAATCATAATGCTTGTTGTTAAAACGAGAATGAACATGGCAATTATAATTTTTTTCTTAATGAAGAGTGAGCCTGCAGCTAAATCCCGGTCTTATGACATATATTTCTGTAGTGCAAACCACTATGTGTTTTCATGTGTTTATATGATACTGCCTGACCACAACAACTCTTATCTTTAGATTATGGCACTTCTGGATGGCATGGCCTTAAAACAGACAATAAAACTTTTTTTTTTTTTTTTTTTTATGATGAATATAAGAAATTCATTGCTGCCTGAATGATTTTAATAAAAAAGAAGTGTGATTTTATTAATAAATATGACATATCCTAAAGCACACATCAGTAATTGCCGATAACAACAAGGGTTGTAGGCATACACCATTTATTACATTATAATAATGCCAGTCGGTGCCTGTAAGCCTGCTATCTGCTATATTGAACTGAGTCATTTGCAATATGAGTCCACAGAATAAAGCCCAAACATAAACCTCAAAACAGCGTGAGAACATGTTTAATCTGATTTTATGCATCCATTCCACTAACATCAATGAGCTTATTATCCAGAGGAAGGAAATGTAATTTTCAGCCAGAATAAACCACAAACAAACAAAATGCATAAATAATCAGTTCTCTCTAGTTTTAAAATAAACATTGTGGGACATTTCTTAAATGTTATAAGAATGATGTGGTTAAAAACTCATGTTTCAAATAGTACTGCATGACAATAAGCTTTTAAATAGGCCTTACAAACTAGCCTAATCATTATGTTACAGAATGAATTGTTCCATTGACATTGCTACCTTATAAACTCTATTTCACTTGTTCACTATGTTCACCTGTTTTGTGTTTATCACTAGAATTACTGGGTAGAAATATCCACAAAAACAAACAAACAAACAAACAAACAACAAACAAACAAACAAACAAACAAAAAACACTTTGATTAATTGAATTGAGTAAAAGCCCAATGGTTTAATGGTTTCTATTTCAAAGATGAACATTTTCTTCATCTTAATATAAGTTTGGAGTTCAACATTTGTTTTTGAGCATGTGATAACATGCCACATTGGCTCGGGGAATGATACAGCTATATTATAAAATAATAATAATAATAATAATAATAATAATAATAATAATAATAATAATAACTTTTTTCAGTTTTGTGATATTTTTGATATATTTTTTGACATAAAGCCCCTGTTTTTAAACCCTATGGTTTTAACTCCGCCCATCACAAGTGTCCGCAAAAGACATTACGCATGCGCAGCATGACTCCACTGATCAGCTGACTTTGAATGAGATGCTTTGCTGTCGAAGGACCTTTTAAGCTTAAAACCAGCCAATAGATCCGCGCAATGCACGAGAAGACGGTTCAGTTTCATTAAAACAATCAACACGGATTCAACACTGAAACTGCTCTATTTAGGTAGGTTACAGACAAAGCAAAGGTTGATGTCGTGATTACGTTGCGATCATCAACAGAAAGCTACTCCATTAACTGCTGCATGGTCTGTTATTTGTAGAGTATCTTTAATCGTAGACGTTCTGGCAGATGTTGCCTGATTATTATTGTATTCGTTTCATTTTTAAAAAATGTCTTGCTTTACTGATTAGGATTTATTGACCATGTTGTTGTTCGTTCCTCATAACACGCTGGTCATGTGACAGTATCAGCAGACTCGTACAGAAAGGCCTCAGCCATGTCTGTCACAGCTAAATATTATGGACACGAACTCCCATTCAAAGTGTAGAAGAGGGAATGCCATTTATGTTAATTTTAGGTTAAACAGCCTTACTTATTTGGCCATTTATGGTATTTTAATTTGTTTATATCTTCAAAAGTTACAGTATATTCCCATTTGTAGAAGATTTCATAGTTTCAAATAAATAAATATATATATATATATATATATATATATATATATATATATATATATATATATATATATGAAGTCATTCTGTTTGTTAACTCTTGTCATTAACAAGCTTTTCTATTGCATAGTCTTCTAAACCACCACCATGACCGAATTCTGGTTGATCTCAGCACCAGGAGAGAAAACATGCCAACAGACCTGGGACAAGCTGATGATGGCCACGACCCGCACAAACAACCTGTCAACCAACAACAAGTTTAACATCCCGGATCTCAAGGTTGTCAACTACTCTAATGTTAAATTCTTGAGATTGTTTTAAAAGGATGAACTCTGTCCTAAACTGATTAGTCATTTAGGCAAAACAAGAACTCAACATGGAACATTGTTGAAACCTAGTAATTTTTCTTTATTACAGGTGGGAACATTAGATGTCTTGGTTGGTTTGTCAGATGAACTAGCTAAATTAGATACCTTTGTGGAAAGGTAAAAATTCCCAATCTTAATTTTACACAGTAATTGTAATAATATATAGTGAGCCTCATTTCAATGTCTGTGCTATTTGATGGGTCTCAGTGTGGTGAAGAAGGTGGCCCAGTACATGGCAGATGTTCTGGAGGACAGCAGGGATAAAGTTCAAGAAAACCTACTGGCCAATGGAGGTAATTCATGTAGGGTAGGCATGTCACAATAACAAATCTTGAAGTGCATATATTGCTAATAAGTAATAAATTCTATTATTGGAATATTATTGAAACATATTTTTGCCATTGACATAACAACTCTAAAGCTTAAGTACTCTTACTCTAAAGCTAGTTATCAAATATTTTGATATATATGATTGTTCCTTCTAACACGTAATGAACAACATGTTGATATAGTGATTATCGTGACAGGTCTATGTAGCATCTTACTCTTCAAATGCAGTAGAGGTTTGAACAGCATATAAACCCTTGAATGTCTTTTGTTCTCTGCAGTTGATTTGGTAACTTACATCACAAGATTTCAATGGGACATGGCTAAATATCCCATTAAACAATCTCTCAAGAACATATCAGAAATCATCTCCAAGGTAGGCAAATATGCTGTGCATAAGCAATTGAAACAATGTATTATCTAGTATTTGATTATACATAATATTAGTGTTTAGGTCTTAATAATACATAGATTATTATTTTTCTGCAGCAAGCAATGCAAATTGACAATGACCTAAAGGCTCGGGCTTCAGCTTACAACAACCTGAAAGGAAATTTGCAGAATCTTGAAAGAAAAAATGCGTAAGCACTTTTTTCAAATTTTCTTTGGTAAATACATTGTCCCTTTTAATTAAGCTTTTTGTTGGAGCATTTCAGTTTTGTCTTGATTTAGGACACCATCTTGTGGTTTAATGTTGTATAGTCTGCTACAGCAGTCTTCATATTACAAAAAACTGTTTTTACAACACTTGTTTGCAGGTTGGTTGTTTTTAATGTTTTGCATAATTTCTGTTTTGTTTTGTTATTTTGTTTAGGGGAAGCTTGTTGACCAGGAGTTTGGCTGACATAGTGAAGAAAGAGGACTTTGTATTGGATTCCGAGTACCTGATTACTATGCTGGTTGTCGTCCCTAAGTTAGTACATTATTCTACCCACATAAATATTGCTTGTTATTATTAGATATTTAAGATTAAATTAAGTAGAATTTTTATTGAATGTATATGCATCAACCCAAAGACATCTCACATAATCAGTTGGCAAAGTAGTCAGTGTCGGTCTTCTGTCCCTTTTGCAGTAAAAAAAGATTTGGACATGCTAGTTACTTTATATGTACCTGTAATTTTCTTTTGTTTTTCTTTTAGAACTGGCTATGCTGAGTGGCAGAAAACATACGAAACTCTGTCAGAAATGGTGGTACCCCGTTCAACAAAGTAAGGAGTATTTATGTCACGATAACTTATAATTCACGATAATTACACACATAATACTAGAAAAGCACTCAGAGAGCGCAGACCTCTGCCAAGGACTACCCCCATTTTTTATATAAATTGCGATAAAATCAGTCTTCTGGATCAGATCCGGATCAGCCTTTGCAATATGAAAGAGGATCCCATTGTCCATCCCTGAGTCAAATTTCATGGGGTTTGGTCAATAATTAACCGAGATATTGAGAAACAAAATTTTTGGCCCCATTTACCACAATGTTAACTAAAATTTCAAAGTGATCCAGAATCCAGGATTTCTTCCGGATCACCCCCAAAATGAAATCAGTTCTTCCTTTTCACATTTCCAACAAATCCTGAAAATTTAATCAAAATCGGTCCATAACTTTTTGAGTTATGTTGCTAACAGACAAACAAACAAACAAACAAACAAACAGACAAACGCCGGCAAAAACATAACCTCCTTGGCGGAGGTAATAATGGCCTTCAATTTGTTTGTTTTGTTTTTTTAGAGTGTTAGCCTAATCATGATGTTATTTTACCTTTTTTACTACAGGCTGCTGTTTGAGGACACTGAAAGTGGCCTGTTCAGCGTCACTCTGTTCAGAAAAGCCATTGATGACTTCAAACACAAAGCCAGAGAAAACAAGTAAATATTGATTTAATCTTAGTTGACTTAGAGACAGAAAATTAATTTTCTCTTGTTGTAGTAAATCTGTGCCTTCATTTATAGTGTTTGGTGGCTGTTTTGTGCCTTTATGTAGGTTTACTGTGCGTGATTTCCAGTACAATGAGGAGGAAATGAAGGCAGACAAAGAGGAGATGACACGCCTGTCCACCGACAAGAAGAAACAGTTTGTACGAATGTATTTAACAAAGCTCTTAGAGATGCGTTACGGCAATACACTGTGCTAGTCTGTATGAGGGCAATTTAGCTAATAACACATTTGTTAAATGTGTACTGCATGTGTTACCTGATATCTAACTTATTTGATCTGCTTATTTGAATAAGGGACCATTGGTACGATGGCTCAAAGTGAATTTCAGTGAAGCATTCATTGCATGGATTCACATAAAAGCCCTTCGTGTTTTTGTGGAGTCGGTGCTGAGGTAAGAACACATCTGTTCATCTGTGCTCATGATTTATTTGGAACCTTTTCTGATTATTTTATTTTATTTTATTTTGGTGTAGATATGGGCTGCCTGTGAACTTCCAGGCTATGTTGCTTCAGCCAAACAAGAAGAACATGAAGAAGTTGAGAGAGGTCCTTTATGATCTGTACAAACATTTGGACAGCAGTGCTGCAATCATTGATGTGAGTTTTCCTCTTTAGTAATTATTTCCTGCTGATAGTCATGACAGAATTGAAGAAGAATTTAGTTGTATGCCTATGGTTAAATATTACTTTTTAATAAACATGTTCTTGTATACAACATGAAATTATTTGTTATACATATGTAAAATTATAAAATGCCTTTTTACAGGCCTCTATGGACATTCCAGGGCTAAACCTGAGTCAACAGGAGTACTACCCTTATGTTTACTACAAGATAGACTGCAACTTGCTGGACTTCAAAGTTTAGTTACATTACATTGCCATCTTGCATTGAGTTTTATGTGACATTTACACATATATAACTGTGCTTTTTTAAACACTTTTGATTCTTTGTGTCTCTTATTTTGGGACAAAACCAACATTTTTGTTTGAAAGTCTGACTGAGAAATATCCTCTAACTTCACAAACATTTTGTACATTCCCTGTATTAAAGTTGAAAATTGTGCATTATGAAAGTACTTTATTCAAAGTGGCAATTTGCTTTGTATGCTGTTAGGGAGGAGTAACTAGATAATGTTGCATATTTTATTTATTTATATAATTATTCTAAACTGATGTATATTTTTATTTGTTGTGAGCTCTATGTAAAAACTGTCTGTTTGCTAGTGTTCTATTTAAGTCTGTAAAAATACTCGAAGCGTTTGCTTTAACAGGTCCTAATATATAATGCTTGGTGGTTGTAAACTTTTAATATGTCTGTATATTAAGCTACAAATCCCACTGTCTCGCAGTATCTGAAATTGTATTTAAAGCTCATATAATACAGAATTAATAAATACTGTATGTGGTTAACACTCTCGTCTACGATGTCATGTATTTTGAAGGGACTAAGTTGTTAACAAACAATTATTAGTGAGTAAAAATGATCCCTGTGGTCAAACTTAACCATGCCTATAAGCAGCAATTATACATTTTAACTTAAACTGGTCACCGATTAATGATTTATTTATTACATTTAGTGAAAATACTCTTTTCTAAAAACAGTAAAACCTGTACAGTACAGATGCCTGGCAGAATGTTGCTGATGCTGCGTGAGTGACGGGGTGTGGCCACGCCCTTATCGATGACGCACACAGTTGCCGCTTGTCAGTCAGTGCGCCGTAATGGACACGGAAACAGGGATGCAGATGGAGTAGAAGAGGCTAGGAGGATGGTGCTGTGACACGAAGCGTGCCGCTGGCCATCTCTCGTCGACACTGCTGCTGCAACACCTGCTCTGGATGGTTTTCTCGATGGGTTGTGGGGGGAGTCGGGCAGACGCCATCATCGAGCCTAGGTACCATGAAAGCTGGACCAGAGAAACGGAATCGACGTGGCTGACCAATACCGACGTAGAGACCCCTTTGCCTGTAGCTACCAGTAAGATAATGGGTTTTGTTTTGTTACAGTTGTATGGCATCACAAGTATGCAAATGAAAATGCTGTTTTTATGAGGAACATTTTGGTGTTGGCATTCTGAAATCTATTTTCATAACTCCAACAACGACCTGTTCATTGTGCTGTAACTGTCTAAGGCAAGGCCCTGGAGACGAACCTGAAGGAGAAGAGGATGGTGAACACAGGAACCCAGTGCGGGAAACAGACCCTGGGCCCCACAGGCTCTGGGCACCCAAGGAGAGCCAGACGCTCTCTCAGTGAGGTATGTCCCCCATTTTTTCTCTTCCCCTGTCATAATGCTTTTTGTAGTGCATTTTTGTATGTAGTGCATTTTCAGTAGTGATCTCCTTAAAGGCCTTTTCTGTAGTCTACAGAAAAGGCACTACACACATGATGATAACAGCTTTTAGCCTCTGAAACTTAGTACTTACATTGAGGAAATAATACTGCAGAAGCAAGCGTCATGTAGACTAAACAATTCTCAACAGCAATTAGCCTAGTAGCAATAGCTAAAATTAAGGTACAAGCATTTTAAAACAAGGTTGCAGTGCACCCTTTTGCACTCCTGTAGACCTGGGTCTGTCTTTTAGCCTAAAACGAACAAACTGAAATTAGGTAGTTTTATGCAAAATTACTTTCTGATTTTACAACAACATACAATGAGGTGGGTGATTAATCTCAGCACATAGGGCTAGTGCTTCATTGGCTCTTAAGTTCTTTTCAGTGGTGTGACATTTTAAGAATGGAAGTTCAAAAATATGTCTTTTCATAGCAATCCACTCGTGACTCCAAAAGAAGGGCTTCGAAGGAGACCAGTATTTCATGTAAAGATGGCCATCTAGTAAATATCAACACGACTGAAGACACTGAATCTGGAAACACATGTGATGGAAGATGAAGTAAAGCCAGAACTCCTTAGAGGATGACGGCCAAAGCTGTTTGCAGTTTGGGTAAACAAGGGACATATAGCAACAGATTCATGGCTGCTAATCTCAGCGATATACAAAATACCTGCATATGTCTCCATCCAAAGACCTCGGATGCTGCATTTTCGTTGTGCCATTGCAAATGCATGTGTGAGGCAGAGCGCTCCACTGTGCTTTTACCCATGGATGCTTCTGGTGGTCAGGGAGCGAGTCACTGTGTTCTAAATCAAGAGTTAAAGACAGAGCGATTCATATGCACATGATAATCACAAACTGCACATCCAATGTTTCTGTGTGAGGCCTTCCTGGAAATAAGCTTAGTTCTATTACGAGTGTGATATGACCAATGATGAGGCTGTTAAATGCCAGTATATGCTGTAAATAGTTTACATTCAGAAGAACCCGAAGTGCTGTTTAAGATACAGAGATATGGAGATATAAAGCCTGAAGTCTTTTCCAGCCTTTGCTGAAAGAAGAGACAAACTCACCCGCATGTGCCTACGCATCATCTTCATTTGTACTGCCCTGGTTTTAAGACTTTTATTACTAGGTGTTCCTTGATTTTTACTTTTTTTGAGTTTCACTATACAGAATTTTATTATTACACATGTGGAGTTGTTATGTATAATTTGTGAGGCTTACATGAATCTGCATGTAATAATACAGGCAGAAGCTTAAGGCACAAAATGTGCAGTGGCCACCAGATGGCAGTGTTGATTTTTTAAAAAAAATATAGTTGTGTCAAGCTCTCAAGAGACTGCTGCTGTCAACAATTACTTAAAGAGACCATCAGAGTAATAAAAGCTGTTCAGAGCCATCAGCTTTAAAAGTTGTTTCAATGTTGTGCTAAATTAGATTGTGTCTTATGCCCTGGAGATGTTTTTGATCTAATGAAATTACTTGAACTGATCTAAATGGCCTCTTTGGTCTCAAAGTATGAGAAATACTAACTAAATAATAAACATCTACACTGAAAACTACTGAGGACAATAACACAAAGTACTTAAAAGTAATGTCAGAGTCCCATTAACTAACCAACCACATTATATTTTATTGCTTTGAATCTTTATGGGCTGCCTGCAAAAAGCTAGGCCCTGTGTAGGTTGTTCATAATTAATACCATGTTCAACAAGAGAATTAAAAGCTTGTCTGATATTTACCTGAAAATATTTGGGTGATCCTCAAGACTACAGAGAAAATCTCTTGTAGACTGATGAGGCAGAAGCTGTCTCATTAAAAGTACACCACAGTCAGACCTGATTAAGGGAGAACAATGGCTGCTTTGGGTGTGCTGGACCTGCTAGCTGCGTATTTCAAGGGCTTTGGGGCATTCCTAGAGAAGTTCACAATAGGTACACACTTGACTTTCATGTTTTTTCACTGGATCCACCAATCTTGTACATTTAAAGTGTCTTCTCTTCACAGTCACAATTTTTTGAGTAGGTTTCTTGCTCAGTCGCAGCACGGCATGACATAAAATAAAATCGATTCATTTAAAAAAATCTGCCAAGTCCAGAAGAGTGTACAAACCTTTGCCTAAGAGCACAGAAACACACCTAATCAATTAGGCAGGATGTAGGGATAATGTAAACTTTTAATTGAATTAAAGACAATGCTTGTTTTACTTTAATTCAATTTCTTCTTTGAAATATTTTGATTGTGGTCGTGGAGCAGTATTATATATTATAGCATATAACTATAAATAATATATAACTATAATATAATATATATAACTATATATAACTATATATAACTATATATATATATATATATATATATATATATATATATATATATATATATATATATATATATATATATATATATATATATATATATATATATATATATATAATAGAATTATATAAAGAATTAAGAAGGAGCTGTGCCATAGATCCATGAGCTGAACCCGCAGGCGCTAGGACCGCGCGCTCCTTCTCTCTCCACGAGCCTTCCTATGAAGGTTAGTGTCTGTGCACGAGCCAGACCCACACGATCACAGCTGAGTCAAACGAAGGTAGTGTGGTTACGTGCCTGTGATGTGACACTACGTTTTGAGTTTAATTTCTATTTTAAAAAAGGATATACGATGAAGTGAGAATGGCAAAACGACCGGGGACTGACGACGGGATGCTGCCTTCACCCACAATTCCCGGGGATTTCGCGGTGGATTTTAACACCGAGGACCTGAGCATGGGCTGCGGTGACGGAGTCGAGGAGGTCTCGCTGGATGAGATCTTGAGCCTCTACAGTCAGCCCATAAACGAGGAGCAAGCGTGGGCTGTGTGCTATCAATGCTGTCGGACATTAGCGCAAAAACACCGGCGGAAAAGCTTCAAGTCCAACGGTGCAACACCTGAAGACTTCCCGCGGAGGATCGAGGGACCCGCGGATGTGGCAATTGGGAGAGACGGGACTATCAAATTAGTGTATAAAAGCGTTTCAGGTAAATTGGATATTGCATTCACACACTTGTCTGATTCGTGTAGCTACGCATTTTAAAATAACAGGGTCGCTTATGTCTTTAACTGCCAGGCGACAATGAATTATTTTTCTGCACAATTCGTCCAGGCCATACGCAGAGCATCTTCACAAAGACGCCACATTGTTGTGATTTCTTGCTTCTAGCCATGTGGGGAATGTGTTTACAGACGGTCGTTGCGCTTGTTAATAGCACATAACAGTATGTAAATCAAAACAGAAGAAACACCGCATTGGGCTATTAATAATTCATAAACAAAGCGTTACCTCAGCCTGTAGTGTATGTTTTATGACATAAACAGGTCTTTGTATGAGCCTATAACTTCAATCAGTGGGGCAGCTATATGTTTGGAAAAATTAGCTACAGTGGTCGGTTAGCCTCAGCAAACATTGGACCATGTGATTGATTCAAACTACAAAGCATCTTGGGTACAGAGCATAGACTGGATGGTACAGACCAAATCAAGGCCATAAATCTTAACTGCTGGTTCAAAGCAGTAACTGAAAAGGCAAAGTCTAATATGAGTCATAATGGAACAAATAGTGATGATTTGAACATAATGAATATAAAATTCAAACATGTTTGCCCTTAACCAAGACCAGGCCTCTAATAAAATGTGATATGAGGATGTAGCGTATGATGTTAAATAACTACAGGTCGTTTATTAGTCCCAGGAATATTTAACTCATTTGACTAACCCAACTTTATTATGCAAAACTGACTGTTGTGAGCTTTAAGCCAAGTTATAGTGTTGTTACTTCATCAGAAAGCACACCTGAAATTGTGTTTTATTTCATTCACACATGTTTGAGTAATCCTTTATTATTAGTCCGTCTACATCTCCAATGTTCAAAATGCTTTTTTCCACCTTATGGTGCCATGAAGCAGTAGTTTTCAAGTAAACAGCTACCTGTTACCTTTAGTTCAATAAAGAATTCCAGGGCTGAAATCATCCAAATAATTCTAGTGAAGGTGTATGGAGGTGTTAACATAGTGGAGGACTTCCTGTGTTACCAGATGATATCACATCATGGAACAGAGTGTTTCAAATATGCAGGGTTTGTGTATTAAACATGTGTAAATGAAACAAAACACAAGTCTAGGTATGTTTGTGATGCGGAAACAACATTATAATATAGATAAGAAAATAGCACAATATGGGCCCTTTAAATAAACCAACTGCTAATTTGGGCTTTTGTTGATAAATGCTTTGTTTACAAGTAACAATATTAAAGACCTTGATACACTTAATAAACACTTCATATCAAGATTTAACTAAGTTAATACTTAGGATCATTAACTACCTAATGATTTTTTTTCCAAGTTAGTTAAGTCACAGTATTGCCACCATACAGCCTTGCTCCTGTTTAATAGGTTTAGTGGTAAATTCTCCAAATACATCTGCTAACAGAGCCAAAGCCTTACGTGCACAAGAATGCTTTCTATTCAAATAGGCTCGGAGTTTCAAAGCCTTTCCCTGTTCGTAACATTCCTGTAGAGTGTGAGTGATAACGTTAGGAATCAGTGCAGGAGGTGTGGTTCTGAAGGAACTCACCAGGAAGTTAAAAGTAAGTATTTTTTCAGACCTGTCTTCTGTGTTTTGCCCTGCTAATGGTTTCCTGAATCCCCTATAAACATCAGAAATTAATTACTGTGAATCAGCAGCTTTCAAACTTTTCACATAAATATACAGGACTATTCCAGGCCTAATCTAGGGCTAAACATCATTGCCACTGCAGTTCTAAGCGAGAAATTATTCAAAGGAGGACAACAAATTATAAAATGAGCTCTTTATTATTAGGCAAACCCACATAACGAAGGGCTACTTATAGGAACTTGTGTACTGCCAGTGAGAGATGTACCACAGTTTGAGAAACACCACTGTAGATAATGGTTTGAGTTATCCTTTTTGCCCCTCTTTGTGGTGTGGCTGAGGTATTTTTGAGAGCTTGGCCCTGTTCCTGATTTGTATTAGGACAAGTGATGAGAGAGACATGAGACCATTTAAGCAGCCAGCAGTTCAGACTTTAGAGGTTATTCCCTCAGTTACACCAAATCACTGCTTATGCAACACACAGTATGTATCTCCTGCCCATGATCCAATGACAACATGGTGCATCCTCTATTTTACCCGCTCCAAAATGTATGGAAGCAACCCAATTTCATTTACTGAGGCTATACTGAAAACAGACTGTACTTAACTTCAGCAAGCAAAAGTTATAGCTGTAATGTTAAGTGGTCTGTCATATTTTTACATTGTAATATGGTAGTTGCTGATGTATGTAAAAAGTTAGTTGACTTTCAATTAAATACATGGGATTCTTGTGTTGTTTACCATTTAACATTTCATTCTTCTAAAATGTGGATGTATTTGAAATTTGGACTTTGATATAGACAGGGTACATCTTCATACACTGATTAAATACTTCATGAAGACTGGCCTATTTGTATATAGACACATTGACAAAACAAATCATTCACCCCATTTAAAGGCTAAGGCTAAAAAAATACTTTTTTTTCGAACAGGAAAAAAAAACTTTCTAAATGCAGCCAAAACTACTAGTTATTTTTAGGTTTTTATGATTTTATTAGTATCCCCTTTTATGTTGTTAATTAAAGCCAAGCAATGATTAATTTCCATTTACATTTAATAGTCAACCCACTGTAACACAGATAGTGTTCACAGATCACTTTGATTAGGGAGTTTTATGTGTGGGAAGTTTTTTACAACATACTTAAGTCAACATTTAATTTTGACTTAATGTTGTTAATGTCATTGATTTCCCCCACAGTGTGTTATAGCCAAAGTGACACACCAGGCTGCTCCAAATGTGCCCGTCCTGATTTACTTGTCCTGTAGACTCTCGGGACCAGGCCACCTCCCTCGGACAGGACTAACACAGAGCTCACTGTTCTCATGAGCGCGCCTGGGTGACTAGTTATTTTTTCCTCCATCTGTCCTTAGCTGTAATTTGTGGACTCTGAAGGAGATGTTTTTCCTTGGATAAGGCCAAGAGCTCTAGTCTAGACTATACAGCGACCTGCTGGCAGATAGTGTATTAGGGCTGGGAATCACAAGGCCTCTCTGGATTCGATATGATATTTAATACATGGCTCATGATGCGATATTATCATGATATGGTGATACATGTGGTAATGGATATATTGCACTTCATACTCTGTGATATATTGTTGTTTTTTTAAGAACCAAATACATGTTAGCAACAATATTTCTTTGTTTAACCACTACTTTTACAAAGTTAATATGAACTACACTTATTTTAATAAAAACTGTGAATGTGTCAAATGTATTGCAAAAAAAAAGCTTAAAGATAAATAAAAACACTCTTGGCAATATATTGATACAGCAGCCCATGATAACGATACTGTATCACCAAATGTAATATGATATATCGATATTTCAATACTTTTGTACACCTCTAATATGTATTAGTATTACTGATAAAATATACTCTAGGATGATATGTGTTAGTGCTGTAGTCCTTTGTTTGAATAGTATTTATTTGGGCCACAGCAGAAAAGGAAACTATATGTATAAGTGAGTTAGCTGGGGTTTTGAGAGTGAATAGACTGTTTAATCTGTCTTGTCATTTATGAAGATGCTGTTTATTTATACTTCTCTGTGTACTTTTGTGACACCAGTAGGCATGGGACAATGTTGAAATTTGTGTGTTGTGCAAGTACTGTGTTCTGATTATTATGGCTAAAATAACTGTGATTCACAATTATATCACGATAATTATTAAAGTTGCTGGCAGTTTAAAAATGTTATGCTTATGAATAATTAGAATTAAAACTTTATGATAAGTTACATATTTAAATGACTGTTATAAAATTGTACCTTGCTATTAGTGAAAACAAGGATAAGTGGCATTTTTCTGCATATTCTGATACAATGGCAATCTTTTTAATTATGGCGATTACACAAAATCTACGACAAACTATTACCGTGTACTCTTTTTATCACAATAAACAATATTATTGTTTATTGTCCCATCCCTAGCAACTGGTCAACCAAAGATGTCTTTAATCCTCCACAAGGCAGCCCTAATAAGTTGTGAGCAATCTGTCTATGGGCTGAAGTTTACTCATGTCACACCTGTGTACTCAAACTAGGGCTGGGTATCATTAAGAAGTTGCCAATACGATATGTACCTCGATACATAAGCCACGATATTATATATATCTTGATATAGTGAGCTTTTGATTTGATACGATATATTTCAAAATGATTCGATATGATTCAATAAAAATAATTGCTAAATCATGGCTGTGATACTAAAAGTCTTTGTTCAGACACTTCTTGTACAAAGTTCATATGAAGCACACCTAGTTTAATCATCAAGAAAGTGAATATGTCAAATATGTCGCATAAGCGAGTCTCCTTCCTCTAAACAAGCAACAAAACTGTAGCTCTGTAAGAAAATAATTTGGTAAAATATACCAAGAAATACTCTTGGCGATATATCAATACAGTACAGCAGCCTACGGTATCAATATTATACCATCAAATTGAATGATATATATCAATATTTTGATATTTTTGCACACCTCTAACTCTTACTCTACTGCTGGATTTAACTTATTTTGTGTAATACTGTTGCGTAATATATGACACATATGGTTATCTAGTTTTGCGTACTTTCCCAAATCCCAACCAACAGGTTTATTAAAAGATGCTTCTTTTGATCTTAAAAGAAAGGTGCACAATTTTTTTTTTATATATAGATGAATCATAGTAGTAGAGTTCACTACAATTTCCAGTGTACCCTGTGTTTTATTTACAGAAAATACTTTGGTGTGCAGGTAAATAATACTCACAGTGGTTTAAACATACCTCTGTATTAATGAAGAAAAAAAAAGGCGTTGTCATAAAGATTTACACCTGGAAGACTAGATGCAGTGTTTGTCAATAATACACAGTCCAGCTATTCACCAGAAAGAGATTTCCATGGAAACCTCCCAAGGTCATTGTTGGGGTTGTGTTTCTCTTTTTGAATGTGAGGGGGTCTTCTTTTAGCACATAGTCCCCAGAGGCAGAGTCTGACACCTCTGCTTGTCTGAGTGGAAAGACTTCTATGAACAAAACAAAATCCTTTATTCACTTGTGTTACTCAAGGAACGCCCGGAGGCAATTCTTCATCATTTCACCTCCCTTTGAGTTAACGGTTACAAAGCTGCACTCTCAACACGTAATGATAAATATTTAATGTACAAACACAACGTCATGATTATATTGGATTTGTCAGGCTGTTTCTAGATGCCATGCATAGCTTTGCAGAACATTTCCCATAAATTATTCAGAGGGTGTGTAGCCTAACTGATTGTCTGTGTCTAATAACAGGTTAGGTCAATAATAATAACAAGAGCTCTGTGTGAGAGAACTAATGCCTCCTCCCCCTTCTGTGATTTCAGATAAATACAGACCGCCGCCTACGTCATTACAGGTGAGTTCTGTTCAGGTTGTACCCCTGCTCATCATACTAGTTTAATATGTCATTTTTCAATATGGTAATTGTACTTGAGTTTGTACAATTTACACTGAAATGTCCTCTTTGGACTTGACCGAACATTCTCTCAATGAATGGGTATTTTTCTTACCCTGCATAAACACTCAAACTATTTCTGAAGCTCTTTTTCACACACCACAAAGAGACCAACATTACAAGTTGTACAACCAGCTTGTCCTCATTAGACTATGGAACTCTGTTCACTCTTCATAGATGATAAATAAAAATAATATTGATACATATTTCCACAGTAGACATTTTAAGCCATCTGACATTATTCAAAAACTTGCTCATGCCTGACTTGTGTGAAAGACTTGCAGTGTTCATGTAGGAGTGACTGTGTTTTATTTCACTTTATTTCACACAGTTTTGTTTGTGCTTTGTGTGGCTTTTCATCACAGCAAGCAGTGGATTTTCATCTATGTATTTTTTTATTTTTGGGGGAAAAAAAGCCACACGGCATAATTGAACCCTACGTGTTTGACCTGGAGTCTATTTTTTACGTACATAGATAAGTACAGAACAGTGGGCACATATAGGGGTAGGTGAAAACTGAAGTTTTCTGAGGGCTCAAGTCTGAGATGCAAGGTAATAGAATAAAATAATACAATTAAAATGCAACTCATAGTAACGAATTATATGGGAAGACCATTATAACATAAGGCTGATTCCACGTAATATAACCTTAAACTCTGCTGGCAAATTAATTAAACGTACCATTAAAGGGCCCAGTTTATGCTATTTTCTGAACTCTGTTATAATGTTGTTCCCTCATCAAAAACATAGCTCAAGTTGTGTTTTGTTTAATTCACACATGTTTAACACACTAATCCTGTGTTTTTAGGCTGTGTTCTTCTCTCAAACTGAAAAAGGTAAAAGGTAGCTGTTAACTTGAAAAACTACCACTTCATGACATCATAAGTTGTAATGGAGCATTTTGAGAATGACAACATGTGTGAATGAAACAAAATATGACTTCAGGTGTGGTTTGTGATGAGGTAACAACATTATAATATGGCTTAAAGCTGACAAGAGTCAATTTTGTGTAATTGGACCTTTTAATTATCACTGCTTTTGTATAAACGTATTTCTGTGAACAGCGGCACTAGGGCTTGTAGCATGTGACCTGGAAAAGTCAGCCTTGCCTGAAACCTCGCTACAAAACAGAGCATACAGGAAGCCTCATCATGTGTACATAGACTTAAATGGTGTGGTCAGCTCTGTCCATCTTCTGCCATGTTTATTCAAGAGCTCATGTGATTGTAGGTGTGTTCATTATAAGGCTAAAGAGAGATCACTAAGAGTCCACCTCCTCTGCTGTTAGACTCTGCTTCTACCTAAACCTTACCTTAACCTTTATTAATATTAATTTGAAGTATTGAATGTTAATTATATGTTACAATAAATAAAGCATACGCAGGGAGTGTTTTGCTTTGGTAATTACTTAAAACACCGTTGCATAACAACAATTGTTTACCAGTGTCCAGCTGCAGCAGGTCTAAAACTAGAGGCACACCCAAAGCTAAAAATGTGTGTATTTATTAGCAACAAGCAGAATTTAAAATGGAGCATAAACTGTTATGTCAGTTTTTCAGTGTTTTTCACTTTCCCATTGTAAATTATTGTATTAAAGATCCATTTTACTGTGGACTTTCAGTGAATGAAAATCACTTTTAAACCACAAGTGTTAGTAAAATTAGTAGGTTCAAGGTTACTTTATTTGTACCAATGAGTAGATTTGTTTGTAATGACTAAGTAAGTGAGCAAATATTCTATATAAAAATTGTGAGGCACTTTGTACATCTTTTGACCAACCCACTTCCGCACTGTATACCTATTGGTACAAACAAATGTAAGTTTGTCAATCAAATTATGTTATACATGTCATATGATAATGAATATATTGTTCTCTAGTATTTTAAATTTTAATAATATGTGTGTGTTGCTCCCAAGTCCGTGCATTCCTCAGAAATATTTCACTACATATCACGCAGTGTTGTGGATCTACACACTGACTGTAAACATGTGACCCACTTCTCTGTTGCCTGCTGTGTGAACAGAATAAACATGTGCCTTTTCTGCGTCTGATTGTAGTGATTACATCCCTGTGACAATCTGAGATGTCGGTTACACAGAGATTCACTTGTTTTCTTTTTAATGCTTTGCTGATTGGTCAGCCTCTGTAGGTGAGTGGAGGTGGATTTATCCAATCACGGTAAAGTAGATGGCTTTATTGAAAACTAATACGTAAAAAGGAATCAAATTGAAATAATGATTCATGTTTTGCCTGTATTGGAGGTTTACACTAGTCAATTTAGAATATTCTAAGGACTGTCAGTTGTAATATTTTAACCCTTGAGATGAAGTATAAATATTGATTGTCTCCTGAACTCGTATATAGACCATTAGTTTTATTTCCATTGACCTTATTGCGTTTCAATGCATCTCACTTTTATTTTAGTCATTTCATTGATTTCCTGACTGTTTCACTAAAAAGCCTTTGTACAGAATTGGATTCATTCCCTGGGGTAGATTTGTCCAGTGCTCTGATATGTGTTGTGCACTTAAAGCATGAGAAATTCAATATATTGAGTAACGTGAACTGTCTTAGTCGGCAAGTTCTAATTATAGTTCTATTCTTCCTGGTTTATGTTGGTATACTCTTTCACCTGTCTGTCTCACTTTGAACATGTTATTTTCATCCAGAGCCTCCTCATCGGCTGTGGTGATGCTGATGGTAATGGTGAGGAGGTCCTCTACATTTCGAGGCGATTATGTAACTGTCTGTGATGATGCTTCGCTCTAGTGCCGCAGTAACTGCTGACAGAGGCTTATCCGACTGCCTTATGAACTCTAGAGCCGCAGTGAGCCCAGGGCTGTGGATACTGGGGACAAGACTGTCACCACATTTGTATTTTAACCACAGGAGAGGTTTATGGACTTAACCAACCACTGCCTTTAAGGCATTTTTCTTGTAAATGTCATACATAGCTGAGGTCTACACTGATATGTGAAACAATTGTTAAGTAGTCCATAGAAAATAAATGTGAAAATGGACCATTGTTATGAAAGAAGTTTTAGAGTCACAATTTTTATTAACATTATATATTGAATTATTTGAATTATTATAGAATACACTGCAGCAACATTAACCTTAAAGCCTCAGCATTATGATGTTAGAAAGCAGTCAAAGGTGCACTGCTCCTATCTCTGCGACAGTGTAGTAGGAGACCATTGATAGTGCTTGAATATTTTGGCGTTGTGCGACTCCACACAGCTCATATAGTCTTGACTTGTGTGTGTTTGTGTGAGAGCTGCTGCACTTTGACAAGTGGCCCATTCTTTGCCCATCTGCACAGGCCCTGACTCACTGATGTGTCCACAGTCACGGTCCGTCCTCCTGTGTCTATCAGACTGACAGCCCTCTGTGGATTTCACTGTTGTTCTTTTAGCCAGGCTCTTCGTAAGTCAGCTGACTCCTAATGAGAACTGTTTTAGTCTTATATAAGAGAAGTTCAGACTTAAGAGGGTGATTTATCACAAGCCGATTTTGGCTAATCAAACTAAATGCACATCTTGGCTCTGACTTTGAAAATCAAAAAGGATAGAAGCAGCTTGACCCTTACAAGAGCGTTTTAATTCATTTTGGTCACATGAGACACCGTGCTCTTTCCATACAGAACACAATATAGTTTACTATTAAAACATGCCATACAGACAGGATGTTTCTCTTTCATACTTAATGCATTCATCACATGTTACCAGAGCAAGATTTTGTATATCATTTCAGAAATATTTGTCATGAACCAAACATGTTGTTGATACTTGCATTGTCTTTCTTGTAATCTGAGATGTTTTACTTTCTGTTCTGTGATTGTTTGAGCATCTATAGCTAAATGCTTAAGGCAGCAATGGCATGTAATGGTAGAGTTTAGTTACATTTTCTTATTGACAAAATGACCCTCCTCATTTTTCACCTGAGATTTCTATGCAACGCATTGTATTAGATGCTTCATTGTTTAACCCATTCAAAGCGCTAGTATTACAGACAGTGGCCAATATTTTAGCCTGAAGCCCAACGGATTTAGTTGCCAGTTTAGCCGTATGAGTCCCCTGTTGCTCCGTCAACTCCTCTGGCTCCTCTTCCTCTGCTCAGTCCTCTGAGTCACTCTAGTTTAAATAAGATTGTGGTGTGTAATTGGAAAACTAAGCTGTCCTTTTTTCCTATTTCCTGTTCAGTCTTGAGTAGTTTCACTGCAGGAATCTTCCTCATTCTTGTGACTTAATAGTTTTATTGAATAGATATGACTATGACATATGGGAAGTAATTACCTCATTATTTCAGACGTTTATTAACACTGACAAAGTAAAGCTCTACACTTTTCATTTTAAGTTTGATTGGTTTCATGCAGTTTGTTTGATCAATCTTTGCCTTAAGTTCATAAAAAGAATCACCATGAGTAATTAAATCTGTGACACATTTGTTTACATGGGAAAAATTGGCTGACACATTTTTACATACATAGCTAAATATTGGGTATATTGCTATAAGCGAAAATATCTTCCATTTGTCTTTACTGGGACTTAAAGGGCTGTTATGCTATGTTCTAATCTATGTTTTAATCTTGTTAGCATCCAAGACTTACCCAGAGTAGTGTTTTGTTTCATTCGCACATGTTTAATACACAAACCCTGCATGTAGAATTCTCTCAAAGATAAAACACTCTGTTCCACCTTGTGATGTCATGTGGTAATACAGGAAGGACTGTATTTTTAAACTCCATACACCTTCAGTAGAATCATTTTGGATAATTTCATCTCTGATAACAAAATAAGCTATAACTTCAAAACTACTGTTTCATGACATCACAAGGTGGAACCATAGACTGTATCAAAATGTGAACTAAGCGAGTGTGATGTCACCCATAGCTTTCAGCACCACTCAAATGAAGCTTGCGATGTCAGGCTATATATTATGATTAGGATTTTTAGATGGACAAAACGGCGAAGAAAAAACAAACAAACAAACAAAACACCAGGATCATGTAGAGCGGATTAATACGAACATTTTTAAGACCAAAATGATGAGGCTCACAGTAGCAGTTACAGAGAGAGGGGCGACAAGGTCCTAATTGAAGTCAATGGGAGCCAGGGTTAGTTGGAGTCGGAAGAGCCGCATGTGAACTTCCTATTTGGAACGCGGCGGCTAGTGTATATATACCTCCTGTCTATTTATATATACTATGTCCATGGGTACAGAGGATTTTGAGCTTCGAGATGTAGACAGACTAATAATAAAGAATTATTCAGACATGTGTGAGTGAAACAAAGCACAACTCCAGGTGTGTTTTTTGATGAGGTAACAACATTATAACATGGCATAAAGCTCACAACATTTAATTTTGCATAATATAGGACCTTTAAGTGAAGACCCCCACATTACTGTCATTGACCTAGTGTGTCCTCGCACTGCTGTGACCATTCTGCAGATGGATTAAAGGTTACATAATCATACAAGGAACTGGCTATTTGTTTTAGCTCGGGAACAGGATTACTGGTGGCCACCAGAGATGGTTGATAAATTATCAGAATTGTCAAACATCTACGGTCTGTTCTTTTTGGGTACAACTTTTATGGTTTTGCAGGGGGAGACATGGGGCATCATTGAGCTTCTTAACAGCTTCATTGTGAAAAGATTTTAAGTAAAAATTAACTTGCAGTATGTGCCTTTACATCCATGTAAAGTGCACTGTTCACATAAAATTCCACTTACGGTGGTGATGATGAGCTGCTATTCTGTTTTATATTCTGTATCATAAAAACAAACTACATAATACAAGGCAGTTATTCAAACAAAAAATCAATTAAGGCTACTCCCATTTCTCTCTGTGACACAAGTACAGGTGGTAAGCAGAATATATAATGTTCAGGCTCTATTGGCTGACGCACTGCTGGGTCTACTCCCTGTCTGATTGTCCGTAACGTTGGATACTCCCTCTGACTGCACCATTGACCGGTGCCTCTTAAACAGCACCAAAACAAGAGCTTCACCCAGTTTAATCCACCTTTGTGTTTGTACGCCAGCCTGTACAGTGTGGTAGAAATGACTCATCTAGGATAGTACATTCAAATATTTCACATACCAATCTGTGTTTATATTGTACACAAAAATACTCCCTGTAGAGAACAAGAACATATTTATAGTGTTAATAATTTAACATACACATCTGAAGTTGTGTATTATTAAACCTTAACCTACTATAATGACTAAATGATTTAATTGGAAGCATAAAATACAACCAAACTATGGAAAGCTTTTAGAAATTCAAGAAAAATCTCTGCCTTGGTGTTAATAAGTGAAGAAGTGTTAGTCATAAAGTGCATCACTTTTGTTTTGAGTACATGAACTACCCTTTTTGAACCTAGACTTGCTCTAACAGTTCCATTATAATTAGAGGGCGGACCCAACTTGGCAACATTATATAATTTTATCTGATATATAAACAAATATAGAGTGATGTGGTTTTAAAATGCCCCTTACGAATAACAAATAATCACTCAGTTACAGTTGTGATCATTTTAGTTTTAACGATATTTGTTTGATTTTTTATCAGTCATCACTATCAACACTAGGCCAGTCACCATCTGCGCTTCACGTAGAGCTGTTGAAACTGGTTCTCACCTTCTCCATAACTAATAAGGAGAAGCTGTTGAGACATGCTCAGTTCTGAGAATGAGAAAATATAAGAAAAGTACACTATATTTTATATAAAAATAGACTCTGGTTTGTTGTGTCCTCATTTTTGTAATTAGTAACTTGAATTTAGTAATTGACAGTGGTGGATGAAGTACTCAATCTGTATCTGTACTTTTACAGAAGTACAAGGAGAGTACATGAGTACAAGGGCAAAAAGTTACTCAAGTAGAAGTACCGCATAAAAAAATTTACTTAAGTGAAAGTATAAAAAGTACCTGTTTAAAAATGTACTTAAAAAGTAAAAGTGTTTTGCGATTTTTAGAACAATTAAATTATGAAATGTAGGGATTTTGAAAAAAGAATTTAGCTGAATTTTAGTGGTTCAAGTGATTTCAGATTTTTTTTTTCTTTCCATTTTTGTTTTGTTCAAAGCTAGGACAGAAACTTGAATTAAATGTACCAAAAAATAAAGTCTCAGCCATTTCAACAGGTCTCAAACCATAAAGAAAAGTACATTTTACTTTTCAGTCCAGATTTTAAATGTAGTGGAGTAGAAAGTACAGATAACCTCTCTCAATTGTATTGAAGTAAAAGTGAAAAGTATTCACTGTAGTGTACAGATACCTAATATTTATACTTTAGTATTGTACTTTTACTTTTGTACTTTGTTACCTTCTACCACTAGTAATCGACCTGCATATCCTTAACTCTTGTTTTGTTGTACAGGTGATTGACTCTCTGGGCATCATGATCTACAAAGCTCTGGACTATGGCCTGAAGGAGAACGAAGAGCGTGAACTGAGCCCACCCCTTGAGCGACTTATCGACATGATGACCAACACAGAGGAGACGGAGAGTGACTCCTGTCCTGACGAAGGCTACGAGGCTACAGAAGAGGAAGAGGAGGAGAGAGAGGAGGAAGAGCCAGTATCTGTGACTGGGGCCAGTACTGTGAACCGGATACAAAGCTATAAAGACATTCTCAAGGTGAGTCTGCTGATCAGTACAATACATGTGCTATGTCCTAACAGTATACAGAACATACTGTATTGTCTTCATATCTGATCAATGTAAGAAGGGACTATAGGTTGACATACCACAGAGTTAAGAAGCAAGTGCACCTAATCAGTTATTTAGATCAAAAGGGCAAAAATGTAGTTGGTTGGACTAAGGATTGATAGTGACAAGTTGTGCGAAAAAGGGAACAACACAGCAGGCCAGTGACAGATGAAATATACACAAATGATATTTGAGATTGGTGCAATGATCCAAAGGTTAAAATTATATAATTCTTAAAACATACTTGTTTGTATGAATTCATGAATTTTATGGAATGATTTATTAGAATTGCCCCACATACACACATGCCCGGCCTTGTCACAAGCTTCTATGACGCCAATACCAAGAACATATATGTGAGAGCAAATGATTTTTCAAAAACATCTGGAGGTGCAGCGTCCTACCTGCACATGCCTTGACTGGTTTCAACATTTCTGATTTTTCTGCATATTTTAAAGTCCCTCCAGACTTCAGTCACTTCAGTCATTTCAGTCTGTGTATTCAGACACATATGTTATTATTAACACATGACCTGCCCAAATAAACTCTCCGGTGGAGGCTGTCCTAAAGTAAACTCCCCAGGGACCTCTAAAAATGTGCCTCATAAACTCGTCTATGTAACCATCTGTACGTAGTTTATATAGTTTTGAATTGTAGTTGAATTTAGATTTTAGTCGTAGGCCCCTAATTGTTGATGAGAAGTTTGATTAAATAAGTACACTTAACTGGGGGCTGGTTTTCCAATGCAGTTCTCACAGTTGCTTGGTGAAGGTGAATGCACTGACTTGAGAAAACAGGACTCATTGTTGCAACATTAAATAAAACTACCCGAATAAGCGGGTGAAGTTAGATGCCATTTTGGGTAGAGATATAATGGTTCGCCAATATTTGGAATTTTTAGTGTATTGGCTGTCGGCCTTAAATCTCCAGCACAGGCTGTTTTGCCTAAAATACCCATAGAGCTTTATATTTCACTTTAGTGCAAAGAGATAACTGCTGAAAACGTGACTACACAGCTCTCTTGTAGATCTGTGGTGAAAAAATGGTTGTGGGTGAGTTTATAGTAAATTTAAATTACATAATTTGAGGACAATAATCAAAATTGGTCCTATATGGGCCCAAACATTTCAGTACTGGTATCGGCCATGAAAAAAAAAGGTTGATATCTGACCTTCACTAACTTTTTTGGTTTGCCCTCCTTTTTAAAAGAAATTAAGCTTTTGTTAACTAGCCAGCCAAATTTGATCACTATTTTTAAACCTTCCCAAATATTCAAAGAATTCCAGTTTCATAATTTTGGAATAAACAAGTTTCGTTTGATACAGATCATTGATATTATCGCTATTACCACAAACATATGACACAGCACTTTCCAAAGAAGTGAAACCCTCAGGTGTTATTTTACCTGTGATTTCCCAGCGCATATGCTGACAGAGGCTCATCCCACATGCCTGTAACACACCCTGCCCTTTAAAGAAGTGAAAATATGTCATTAGGCTGGTTTTTCTTCTGTTTGTTTTGCTTGAAATGATTTTGGTCTCATCCATTACTTTGACCTTTAGGTATGAAAATAAAAGCTTCCCATCAGAGCTTTGGCCGTCCCGTTTTAATTCAAAGCATACTACCCTTCTGTTATTATTGTTAAAACATGACAAGACAAAAAAACACTACTACAAAGGCGAGAGCTTTAAGGTTCTGTATAACACAAAATGTACTTTTATGAGCTTTACGCCATGTTAGAATGCTGTTACCTTCTCAAAAACAACCCTAGAATTGTGTTTTGTTTTATTCACGCATGTTGAGTGAACCTGTATCATTAGTCAGTCTACATACCCAAAGCTCAAAATGCTCTGTTCCTCCTTGTGATGTTATGAAGTGATAGTTTATTAACCATTTCTTTTCACTTTTTGTTTTGTAGAAATTGGCAATTCCAAGTGTGAAATTATCCAGATGATTCTAGTGAAGGTGTATGGAGTTTAAAAACACAAAGGAGCACTTCCTGTATTACCACATGACATCACAACGTGGAATAAACTCATCTTAAATATGCAGGGTTTGTGTGTTAAACACATGTGAATGAAACAAAACACAATTCCAGGTCTGTTTGTGAAGAGGAAACAACATTATAACAGATCAGAAAATAGCGTAATGTCTTTTAAGGATCATTTATAGAACTTTAGATTATGCAACATTAAAAAAATGTAATCTTCACCTTGAATAAATCATGAGTCCCACATTTCCACTAACTACAATACATAACTAAATCCTGTTTTTCTCCACAGATTTGTTCCTCCCACCTCCCGAGCCCCTCAGATGCACCCAACCACTACCAGGCTGTGTGTCGTGCCCTTTATGCAGAGACCAGAGAACTGCACACGTTTCTGCTGAAAATAAAGAATGCCAAGGAGGTATGAAGCCACAAATTACTACAAAAAACTCCTCTTAAATGTATACAGGCAGCATTATATCCTAAAAGCAGATGTTACCAAAAGTTCTACATAGAGATGCACCAATATACAATATTGGTATCAGATATCGGCACCGATGTTGAAGATTTTGATGGATCGTATGTCTCTTTAGCTTATATCCTATTTGTTAAGAAGATTAACTGGACAATGTTGACCCAAACACCTTGTAATGTTTTTCAAAGTTGTTCTGTAATTACTTTAAATGATAAATAACTATTACAAAACATTTTTTACCATAGGCTGTGTGTTTAAAGGAAATTAATAACTGGATTGGTGCAACCCTTGTTCTACTGATACTTAGAGATACCAGGAAAAGTAAAAAGGATAAAAACTACAAAAATCGAAAATAGAAAGAAAGGCCATTAAGAGTTGAGATCTGGTCCCCTGAAAATAGTCTCTAATATTGCCCAACATGCTGTTAATGCAGTTACTTGCCATCTTTCAAAATAAAAGTAGAAGTAAACTGTGATGTTAGAAAGTCCCAGACATTTTACTTCCATGTCTAGATTTACCCTTTTTGTTCTGAAGTCCCACCCCCTCTACAGCCTATTGGACTAATGGTCTGTCTGAGTTCAGACTATGTCCCTGGGCAACCCCGTGTTAGTCCAGTACATGCCACTTTATTTCAGACTGGTTTGGTGACTCTTACTGATGCAAGCTGGCAGTCCATTCACCACATCAGACAAGATGAAATGTGGAAAAACTGGCCTCTAGAGTAAAAAGATGTGACTTACAGTGTTTGATATGAGAGATATAAGTAAAGGCTTTAGCAAAAGGGCAAAATAAAATATGAAAATACTTTTAGCAGAAAGTGACAGTACTTATAAAAATAGGGTAACACTTTAGTTTAGGAACCATATATTAATAGCTATCTACTAGTAAAATGGATAATAAGCGCTTAATTATGTCTTTGTTAATATTTATGAAATACTTTCCATGCATTTTTATCTAAGGCTGTATTTCACAGCAATACAATATATATTTTTGTACACACTGACATTTTAATAAGCATTAATAAATGTTTTATAAATATCAGTTAATGGCTAAGTAACAGCTAATTATCATACCATCATACCCAAATACCAGTTAGCGATTAATATGTGGTCCTTTATACTAAAAAAATGTCCCCAAAAATAGTATTTAGTTGAAAGTGATTCACTGTTAAAGCCTCAACAGTTGAAGCACAATATGAAACCCTGTTGTAGCTAAGCATCTTATAGAGTGGGTTACTTTGAACTTCTTTGGAATTTTCTTGTCCATACGGTTCACACGAGCTACAGCACAAGGGCACTGTGAGTTAGTTTCTGTAAGACGTCTTTTGCTATAACAGACTGCATACATGAGGATACATTACAAAAGCCATTTGTCAAGGCCAATGTAATGAGATTCATCTATTGATTTAGGTCATTACCAGCAAAGACTTGACTGAAATAAACATTGTGCATAAAAGACTGATGCGGATGACCTGGTTCAGAGTCTGCTCCACTATCTGTGATCTTAAATCTGCCATGGAGAGATGGTCATGTTTAATGTTTTGATCATCTGACTAACAATCCCAAGCATGAGATTTAAGATGCATTTGATTAGTGAAGTGTATTTTTAGAAGTCATATCAAGTCAAAGTCATAACCTTTTATGGTTCTTAGAGGAGTTGGTACGTTTCATAACACAAAAGTTGTAATTTAGTCGTCTAATGTATAAGTGAAGTAATTTACGCTGCTGTAAATAGGAAACTATGTCAATGAGAGTAGTTGCTCTAGTCTACTTCTTTTGGGCTATGTATATGTCTATGTACGCATGATGTAATGAAAACAAAATGTAACAAAAGCCCAAATAAACTAAACTAAATCAATTGATTTTCTCTGTGGTTCACAGTCAAAGTAGGATGTGCTAAATGTTTTCCATGCCCATGTTAAACCACTGTCATCGATCATTTGACAACACTGGTGAATGTGCCCGTTCACACTGGGTCAATCAATGCCACCCCATAATGATTTTCAAATGGGTGCAGATTGATTTTATATTTTTTGCTCTTTTTCTCATTAGAACCTGGAGAAAATGGAGGGTGAGACTCGTGAAGAGGCAGAACAAGAACTCAACGAGCTGCAAAATTCAGACTGGGTGAGATAACAAAATGTAACAATTAGTACACTATAAAAATGTATTTTCTTGTCCTGTTCAAAAGTGTCTGGAATTCAGAATCAAGGTAGACAAGGAATATTTAACTGGATTTGTAAACATTTTTTGGCTGTTTTCATGTTAATAAAATTTGAAATAAGAATATAAATCTGCCAAAGTGTCAAATTGTATGGCTTGGCTAAGAGGTAATAAATAGAAGTGAAACGAGTCAGAATCATGGTGTAAATAGTGAAAAAATCAATTGGAGTCCATTAATAAAAATAAATCATAACTTACTGAAATTAAGATTCACATTCTAAATTTAAGGCATTATTAATCCATACATAATTTTTTTATAGTACTTTAGAATCCTTTTTGACATTTATATTGTTTTGCTTTCAGGCTCGATTCTGGGTCCAGGTGATGAGAGATCTCCGACATGGTGTCAAGTTAAAGAAAGTACAAGAGCGACAATACAACCCACTGCCCATAGAGTACCAGCTAACCCCCTATGAAATGCTCATGGATGATATTCGCTCCAAACGATACAAGTTAAGAAAAGTCATGGTAAGTCAAAAAACACTCTTTTTCTTTAAATGTCCTATATTATGCTAAATGGACTCTTGTGAGCTTTTAGCCATGCTATAATGTTGTTACGTCCTCAAAATATAGCTGGAGGTGTGTTTTGGTTCAGTCACATGTGTTTGACTAATCTTTCTATTAAGTCTATATCTCCAAAGCTCAAAATGCTCTGTACTACCTTGTCATGTCATGAAGCAGTAGTTTTCATGTTTACAGCCCCTTTTTCCTTTTGTTCAGGAGAGATACACAGTTTAAGGGCTGATTCTAATAATAAAGGTGTATGGAGTTTAAAAACTCTGTGGAGCACTTCCTGTATTGCTACATGACATCATAAGATGCAGTATTTCCAGTTTGAGAGAAGAACTAAATATGCTGGGTTTCTGTATTAGTGTGAATAAAAAAACAACAACACAACTCCAGGTATGTTTTTGATGAAACAACGTTGTGACATAGATCAGACAATAACATAATATGGGCCCTTTAAAAGTTTGTTCCTTTCTTTGATTTTGCTGAATTGATTTATCTTTTAATTTCTTTGCAGGTTAATGGAGACATCCCACCGCGGTTAAAGAAGAGTGCTCACGAGATGATCCTTGAGTTTATCAGATCACGGCCTCCTCTCAACCCGGTGAGTATCATAAGATCATATCTCCTAATCTGCCCTAATGCGTCTCCCACCTGCACATTAAGCTCTAAACCACAATTGGCCGTGGTCCTACTTTTGGTTAGATAACAGTGTTCACTACAAAAATATTCATTATTTGCTTCAAAACAGAGATCATAATATGGCATTATAAATACAAATACATAAAATATGTGAAAAGCTATTTAGCAAGTAATTAAATCTGAATAATTGCTCTTCCATTATTACTATACACTAAAGCAATTCAAATCACAATATATGAAGGCTGTGACTCCAGATTAGGTATTCAAATGAACCTAAAAAATGTCTCATTTGAATGAACCTGGAAGAGGAGAGCAGGGAGGCATAAGAAAATATTAATTAAACTTGGTAGATAGTTTTAAGATGTTATTTGGTTATTAGTTTGTTAGTGTGTATTGCTTGTTCATTGCAATATTGTGTAGCCTATGAGCCTATGCTAACTCTGCATGTAACTGTCACTAATTAGTCTTGTTGTTGTCTGTTTGATGCTGTTAGGTGGCGGCCCGTAAACTGAAGCCCCACCCGCCTCGCCCCCGCAGCCTACACGAGCGTCTCCTGGAGGACATTAAAGCCGAGAGGAAGCTCAGACCTGTCTCACCTGACATGATCCGTAGACATCGTTTGGGTAAGACACAGGGATTCCTAACATACACCAGCTGTATTTGTAACTAAATAAAGTGGACTAAATCATATTTCTAATGACCATATAGTTGCAGTAACCCTTCTTCCTGTTTGACTTTGGTCACTCAATCAGAAGAGTTTACAGACCGCCAGTAATGTCTTTTTCTTTTATTTATAAAGTTAGTAAAGTATGCCCCTTCTTTGACCTAGCATTTATTTACTGAGGATTTAAATAGCCATATATTTTTCTCAAAGGATGTTTCTCATGAGTGCTTGGTAAATAGGTAGATAATCTCTATGGTATGTAGTGGCCATCGTCTTAAACCACATAATAGCTTTTAATAATGTGTGTACTTGTGTACGTTGCAACACTAATTGGGTAGTAAACCCACAAGATGGCTTTTGTGTGGGAACAGAATGTTACATATATGGTACATCATTGATAAGTTTTTAGCCTTGTTATGGATGCAGAAAAGTACAAGCACAAGATAAATTGAATATCTTAATAGATTTCTGTCCTTGATAATGCAGGATAGATCTCTAATAATATATAATATAAAACTGACTGTTTCCGCCAAATTCAAATCAAATCACTTTATTGAATTTATTGGATATAAAAATAATAGTGTAACACACTTGTATTTCCCTCACATATTCTATTATCCATATTTTAAAGGTGCATTATGTAGCTTTTGTGGTAGGTAGTTTGCCACCTGGTTGTCTCCAAGGAGAAGTTGCTTTACTACGGAACATTCCAGGAAACCCAATTGCAACTCCATGGAGAAAAGCAGGTCGTGATTGTGAGCATCTCGCCTCAAAGGTTACTTGAAAAGTCACATAGTGCACCTTTTTAAACAATAAGAAGTCTATTTTATTTTGTAAGCATTCCTAATTAACATCAGTTAACATATTGATTAATTCTTTTCCTTTGTCTTTTTCTAACCTGTGTGAATCTATCAGTCATGCGCCCTCTTAGAATGTCTTTCAGTTTTGACTCTTCAGGTAACGCCATCTCTTGTGTAGTTCAGTGAGATTTCTAAGTCAAGGCTAATTTTAGCTTCTGCTTTTGTGTGAGTGCACCTTCCTCCTCACCTCTTGTAGTCTGTGAATGACACGCTACTGTCACATGTTGCAGACTGTTTAGCACAATATAATTTAACTACAAATGTCTGAAATGTCTAAATGTTTAGGATGCAAGAACTTTGGCTTCTTTGTAAATTGTAGGACTGCACAATATTGGCAAATACTACTGTGTTAAAGGTGCACATTGTATCTTTTTGGTTGGGGGTCCGTTACCTGCTTGTTTCTATAGATATGTCATTGCTCTACCTGGAATATTCCACAGTATGACATTAAACAGGTATACCTTACATTTATTAAATTGCAGGTGGCTTTATAGCAAAAAATACAGAGACAAATATGCATTCTGATTAAGAGCGTGGTTGCCTCTCCACACATCTGAGCTGTAACTTTGTCTGGTGTGTTCTCCACGGAGACGGAAAGGTTTAATGCTATACTGTGAAACATTCCAGACAAAACAATAACATCTGCACTGAGAAAAGCATTTGACAGACCCTCCACCAGAAAAGTTACATGGTGCACCTTTAAGTATGCTATAGATTTTGTTTTGAGTCACTTGAAAATTTGTTTTACTGACAGCTCTGATAAAACAACAATATTGATATAAAGTCTCTCTCTTTGTTTGACTTGCAAATATACACTTAGGCCTGTCACAATAATTACTATCTTAACTTATTATTAGTATTATTAGTATTCAAAAATTAGGTCTTTTTTTTATCGCATGTAAAATTTCTTTGCACTACAGGGACAGTTATTTTTTGGATATACAAAAATATTTAAGTGTTTCATTCTGCTGTTTGTTTATAACAGCTCATGATTTTTTAAAATAATATACATTCAGAATAGTTTTTGTGGTTTAAATCTGCTCTTGGGTTTTTGTGTCAGTGGCATATAGTAGTTTTAGTATTATCATTCATTGTCTATCGTCTATATTTACTTAAACAATATATCAAACTTATTTTTTTTATTGTGACAGGCCTATTTACAGTTTCTTACATAATAGTAATCAGTCCACTAATTATTGTGCAGCCCTAGTATGTTTAAAGTGTAAGTGGCAGAGGTCTATCTGCCAACAAGGTGATGAGCCACTGAGTCAAAGCTGGTCTCTACAGTCATTTCAGTCATTCAGTCATTCAGCACCAATCACCGCCCTAATCTGCCTGTGAAAAATTACATAACCCCTCTGGATGAATAGTTGTATAAGGCAGATGACAGTTTGAATGTGGGGCAACATAATCCAATCTGATGTACAAGAGTAACCTATGCCTCAGTGTCTCTGCCTTCCCCCCTGCCACCTGCCCCCTCCCCCAGCCATTTTCCTGGGCTTTACAACCATGCACACTCTGTCACTGTATGTCAGTGCATCCACAGGTTAAATCTGTGCTGCTGTTGTGCGTGTAAATGTGGTCCTTATTTATACATTTTTTTCACAGGTGCAGGGAAGAGCATCAGCACTCCTCAAGATTTGTGTCGCAGCTCAGGTAAAGTATCAGGATATCATATTTAAAGAGTCTATATTGCACAAAATTGACTCTTGAGACTAACTGTTGTTATCTCATCAAAAACATACCCGAAGCTGTGTTTTGTTTCATTCACACATGTTTGAGTAATCCTTTATTATTAGTCTGTTTACATCTCCAAAACTCAAAAGGCTCTGTTCCACCTTGTGATGTCATGTGGTGGTAGTTTTCAAGTTAACAAATACTTTTTAGCTTTTGTTCAGTAGAGATTGGCAATTCCAGGGCAGAGATTATCCAAATTTCTAATGGAGGTGTATGGAGTTTAAAAACACAGTGGAGCCCTTCTTGTATTACCACATGAAATCACAAGGCAGTACAGTGGGTTTTCTTTTTGAAAAATAAAATCTTTTTAAACAAATATGGTGTTTTCTTCCGTAGACACCCCGGACAGTCATAGGAAGATGGCTGGCAGTACACAGTCTCTGACGAGTGGCACCCCAACTCCAAACCAGGGCGCAGTCCAACCACTGTCCCAGAGAAAGAGGCTCCTCAAGGCACCCACCCTGGCAGAACTGGACAGCTCTGAATCTGAGGTACTAAAACACAGTCATTGCACTTTATAGATAATAATTTATTTTACAATGGTGTTAAATACAATCCATATTGACCTTCAAGGAGGAGACATCAAAGAGTAGCTCCAGTATAGTGGAGGAAAAACTTGCAGCAATCGCAGAGAAGAAGCGTATGTTGTCAATATTATTTTTGCCAATTTTTAAATTTGACCATTTGTCCTTATTTTAAACGTTCATATCTTCTCCTACAGCTCCCCCCAAATTTCTTCCAGTTTCTGCGACCCCACAGCCAGACAAGCGCCAACCGTCTCCACAGAGGAGGCATTCAATAGAGAAAGAGGCCCCCACAAGCGTACGCCCCTTCATACCGCCATCCAGACAGAGCTCCAAGTCTTTGGTATGTCCACTCTACAAGCTAATTCATAATGTTAATTTAAAGCTAAACCATATGAAATCCTATTTGTGAGACTGAACCATTTGAATGTTTTCTCCTCATTACTGAGGATAAGTTGCCCAACAATCCTGGTACAATATGTCCGTTGACGTAGGCTTCGTCCTGTGACTGCTCATTTGTTTTCCATGAGGTCACTGTTTGTGCGAGTCGTATGATTCTAGTGAGGCTGATGGATGTAATTGAAAGCACAGGATGGGCCGCTGTATGAAGACGACTGAGATAAAACTGCTCCATTCTCACCAGTGTTAAACAGCTGATACTTCATGCCAAACCGGGACTATTTATGATCTCCTGGCTCAAAAAATAAAAATAAATGCAGCTTAAAACTAAAAAGAAAATCTACAGAATGTGTTTGTGTAAATATATGTATGTATACTGAGAATGTAAACTACTGACAAAATATTTTTCAACATCTAAGGAGGGGGTTGGGTAGGCAGTAGGGTAAGTAGTTCATAGTAGTGCAGTGATAGTGACCCCATCCCAAAGATTGTTGGAAATATCAGGTGCCATAGGGGGTCCAATTTTGTTTCATTTCACCTGCCTAATATGAATTATGTTAAGTGTGTGATTGTTGGTGGTTGGAAGAGTCAACGGTGCAGATTGGGAGCCTTGCTTTTGTTAGTCTACCCTATGGCAGCTGTGCTTACAATAATATCTGTGAATGAATAATGCACAAAATTATTTTTGCATTCTGTGATTGGTTTTGGGCCTAATGGTAAACCAGACAAAACATCCAGGAGTTGTTTTATTTAATCTTATGATGCTTCCTGTATTTATAGTAAATGGTACGTTGTAGTAAAAGTATTGTTATTCCCTTTTGTGCTGGCCAGGTGAAGGGTGCTGGCGCAGCTCAGGGCACGGTAGGTCTTTGCTGTTACTATAGACGTATTTCATACCATTGTTTTGGGGACCTGTTTCACAACTTCATTTCTGTGCATGTGTGTGTGTACCTACAAAGAGGAGGAGATCTGTGACACATGTTAATAATATACAACATACAGACTCAACACAAGCCATTAGATGTGTTTGTACAATACTATATAACTATACAGTATGTCATCAAATCTCCTTCTACCACTGTGATGCCATTGGTCCATTATCAAATGACGTCAGTGGAAAAAATTAAACTGGTACATGGGTGTGGGGTTTGTTTTATAACTTCTTTATGTTTTTTGGTGTTTGGGAACTGCTTGCGTCACTCCATGATTATAGCATGTAAGCCTACCACAATATAATTCAGGATCAGGGGTACATTTTGTAAAAGTGGGCAGAATTTTGTTATTTTAGTTGTAATACGATAAGGTTTGAGCTGTAGAGGGTTGAATAAGTCACTTTATGGCTAATCATTGGTTTATTCTGCTATTTATTTGTTGCAGCTCATGCTTTTTAATGATAGTGTATATTTAAAAAATATTATCGTTTATCAGTATTTCTGTGTAGCAATATACCGTGCTTCAAAATTTGTTATCGTAACAGGCCTAATAGCATGTCTTTAATTCACCCTCTGACACTGGTTTGGTTACATGGTCTGTTTCCTTCCATCATCTCAAAGTAACTGATTGTATTAAGATGCATTTGTTGTTCAAGTTCCTGTCTATTCTTTTTCAGGAGGAGTTTTGTTATCCAGTTGAGTGCCTGGCTCTCACAGTGGAGGAGGTCATGCACATCCGCCAGGTTTTGGTCAAAGCAGAGCTAGAGAAATTTCAGCAATACAAAGACGTCTACAATGCACTCAAGAAAGGAAAGGTATCCATTAAAAACAGCTGTCTCAAGTTATCTGAAATGCATTTTTGCAAGTTGTTCTTGTTTCCTAACTCATTGTTTGTTTGTAGCTTTGCTTTTCATGTCGGATAAAGAGGTTTTCACTCTTTACGTGGTCATACACGTGTCAATTCTGCAAAAGGTAAGTTAAAGTACCATTGTGAATTATTGTTATTATTATTAGTAGTATTTTCATTAAAAGTAATAATTGTGTGTTTCAGACCTGTGTGCTCTCAGTGCAGTAAAAAGGTTGGTGACTTTTTTCTGTAATACTTCAGTTAACAGTTATTTAGTTTTGCTTATATATAAATCATATGGTTTCAGATGCGACTTCCCTCTAAACCTTATTCCACGTTGCCCATTTACTCTTTGGGTCCGAGCTCTATGGCCAAAGAGGAGGGCTTGACTACAATCCCTGATGCTGACAAACAGCCTTTTGGACAGCACCGCCACAGTCTGCGCCGAAGTGTTCACAAGTAAGACACAATTCTAATTACAAGAATGAAATTTAGATCTTTTTGATATACTAGTTTTCTCAATGGATATAGGAAAAACAAACAGGTCATTTCACATAATCGAACAGTCCCTTACTTGGTTCCTTTCAGCTGCACCGGCTGCACCTCTAAACTGGTTAATATCCCATGATATGATGTTAAAAACTGAGCTCAAAAAGCAAAAAAGTTCAAAAAATTGTCAGTGTGTGAGCCAAGTACTACTACTCTTTTGCCGTGGGATCATGAAAGTGCATATTTAAAGTTTCAAGACATTTATAATTGATTTGAGTCTGTCTTGAATCTGGTCATTACAGAGTTCAAACTCCAGTGGTCTATTCCATGTTTTATTTCAAATTCCTACTTATGTGCTTCTTGCTTTAGGTTGTCCAAGCACACCAGCAAAGATGGCAAGCCACAGGAAGATCTGGAGCTTCCCAAGGAGCTGACAGAGGACTGGGTGACGATGGAGGTGTGTGTAGACTGTAAAAAGTTCATCACAGAAATCATCTCCTCAAGCAAACGTAGTCTCAGCGTGGCCACCAGGCGAGCTCGGATCAACCGCAAAACCCAGTCGTTTTACTTGTCATCATCGGCATCTGCCAACTTCAGACCGATGGAGCGAACCATCAACGAGGTATAAACGAAACGGACATAAATGGCCAATGTTTTCAAACAGACATCAGCATGAAGACAATAGATCCCACTTTGCTTGTAAAAGGTTGTAGCACCTTACCCTTCCTCTCTCAGGAAATGTTGGCACGCTAATCGAAAGTTGTCATGAAGCGGAGTGGCCAGGACTTTTGAATTAGCTGCCGAACGACTAAGGAGAGCCATGTATTTGTAATAGCAGTGATTAGTCAGGAAAAACTATTGTGTAAACAGGCACATGTTTCTACATTTGAATATAGTGGAAAACTACATTTATTTCTATAGTTCAATACAAAGAGCACATTAACAAAATACTGTTATCCACGAAGTATGTAGTACAATGAGCTTATGGTCTGATGGTGCTTAGGCCTGTCATGATGACCAGTTTTGAAGCATGATGTATTGCTACAAACATATATAACGATAAACGATACTTTTGAAACTATATTATGCCACTGACACAATTTAAATAAAGCCGGATAATCCCAATAAACCATTTTTTAAGTAAACAGTATCATTAAAAGATGACTGATGAATGAAGAGGCAGAATCAAATAGCTGATGAACAGATAATTAGCTATAGCAGTTATTTATTCAACCCTCTACAGCTTAACTCATGTCATATTCCAACTAAAATGACAAAAATTTCCCCATTATTACAAAGAAAATGTATAGGCAATATATATTGAGCCCCCAAAATATTGTTCTAGCTATTATTTATTGAAGATAATTATCATGACAGGCCTAATGGAGCTTATGGTCTATTAGCATAAAAACACCAAGTATTATTTATTTTCACTGGCATTTAGCAAATGTTTAGAATATATAGTTATTTATGAACTATTGACAGTTAATTTAGTCCACAATATTCACATGTTCTTACATGTGCCTGTAAGGTCAAAGGTACAGTATACTCAATGAAAGCCAAATTTTGGGTGAAGTGTAGATAGTTATAAAGGCGCATTCCCTAATATTAGCTATAAATGTTCCTATTCCTGTTTACTGAGCACTCAGGAAATATAAGTAATATAAGTGATTGTGTTTTGACAGAGATGCACTGTAGAGACTCCTGTTGGGTCTGCCACTCCTCTCACTCTTCCAGCAACAATTAATATGCCAAATGTTACTTGATTCATTTTGTAGTTCATCTCACAAATGCTATTTTTTCCACTGTTAATGGGGTGAAATTGTGAGCAGTGACAGGATTATATTTTTCAGCCTGGGGTAAAGAGGGGTTTTAAAATTATGTAAATTTCAATTCTGTGCCTGGTGCCAAAATGTAATGTGTTTTTGAATGCCTTGTTGAACTGCTGTACATATGTGTCATTGAAACAAAGCAGGTGATGTATATGAGATGATGCCTTTTTATTAGAAGCACAGAAATGGTGTACATTATATTTAAGAATAGGCACACATTTATTGAAATGAAAGTACATTATAATTTAGATTTTATTATGTTCAAGCTTAGAGTTTCAGTCTTATCTCCATTTTCATTATTTAGTTATATACTTATTGTTAATAAAATATGTATTTTATGTATAGTTTAATATATTTCAGTCAGTGTTAACGTTTTAGCACATTTATTGGGCCAATGAACTGTTTATTTCTTTATAATTTAGATTTTTTAAATATATATATATATATATATATATATATATATATATATATATATATATATATATATATATATATATATATATATATATATATATATATATATATATATATATAATATATATATATATATATATATATATAAAATATTCTTATTGCTATTTATCAGAATCATGTCCTAATTTAAATATGAATGAAGAGCAGAAAACAACAATGACATTCACTACTACGATTCAGCTGTTGCATTCAGGACTTGCTTCTAAAATGCATCACCAGCTTTTCCTCAAGGAATGTGCGCATGCGTCCTTCTGTTTTTATTAAAGAACAGACAATAAAACCTGAAGATTTTACTATTGATCCGGGTCTTGTTGTGTGCTTTGCTCAGCAGCAGATGGCGATAGACACGCACTAAACGCAATGAACTACTCAAATGTTCACTTAAGCTGTGTTCCGAGGACCTCTGGTGGTAATCATATATTGCAGGTTTAGTCTTGCAGAACTCAGAACTGCGCATGTGCAGTTTTAACTATTATTTGATAATATGTTTATTGACCAGCGTTTTTATGTATTTGAGGTTGGATTTCTTTTAATGTTTAAAGGAGCACTGTTTAAGACATCTGGTTGTCTACATCAAATTGTTCCATGTTATGGCATTAACCTTATTTGTCTCCATAAAGACAAATATGATACCACCACGCCAAGTTACAGGTCATATCTGTGGAGAGGCAGGACTACTCACAGTACAAAAGCCTACTTTACATGGTATTTCTAAGCAATAAAAACACCTGTACTGCACTGTTTTGTATAAAATCTCAGTGAGACAAATACGTGGCGGACCCTCCACAACAAAGGTTCCACATTACACACATAATGCCAAATGCAACTTTTAATGCAATGCTAAACTCTTCAGATGAAATGTAGTCTTCATAGAATACAAAGACGTATAAAATCGAAATAAATGGTCACAGGAAGTACTTAAACCTTCTTATGGGCTCACAAATTCCCAGCAACTTGTTCTTCAGTGTATTAAACAGCCACCTGCCACAGGGGATACTTTGGCTCTGTTCCTGGTGATTTCCTGATGGTTGGTAACAGAGACTGAAAATAACTTTGTGACCAACAATCTCCCAAAGGCTGACCCCTGATCCGTCTCTATGGGACTAACAACAAGCAAACACTCCATAAACACATCTCCACCAGTTAAGTACTTTAACAGCTATAAAACAATCTTTACACTAATACTAATGCTAATGAGAAGCCTAACTAACTACTACTTCTAACATCAATGTTGCTTTTTGGTTTCCGGTCTCAAACATGTGAATTATTCCCCACTAATGGCCAAGGATTCAAATGTTAAGAGTGAAATGGGATCTCTTTTGCTAAGTGCCTTCACTGTAAACAGGTCATTACTGTACTAACAGCAAATAAGCCGAAACTAGAGACTGGGTAAATCACTAGATGATTGGCACTGGTATGAAAATCTGTAAGGCTATAACATGTCAGTCATACTTGGACATAAACATATGTGTTGTGGTAATGCAAGAAAAACAGCACTATAAATATACTGGGCCATTTGCAGGACATGTGGTGGCAGTTAGTGATGCATGTATGGCAAATGGGTCACCTGATAGCTGTTAACATGTCTCAAAACCTGCGCTGACAGTTCTACCATTGACTAAACTCAATATGTTCTTCTAATGGGGGGATTAATTTAAAGCTAAAAGAAAATATACAGAAATTATTTTTGACAAAAACATAATAAAACTACTAAAAATAACAAAGCATAGGACAAATGTGCAGTTACCAGCAAACCATATCAGAATAGATATACTTTCGCCACGTGTTGCCTAGACACTAGTAGTTACCATGGTGAGTGGATGTGCAAAAATGATTGTGTCAAGAAGATATTTAAAGTTTAAGAGGCAAATAATTTTTTTTTTTTTTAAATAAATTTTATAATCAGTTTTCCAGATTGTGATTAGTGAAGTAGGATACTTGTAAAAGCTAGGGTCATAAGGGGAAGGAATTATTTTGTTCACCAGTCCAAGGCCATTGTAACCCCCACAGATTCCTCTAAGACATAAACTGTCAAATATTTTCACATCACAAACATACATGAGCTGCCTCAATGTTTTTCCTGTTGATTCTTTAGTGCATTTGTCATCACAGTATACATTATAACCTATAGAGAAAGGTTTTCATCAATAATTCGTCAGCATGAAAAATTATAATGGAATGTACTATAAATCTTTGTGGACTTATTAACGTATTACCTTTCAAATCCAAAAGCTTTAATTCTCTCATTTAGTTCATTTTTTTTGTTGTTGTTGTAGGACTTAGATCTCTAGATCTTTAGATCTCTACTATTTTACATAAATATAAATATGAAGGCAGAATTACCCATCCTATTAAAGGTGCACAGTAACTTTTTGGGTGGAGTGTCAACCACCTGCTTGTCTCCATGAAGATGTTATTGCTTTATCTAGAACAGACATGTCAAACTCAAGCCCGGAAGCCAAATTTTGCCCGCGATATATTTATATTTGATCATATCAAATATGTATTAGAGCTGGCCCATTGGCTACAGATAAAGACATTACTTATTTAAAATTTTGTTACTATTTTATATTATACTTGTTCTGGATTCACTGTTTAAGCAAAACTATTATTAATCATTTATTTTAATAAGAAAATATTTAACATTACATATCTCAAAAGAAGAGAAAACATGCAGATGTTGTTGAAATTTTTCAATAAATATTTAGTTTGCCCCACGACTTTTAATTTTTAATTTAATTAATTTAGTTTTTAATTTTGGCCCTCTGTGAATTTAAGTTTGACACCCCTGACCTAGAATGTTCACAGTATGGCACTAAACTGATGCCACCAGTTGCAAGTTACACGTCGTAACTGTGGAGAGGCTACCCTGCACTAGTGAGCAGTCGAAGCTGTTAGGTATGAAAATAAACAAAATCTGAGAAACATGCAGGTACTGGATCCTCATCAACAAAGTTACATAAGGCACCTTTAAACTAAGATCCCATAAACATTTGTCACACAACTATCTCAGTTTTCTTCAGGGTCTCCGGTTCACCTCACCCCAAGTGCCTTCACAAATGACACCCATACATGTCAGCTGAGGTCCCTTTTGAAGCTTATGGCCTGGGCTGACATGCCACTGATCAGCAGCATAACCCTGGATTCGTGAGGGAATGCAGGGCGGCCTCCAAGTGGTTTCATGACAAAGAAAAATGGGACCACATGCTGTAAAGACAATCATGGTGGGTTGGGTCTGTTGGTAACACAGACTAGAGGCAGAGAGCCGTGGTCAAATAGTTTGTAAGGTAAAGATCCCTTTGAAGTCCATACATCAGTTTTAGGGTCGTAACACTCAAAGCAATCAGAGTCCTCAATAGTATCATAAGCATTAAGAATGCGTCCCCCAGTAATGTAGAGTTTGTTGTTAATCACGGTGGCGCTGTGGTGCATCCGACGCTCCTTCAGATTCTCACATTTCACAAACTTGTTGGCTTTGGTGTCGTAGGCAATCATACGACGAGTGTAACCTGTACAAAGGAAAGGAATAAAGAATAGGGAAAGGATAAAACCCAGACAAACTTTATTGATCTACAAGGGAAATTACTTGGACATGATGTTTTTCTTTACCCACAGCTTACCTCCAACAATGTAAATCTTATCTTCTATGACAGCAGCAGGTGCACACACATTTTTTACAGTTCTGGTCTCCAGTCTGCACCACAGGTTACGAGAGATGTGATACACCTGTTAACAAGTTAAGATGGTCAAAAGACAGCATTTCTGCTGATGTACTCAGAAATGTTACACTATACATTTTCTATATCTTTTGTGAAACCACAACCACATTAGTGAGAGTTCCTGTACCTATGTACGCCAATAACAGTGGATGTTCTCAACTATTTATGTTACATGTTGTGGCATGTTGTCCAATAAAACCCTAACACAGTGGTTCTCAAACTGTGGTGCAACTGCTTCTGGTGGTATGTAGACTTCTATTCAGTTAAATTGTGTTCTTAAGCTGGTGTTGTTTTCTTCCTCCTTTGCGGTAGTCCTTCTTTAGAACTTTTGTAGCAAAGGTGTAGTTCTTTTTTACTGATACTCAGGAGGCTAAATCCTTTCTTAGGTGGTACTTGGTGTGAAAAGTTTGAGAAGTTTGATTTGCTATTGTACTTGACTATTCATGTATTAAACTTCAAGTGTTTCATTTTACTGTATTTACCTGAATCAGTCTGACTGGATTCTGCATTGCATCTTCTCCTCCAAAAACATAGATCTTTTGGTCGTTAGCAGCAACAGCAGGATGCAGGACAGCCGTGGGCATTGGCACCATAGACTCCCACTGGTTAAACATACTGTTGTATCTCTCCAATGATGGAGTGATTTTCTTGTCCACACCTATCCCTCCTAACACAAAGATGAAATGCAGGTAGGAGACGCTCTGGTGGGCATAGCGTGGCTGTAACATGGGCTCTGCTGTCCTCCATTGGTTGGTCTTAAGTGAGAGAGTGTAAACTGTAGCACTAACTGAACTGTCACCTGAAGCCATGCAGAGGCTGAGCCCTCCCAGGACATACAGGATGCTGTGAATGCACACATAAGCAGCTTTATACAGCCGCAGTGGAAGCTTAGCTAACCACTGCCAGCGGTGAGTCCTCTCGTCATACAACAAAGCTTCTCGAGAAGTTTGTTCATTGTTTTTTCTTCCTCCTACGACCACTAAAGTTTCCCTGCATGTGTAGCGCCTCGGTGTGGTCCATAAGGGTTTGAGCTCCCGGCTGCATTTGGAGCTGACGGAGAGCATGAGGCGCCGCACAGAGTCTATGATTTCAGTGCACAGAGTAGAAGACTGCACCAGAGGGTCATTGGCGATGAACTGGAACAAATAAGTGGGGTGAATGAAACGCAGACGCACCCTCTTGAAGAGATCATGTATGGCACCACGTCGTGAGAATGGGTCATGATGTATCCACGCTAAAAGAGTTTCAAAAACCTGCTCCTCTTCAGCACAGAGGCGGTCGTCCTCTAAGTATGACATGAGTTCAGGCAGAGAGAGTTCACAGAAGTCCTCTGATGCAGCAACATCAGAAAAGCTCCTCACAGCCATCTCCTTGGCGCACTCCTTCAGACTCTCACAGTGCAGAATCTCTGACAATCGGATCATGCTCAAGCAGTTTTCTGGACTGAGCTGCTCCTGGAGGAACAGGGAGCAGGCCTCAAACAAACCCACATAGTGCAGCATGGAGGCAGCCTGCATCACAGGAAGCACATTCTCCATAGTGATGGTAATACAACCTGTGTACACATAGTCCACGATGCCACTGAGGACCGAGGAGGAGATTCCCTGGAGGTTGACACGCGCCTGGCTGCTCTCCAGGAAGTTACTGCAGAACATGGCTCTGAAGTACGGGCTGCTGGAGACCAGCACTGAGCGGTGACAGGGGAACTCCTGCTCCTCACTGCAGAGGAGCACGTCCGTCAGCACCCGGCTCTGCCTCAGGCTGTTCAGTTGCGTCAGGAGGTGCAAAGGGAGCTCTGAGTCTCTGAAAGTGAAGGAGTCTCTCGGCCCACATGCCATTCTGGAGGACAGGAAAAACCTTTAATAACTGTATAACAATATTTGTATAACACACTGAATTATTACTACTATACACTTACTATTGTTCAAAAAATTACTTTTGTACAGTACACAGGTAATTGGCCTCTAAACAAGCAAATAAATCATTATTAGGGACAGTAATTATTTTAATAAACACAGTGGCAGCTACAGATTTACTCCTAAGGCCCTGAGCAGTCTAATATATTTAGATCACTAATCATTATTGTAAATTATTAAATGCCAGTGACTAGAAGCAAGATTTTATCATATTTACTCCACAGAGACAAAACAAACAGATAATAACTTCTCTATGGCAGAGTAATGAAATTGTAATTCAGTAACGAGGATAAATGGTTTAGTAACACGTGCGTATACAAGCTCACACACTCAAACCATTCATCAATACTTACATTATGGTTTATGTGGTTAAAAAGTGAGGAAGAAGCAAAATACAGGCAAATTAAAAACAGATATTCAGTCCATAGTGCGATAGTGGGACATCCCGTGGAGCCAGTGTGAGAATAGGAGCATGACACAGGGAAAATGATGGTGTGGGGCAAAGGGGCTCGCCATGAGGCCGCTGTGTACATTCCTTATGAGGCTAAGAATAGCATGGTGGGCCAGTGCGACTGCCCGGCCAGGCCCTCTCATGTGACACAAAGCTGTTTGGGACCCTGCTGCCAGCTTAACGGCTTGGGCAGGGATCCAGTGGAGAGATACAGAGAGAGTTTACAAAAGATGCTTCAGGGGGGTTCTGAATCGGCCATAAAGCCCACCCAGGTTTAATCAAAGGGTCCCATGACAGCTAACCCTTCCATCCCATTGCACTGTTTAGGTCCTCCCTCCATCAAGTGTAACCCAGGATGAGGTAAAAATAGAGCACTGCTGAAGGGTGGGCTTGATGTTGTTGTATTATGCACATAGCTAACACTTTTCTTTCTTTCTTTTTTTCTTTTCGGCAATGATATCAATTTAGCAGATAATGGGTTTACTGACTATATATCCACTGTTGCCTATAAAGTCTTCAGTTCTTGTTCAAATAAAACACAGCATTTCTCTTTCTCATTTAAAGTGGGATAAGCTATGTTTGCATCATATATTTTTGTTGTTGTAAAGAGTTAAATCCTCTGTTAACAGGCCTGGGAGTCTTTAGATTCTTCCTGTATCATCTAAGCCTGGTCCTCCAGATGAATTATTGCCATGTTTGCTTAGCGACACATGACAACCACCTGATATTACATGAAGTTGGATTGAATGACATAGCTGCAGGAAAGCAAGCTGACAGCAAGTGAGATTTTATGGTGACATGAGAGCAGCCTGGTTGTTAGCAGTATTCATCAAACGTGACATCTCTAGCCTACAGTAACTTTCTCCTCAGTAAGCCCCTTTAGATTATGTAACCTAATACGTATATGTAACCCAAATCGAGTTACAGTTTAGATACGCCATTAGTTATAATAGAATAAAAGAATAAAAAGTTGTAAAATAAAATTCACTGTTGATTCCCCACAGCTTGGATAATGCAACTTTGCTTCTCACATGTATTTTGTAGGCAACAATACATTTTTATGAGATTTTATTAGATCTAGCGAGCATAACTAAGCGTATAATTTAATAATAGCATATAATTACCTCCATCACCTGTGATGTACCAACTCCATTCATTCCAGTGGTCACACCTCGACCGGAAGTGACGAATGTGTCCGCAAGCGTGACGAACAGCTCTTTCGAAAATACAACAAGGAAGTGGACGTTTATTCTAGGGGGAAATAATCTCGGGGCGATACATTTCTTTAGGTAGGGGATCTTCACTCGGTAGGTTAGTTGTGTGGAGATATTGTCATCGTGGACTCCCTCGAGGTGCCGCTTTTTATCGTCTCCGGGGAGCTGCTGTTAGCTGCTAGGTGCTAGCAATGAACACGGACGTGGAATTTCACATCAGGCAGAACTATCCGTGGACCAAGCTCCCTGCTAATGTCAAACAGGTATCGGGTTTGGGCTTTCTAATGGCTGATGGAGGGATGGTGTGAAAGGGGACGGCGCCCTGTCTTATGTTGAACCTGTCAATGTCACCGTGCACCGTGTGTCTTGGAGGCAGCTGTCAGTGTGTCCTCCTCTGCAGGCTTTCTCCATTCAACCAGCCATTGCTGACCATGATTACATTACAGCCATTGAGAGAACGCTGCCTCCGCTAAAACTACATTGGCATCACATGACAGATTGTTTAAGAGGTGGCGCCATATGCTTCTAGCTCCTGGATGTCACCTGCACTGTTGCAATTACACAGCTGGGGGCAATATGTTTTGCTTTACTATTATGAAGGTATTGTGAACAATATACGAGACTATAAATAGTAATAAATCCCTCCTCCTCCTTTACATGCACTCCTCAAGTAGGGCTGTGCTGTATATGTCACTTCTGAGTGGGGGCGGACATCGAGCCTAAGGACGTTTTGTACTCAAATCTCCTTTTTAAGAATCACATGAATGGCCAACGATTTGTTTGACAAAAGTCAACATATTACATGTCAGATTCACATTACTGTAGATCTATAATTCGATAATTAATTCAGATTGTTTTCAGATTGTTGTGAAATCTTGCTTTCTTAAATCAGCTTCCATGTCCAAAAAAATTTGGATGTTACAGAAATGGAGCAACAAATCATATTTGGAAAGTTAATATTTGAAAGTGTTTCACATTAATGACCCTTATTCACCTTACCTGTTCCTACAGAGTTTGGGGAACTCACAGCGTGAATATGAGAAGCAGGTTTTATCCTACAGCATCCGCAATCAGCTGCGATTCCGCAATAACTTAGGTGAGTTATTACCCCTAACTTTATCAATTCAGGCACCCACTTAATACAAACTACATATTCTATAATGATCTATCTTTCATAAAATAAAAGGAGATTATCAAACAACATTCTCAGATCAAAATCTTTGGCTTTATCCTCTTAACAATAATAATGTATTTTTTTATTCCATCATGTGCACTTTTTGTCTTTGACCTTGTCTTAGTGATCATTAGGTTTTCTTTACACTGGCCAAGCTGTTTCAATTGACTACAGTGCTTCTCCATTCACTCTGTTGAAAGTGCTTTGTTTGTTTTACGAGCAGTGCGCCACGTGAGGAAAGATGAGCGGAAGTATTATGAGGAGCTCCTGAAGTATAGCCGTGATCACCTGATGCTGTACCCCTACCACCTGTCTGACATCATGGTCAAAGGGCTGCGGGTCACTCCCTTCTCCTATTACATAGGAATTATGGAGGTAAGCTAATGTGTAGCTACTAAACCAAACCACAATGCAAGCAACACTACACAACTTATTGTTATTATAACATGTATTATATTATTAACAGTAATTGTGCCACATTTTTTGCAAAGCTTAGGGTTAGGGTTTTATCGCTTTTGTCCATTTTTGATTGATCACCTGGTTTAATTTTGGCTTTGGCTATGTCTAATTTGGCCTTAATCCGGCTTTAGAAGTATAGATGATTTATTAATCACAAATAAAGATTTTGCCCTCCTCACTGCATGTTCAGCCTCTGATAAGGTCTCCATGGTTTGAGACAGCCTCCTGCTGAGCTCCAGTCAGAGGCTGTGACCTGCGGTTCTCCTTGACTCCTGCTGACAATTAGATTAGAGTTATGTTTGTTTGTGTGATGTGAAGGTCACCTGGGTGTTGTTATTCAGCCTTTACAATCCAAAACTAACAAGTGGGTGGCACAGTGCCACAGTAGCATCTGCCATGGAGCAAGGAGATCCTGTTTGATTCCCAGACCGTTAGACCTGTGTCTGTGAACTTTGGGTGGCAGGATATTTACTCAGTTAACAACAATGTATTGCCTAGAAACAACGTAGTAAACCAGTAAATACAACATCATATTATTTTATTTTTGGGAATTTGTTTTAGTGCGGTGTAACATTCCTACAATAACCAGCCGTAGCTGATGGAGTTATTTGAATGAAAATAGCCCATATCTGCAAAACTTTAGGGGGCAGGAGTGCTACTTTGATGTGTAGAGATTGTACAAAATTGTCCTTTCAGTGCTCTTCAGTGAGCCCATATTTGTCTTTATAATCAGTTTGTCAACTTATGCAGAATGTGTTTTTAAGACTGTCTCCTTTTTTTATCACCAGGATATTATGAACAGTGAAAAGAGCTACGACTCCCTGCCCAATTTCACTGCTGCTGACTGTGAGTCACATTTCCTCTATACATTATAAGAGCTTTGTTCTAAAATGATTAAGTAATGATACCTGTAGGATTTTTTAACGGTTTGTGTTCATGTGACAATGACGTCAACGTTATTCTAAAATACCTGCAGTGTAAAATGGAACTGGAGGACCGGTCAGAATTGTTTGGTAAAATTTGCTGTTTAACTGACAGATTACACAGTTGTTACCCTGTTTTATGATTAATATCTCCGTCATCATCAAGTCTATCCACATGAAACTAATATTGGCATAAAGTTCAATGCCTTCTCTGTCAGCCTAAGCCATTTACAATAAGAAAAGTGGTGCCCTTATTCAACCCCAAAGACATAATAGCTGTCAGTGGAAAGGACTTTAAGACATAAGATTAAACTTAATTTGTATGTATTAATATTCAGAGGAGCCTCAAGGGTAGGGCTGTTGTTTGACTTTCTATAGTTGTGTCCCTGTCAGTTTGGGGGTGGTGCCAGAGCCTGGTCCTGGCAGTACAGGACCCTCTTGCTGTGAGGACAGAAGGCTGCCCGCAGGTCGTCCTCCTCTCTCCTCTCTGGTCCCAGAGGAGCTGTGGATGTGCTCATGTGGGCGGACGGTTGTGTGTTTTTGTCTGGCTGAAGCTGCAGTACTGAAGTGTGTGCCTGTGTGTGCGTGTGTTTTTCTTCTAAACTAGGGCTGGTCGATATGATAAAAAAATTTATCACGATTTTCTTTCTTCATTGCCTAATCACATTTTTTTCCCTCTTATTTAAAACAAATAACACTGACTTTCGTTCTTAATTTCAATAAAAACAATATAGTCTTTTACAATTTCAAATGTTTTAAATCTGAACTTTGCTTTGCAACTGCTTTTACTGACAGAGGATTGGCTGTAGGCCTTTTGATTATAAAGAATCAATCTGATCACTGATGATTAGAAATGACTCTCTCCTAATCGAGCCTTACTCTCGATTACATTTTGATTAATTGATAAGCCTTTTGCTAAACTGTAACCCATCAATGTGTTAAGGATAGACGCTATTGTGGATTGAAACTGGTATCTTTTAGAGGTTACTGTAGATGAGTAATTTCTAAAGCTCCACCTGAGTCATGCTTTAATTTCTTGTTTGACATAAATAGAAGTTTCACACACAGCTGGACATTGGGATGTTGAGTTGAGTGCTCTAAATGTAAAATGCCACTTTTCATGTTTCCACAGGTCTGAGGCTTCTTGGCATTGGGAGAAACCAGTACATTGACTTAATGAACCAGTGCAGGTCCTCCAAAGTGAGCTACTCTAAAAATACATTAATTTTAGACTCTTGGCATTATTTTTTGCTTATATATGTTAATCTTTTTATCAGAAATTTTTCCGGAGAAAATCAGCTCGGGACCTGCTCCCCACTAAGCCTGTGGAGATCTCTGTGGAGCCGTGGTGGGTCGCACAGACAGGCTACATCACCGAGGATGATATCAGGGTGGGTAACACATGTCATGTTTAGTAATATTTTTAATACAACAGAATAGTCTATTCATAGTATTGTAGGACTATATCTTCTTCAGATATACTGTACATGCTCAATCTCTACTGTGTATACTTCCAGGTTTGCTCTACAGCTGAGAAAAAGGCTATAGATAAAATGATAGACTCAGGTCCTCAACTCGCTGGCTCAATGGAGTACAATGTGGTGCTAAGTGAGTTTTTATTACAGCTATTTACCTATATTACACTATGAAAGTTTATGATTTGAATTGTACATGTGTTTTTTAGGTTTGTACAATCGAGGTTTTATCTACCTGGATGTGCCCATATCTGATGACAGCTGCATTTCAGGTACATCAGTTTACCAGTTCATTTACCAGTGTTTGACATTAAGCATCCAATTTAATGAACAGATTATTTGTGCAGACAAGCACATAAAGCAACCTGCCAATATCTAGTGCAAAAATATAAAGTGTGTACACAGTAATTAGTATGGATGTGATTTTGATTATGACTTTATGATCGTGTGTGTTTTTCAGTGCCTCCATTGGAAGGCTTTGTCATGAACCGAGTCCAGGGCGATTATTTTGAAACTCTTCTGTACAAGATCTTTGTCTCCATTGATGAGCAGACAAATGTAGCCGAGGTGCGCTTTAGAACATCTGAATACACTGAATACAATATGAGCAGATGTTTATTGACCCGCATCTTAAGTGAATGCTTACATAAACATTTCCTTGTGTCCCTCAGCTTGCTAATGTGTTGGAGATCGACTTGGACTTGGTGAAGGTGAGTTGAGTCTTTGTGTTTCAGGGACTAAATGGTTACAATCAGAAAAGCTGCAAAACAATTACAAAGGAGCCAATTTCTCTGTATTCCAGTATTGGGCACTTTAGTGGGAATGACAGATGATGATGCATTGACAAATTAAAATGAAAAAACTGCTTTTATTGGTATAATTGTTTAATGCATTGTTTACATCTCTGGATGTCTGTCATCACGTCAACTTATTTTCATTTTATTGAGACTAAATTAAAAGTGGCAATTTGTTACAGAAATAAAATTGAGTCACTGACTGTAGGTGCCAAGAACTGTGTAAAAAGTGCCAACAGTAGCTGTGTTAATGCCAGATTCATTACATTTAAGATACAAGTAAAGTTTAGACTTTGGGCATAAAATATAAGTTTGGATGTTTTGACAGAATGCTGTGTCCATGTATTGCCGGTTGGGCTTTGCTGTAAAAAAGGGTCAGGTCTTCAGCTCAGACCAACTCCATCCTACCTGGAAGAATGCTCCCTCCGTCAACAGGCTCAAGTATTCATTAAACTCAATAGTTGACATGTATTTTGCAGTGTATCTCTGTCCCTGTTGTGTCTGACCTGTGGTATGTGGTCTGTCAGGAGCACCATGGACCCCCAGAGGATGCTGCTTTCCTGGGAGCAGGGGAGTCCCGTGATGGAGGGAGGCTCATCTGCCACCGACACGGACACCACCAGCCTGGAGGACCAAGGTCTGACTGACTCACACTGGTGCAAATGTACACACCCTGTTTCATGCTGATAAAAAAAAAAAAAATCTTCTTGGAAGTGAAGTTTAGAAACTGTACTTAATTAATCCCGAGGAAAGTTATTCTCTAATGAAGATGATTACACAAGAGTTTTGGACCGGTCTTACTCTAATTTTGGCCGAGATCAATATTAAGTTGGCACCGCCATCTTAAACATTTATTCACACAAAGGTTTTGTCTTTTTTTCAGCAGACACAGCAAGTGTTAGCAGTCTGAGCATCCCTGCTGCACCAACCAAGAGGATCGCTTTTCTCTTTGACTCCACCCTCACAGCCTTTCTCATGATGGGCAACTTGTCTCCGGTCAGTGGCTCAGTGAAAATACAATAATACCAAGTTATGTATTGGCCGGTCATGATAATTACTGCAGTATAGCGACTTATAGTTCAATACATGATAGATGGAACAATATATTTTGGGATTCAGTACTTATTGTGTGTAGAATTTATTTGTAATAAAAGAGATTTGAGGTATTTTTTGTTGTAATACAATAACATGAATTGCATGTTACCCCATCTTGCATTATTGTTATTGTGTCAGTAACATGAAGTAGTTTGAATATTTTTGTTTATCGCAGTGTAGCTCTGTGTGCTTCAAAAGTTTGTTATTGTGATCGACCTAGTCATATAAATAACACATTGTTGACTAAAAACATACATTATATATCCTTACAGAACTTGAAAAGCCATGCAGTGACAATGTTTGAGGTTGGAAAACTGTCTGATGAGACACTGGACAGTTTTCTGGCTGAGCTGGAGAAGGTAAGCAGGGTTAATGCATGCAAGTTTCCGAAAGCTCCACTGTCAAATCACAATTGTGTGTATTTTCTTTCATTCAGGTGGAGTCTACAGCTGAAGGAGAGGCCCAGCGTTACTTTGACCATGCACTCACTCTCAAAAACACTATTCTATTCCTGCGCTACAACAAAGAACTTACTCAGGACCAGGGACCAGACATCCCAAACATAGGTAACACTTTTTAACTGTAGAAAATAAACAAAATAATGGTTTTATTAGGGTCCACATAAAAAGTATAATTCATTTTCACTTATTCAAGTTAAGAATTAGGACAGCAACATATAGCAAACAATTGAATTGTAATCACAATTTGCAAGACTGTCACTGAAATAGCATAATTTTTCTACAACCGCAAAACATCCGGTTTAACCTGTTAACCTGTAGTTTAGACCTACGCATGCATGGGGCTTTTGTTTTATTTTAGTAGTTAATTTTAATCCACGCTTAAAATGTGGACTTTGAACTGAATCTTGTTAAAACATAATCGCAAATCTAATCGCAGTGCTTGTCAGAAAAAAAGCACAGTTCATTATTTTATTTATGTAATTTTTATGTTTTCTGTTTTTCCAAAGTTGTGTAACTCTTCTTTTTTTATTCATCCTTTCTTGTCTGCGCTGCCCTCTAGGTTTCCCATTGGACATGCTGCGCTGTGAAAGTCTGTTGGGTTTGGACCAAGCCACATGCAGCCGCGTCCTCAACAAAAACTACAAACTACTGGTCTCCATGGCACCACTTAGCAATGAGATCCGCCCCATCAGCAGCTGCACGCCCCAGGTATGCTGTCTCTGGCGGGAGGCCGGAGTGGACTGGGGGCTTTAGTTTAATATGTGTTTTGGTTTGGCTGCGGTTGCCCTGTTGCTGTGTGTAAATACTCTGCCTGCTGTTGCCCACGACGACAGCGGTACACAAAGAGAAGAGTGAGTGAGGGAGAGAGGCTAGTAGTAATTTCTGTTCTTGGCCACACTCCAGCATTTGTGGTCTCCATTGGGAATATACTTCAACTCTTTGCTGTTTATTCAAAAGCTTGTAGATGCTGGGGAACTCTCTTCTCCATCTTCTGCATATTTTTTTTTTTACACTGGTCCATACTGTTATTTTTGGCCAATGTGTGCCATCCAGTGTTGCTAGGACAGGCTTAATGAGGCATTGCCTGTCCATATACTGAGAATGAGAAAAACATGTATGTGTGCCCTCTATAGGCAGTTTGAGGTACTGGCACCCCAGGTTCAGTTGTGATTGTACTTGTAGTGAGAGGCTACATACAATTATACAAACTGTATTTTTTCAATATGCCCAACATTCATTAAAGCTCTGTTAGTAAACAAAATGACTAATTTTAGAAAATGATCCCTGTGTCTGACATTTGTGCCCTGTCTGCTGGTCCTCCCTGCAGCACATTGGTCCGGCCATCCCCGAGGTGAGCTCCATCTGGTTCAAGATGTACTTGTACCATGTGACCGGTCAAGGCCCGCCATCTCTGCTGCTGTCCAAGGGCTCCAGGCTCCGTAAACTGCCAGACATCTTCCAGGTTTGAACTAATCCTTCATCATGGCTGAATCACTATAAATTATTAAAAGAATGTAAAACATTTAGTATTTCATTTATAAGAGAGGAGATAGCGAAGGCTTAATGCACCTGGCCTGTCATGATCAAAGCAGACACATGCTGTGGCAGCTGCGTCGTACCTGTGAGGCTTCCTGCAGGTTTAGGTTCTCGGAAATATCTTGGGAATGTGAGACGGTTAACAAAAGAGATTTCATGTTAACAATGCACAGGGGAAGATGATAATATCATGCAAATGGGTCACTTTTTAGAACAGAAAAGCATGTGGTCTGCTAAATAATTTTTCAAAACCTAACTTTTAGCTTCACTTTATTTTAGCTTAACAGTTAGTGTTATGAGTTAAACTAAATTGTGAAGTAAATTTGATTACTTGTCTTTGTTTACTTCAGGTCTATGACAGGCTGTTAATCACATCCTGGGGTCATGATCCTGGAGTTGTACCCACATCCAATGTTCTCACTATGCTCAATGATGCACTCACTCACTCAGCTGTACTCATTCAGGTATGTTTTGGTTTCCTGAAACTCTTTGTTGAGATGTTCTGTATTAATAAATTATCTGAAATCTCAGGGTCACGGGATGCATGGCCATGGAGAAACCGTTCATATCCCATTCCCATTTGATGAGGAGGATCTAAAAGGAGGTTGGTTGTTTCCAAGAACAGGTGTAACTATTTTTACATTTGAAAGTGAAGAAAATGACTGTAATAATCTGATTGTCCTTCCTGTGCAGAATTCTCTTACTCGAACATGTGTGTGCACAAAGCCCTGCAGAAGCTAAAGGACTTTGTGGACCTGGAGCACCAGTGTGGCTACATCACGATGCTTAACTCCAACAACAGACATCGACGCAGGCCCAGTGACGGAGGGGAGTGCAGGGGTGAGCCCAGGCTGTGTGCTTTTACACTGTGCATTTAACACTCAAATGATCAACAAACTTAACCTTATTAAACCATCAACACTGTCCTTCCACCTAATTGCATTTTAATGTGGCCATGCAAATTAGATAAGATCACACAGACCACTTTGATTAAACTGTTTGACAGGATAATTGTCACTTTATTGAGATGGCCTTTCCTAATGGATAATTATTGAACAATTTTAACCATTTAAATGTATAATTAACAATGGTAATTGCCTTCATTGCAAATATACATATGTAGGTAACATAAGCCTAATAATAGAAATAGATAATGTATTGTGCGTGTTTGATGTGACTTCTTCAAGGTCACAAAAGCGTTTTCTCTTTCAGGAGAAACTCATCTCGGTGGAGCTTTGGACACTAATGGCAGCACAGAGTCTTTTGAGCTGGTCACAGAGGAGAACAACGGAGAGAGCAAGTCCAAAACAGACAGTAAGCGTAATGATATAATAAACACAAATGTGTAATTCAATGTGATACTAGTTTGTTGTTTTAACTGTTTCCTGCTCTGTTTAAATATCATGTGTTTTGTCACATCATTTATGTCTAGTCACTCTCCTCCTTTTATTTCAGCTCTTTCTTGTGAGGATGAGTGGGTCCCTCTTGAACTGTGCTTTGGCATGCCCCTCTTTAGCTCCGAGCTGAACCGCAAAGTGTGTCGGAAGATCGCCTCTCACAAACTCTTCAGCTCTGAGAGGTGAAGTCAAAACAATAGACTCAGAAACATCCTGAGGATTGCAGAACTTTTCAGACAGACACATTATAAACGCTATAGTCAAACTCTCTCAATGTTTTTCAGCCTCCAGGAGCTGCTGCACTCCAGTCGAAAGCTTTCACTGAAAGTGCTCAGCTTCGTTCAATCATTCCAGGTAAAACATTTGTACTGACAAAAACTGGAATCCAAACCCAGCCAATCTATAAAAGAAAATATATAAAAGATCATGAATAGCCATATTTTGTCTATAAAAAACAGGATGTACTAACCGTTACCCATTTACTCATGAATAAACTATGTAGCTGTTGTATTGAATGGTTAAACTATGTACGACATGAACACAGACTCATTTCTCATGTTTTTTCCCTGTTGACATGTCTCCTTGTCCCACATATTCTATTGTGTGCCTGGTGGGCTCTGACCTTTGCCCTTTGCCCTGTGTTGGCAGGATAGCGGCCTGGGCTCTGACCAGGACAGTGGTGTCAAACCCTTTGAGCCAGCCCCCGGCAGAAGCTGGGGTCCCACTGCCCGCCCTCAACCTGCTCTTCAAGGACGGACAGCTGAAGGAGTGGAGCGGGCGGGCCCCTCCTCCACTGGACATCTCAGCTCTTCAGAAGGAGCTCACATAAAGTACTTCAATCATAAGGAATTCACCACTCAATGTAAAAAAAACTGCTGTCCTGTAGTGTTGCGTCTGAGAAAATGAGTTATTGAGGTCTGCATTTGTGTCGCAAGGACCACTCCCTCTAAAACCTCCTCAGTAGAACATGGGGTGAATGGTCATCTGCACTTTGTCTTTTACTGACTGTGTGAGCAGACACTGGCACCACCCCTGGCTCTTCCTTGTGACGCATCCTGTCCATAGCAAGGCAGTGTTATCTGTTGGAGTGGTGCTATACAGTATAAAACAGTGATGCAGCTAAAGCCTATATTCAGTAACTGGATCCACACGCGCTGTTCTGACTCTGCAGGCCTTGCCCCTCTGTCAGTGGATGTTTTGTGACCCTTGAGAGCGGAGCGTATCGTCTTTAATATTGTATATGTGTTATAAAAATGACCCAAAAAAATAAATCGCAGTATTGAACTGACCTCTTCAGGAATCATTTGACATATGCATTTTAGGACCTCGTCTCTGGACCTGGTCGACTTGGGGCTAAATCCAGAAGTCGCTGTGTTTCATGTCAAGTGGTCTGATGCATGATACTGTTGCACAAATATTCCATAAGAAAACTTTACTTTTACTAGTGTAATTGTTGTTCTGGGCATCTTTGATTTGCACTGTGCAGGGATACTCCGACCCTGTGGCTGAAGTGATCTCATGTTTTTAGTAGTTTAATAAGGTAAATGAAGTGCACATCATTTTAAAACAATGGCCACAAGAAGGACTTAGAATGGTCTGTTATCATAATTTGAAATTGCTAATTTTATCTGCTGTTTTTTATTACATATTTAGACACCAAAGACCAGTTTTCTTTATGTACTTTTATTTTATTTTTTATTTTACTGCCTTACAATTATCTGCCAAATCTCTAAACTTGATTTGCTATGGTTTTGAAATTGCTTTGCCCTTTTAATGCAATTTTATTACATTTAATGTTTGGCCTTTTGATTACTTTCTGGATATATCATAAGCTAAACTGGTTTACAACCCACAGATGAGTTAATTGAATTCAGTTAATTGTATCTTGGTCAAACCTGCAGTGTCTAACCCAAGCTTGCTGCCCTAAAAAAATCTGTTTACTCTGGGTTTTGAAAAATGGGTTTGTAGTCCGAGAGCAGAGGGAGACTTTGGTGAATCGCTGTGATGGGCCCATGGGACAGAAATGCTAATATGTGTTGCCCAGCATCTGAAAGCAGTGATGGCCCAAAAACTGTCTGAAGCATTTTTTTCAATGGGACTCAAAAGAATAGTCTATTTCATTGTGTTCAGTAGAGAAAACCCAGAAAATACTTTTGTTGAACCTACCTTCTGCAGTTTTTGCATTAGTTGATGCTGAGCTAGAAAAAGACTACAGTGAGGTGTGAGCATGACACCTGTAGACACTGTTGTGAGTATGTTGTGTATGCGTGTAGTGCGCACCTCACTCTTAAATGTGTTAAACATGCATTCACACTAAGACCCTGTCTGTCTGGTATCTACTGTAGTTCTAGTACCCAGCCCTCCTTCAGTATACAACCACCACCTCAGTGTTTGAATAGGCTAGTTTTAAATGTCCATGTATACTTTAGGAAATCTTTGTTGTAGCTTGTTGGGACTGTGAACATCATTGACTGAGTTATTTCTGATGTTGTTCAATGGTTTAAAAAGATGAAAGTGACATTCCTTCAACATGATCTACCATCTCTGTTCCCTTTTGCTCCAAACATGTTATTTCAGATAAATATGTAAAAAGCATATGAAAATATAAATAAATATGTAATAAATGCAGATTTTTCCTTCACTGAAATACATTTTGTGTTATTTTTTTAAATCTTAACTTTGTTCTGAAGCCAGGTGTAACAGATGGTATGCGGGATGCGGAGGTCCGGATGCACTGTCCATCTGCTTCAAATATTCTCCCTGTGTTTTTAAACACACTCAGAATCCCAGTTGAATCATGGTCTTAATGTTAAAATGCAAGTAATATTTTTTTGTTATGTTTATTATCAGTAGATGTCTGACTTAGCCAACAGAAAGGACAGTCCTGTCTAATTGTCTATATGTCCCAACCTGTGTGATTTCCCAGCAGCCCACATTAATGTCACTGGGGGGGCACTAGGGCAGAAACTGGGTCATACCACCTGAGGCATGGAGACCCTCTTAAATAGGCTGCTGTGTGTCACACTTATTACTGTCTGAACACCTTTATTCTGGACCAGTGTTGGGCAGTAAGAAGTTACAAAGTAGGGATTACTGTAATCAGATTACTTTTTTTAGTAACACAGGAATGTAACTAGTTGCAACAGAAAATTTAGTAATTATATTACAGTTACTTGGGCTAGTGATTTTTGTTTTCCCCTGACAAACATGTACATTATCCATTAGAAATGTACTGTAAAACAGTAAAAAAATAAACAGGAGCATGTCCTCTGAGAAACTGAAACAAAGTGTCATTACAGTGAAGAATTCATCCCTTTTATAAGTTGGTTCCTGAGCTGCATGTCAAAGTAACATGTAGTAATACATATAAGTATAGTAATAAATACTAAATAAAGTAATCAAAGTAATATTTAGATTAAGTAATCTGACCAACACTGGTCTGGACTGAGCTGGAACTCTGTATCTGGTGAAGGTGTGGCCTCTTTTAAGTCAGTGTAATTTTCAAAAGTCTTCTAGGTGTAATGGACCAAACCTCAGCCAATATGGTTTTCTGATTGTATAATGTGATGATGTCATTCTGCCAGATTGTGGACAAGATCCAGTTTTTCCTATTAATAACATTGTACTTTGCTATAAAATATCCAAAAAGTAACTGCATTTAAATAAACAGATTATTTGTCTAGACCAATTAACATCTTGTTATACAACAAAGCGCTTCAGTTAATGACATAATGACATATATTTTAACTGGTCCCGTCTGTATTAAATAATATACTGGCCTATAGAATGTTGTAATGTCATCTGAAACCCAGCAATAGTGAAAGATCAACCTGGTTTTGCTCTACATGATTTCCCCAGCAACACTGGAAGAAGGGCCAAATGTGGAGGACAACAGAGATTACCTGACCTTCACCTGGGTTTATGATTCAAATTCAAGTTTTGTATGTTTCAGCAGACACAATTTAGGGGCAATTCATTTGGCTGAACTTTATCTGACATATTTAAAGATGCATTGCGTAACACTCCCAGTGGAGGGTCCACCACCTGCTTGTCTCCATGGAAATGTTGCTTTGTCTAGAATGTTCTACAGTATAGATTAAACCTAAGATCAAATAAGCAGGTTACAGCACTACACTACATTACAGTTCAGATCTGTGGAGAGTCGCCCCTATTCAGAAAAGGAACTATATTTTTGAGCAACAGAAACATACGTTATGAATAAATGCTAGATGTATAAGTTTAAAGTCATACCATGGAACATTCAAGGCAAAGCAATAACATCATGGAGACAAGTAGGTAGCGGACCCTTCACCAGAGAAGTTGCACATTGCACCTTTAATATTCATCTTCAGAAAAAAATTTTGTTAATTTTGAATTGACATGAAGTCAGTACGTACTTACTAATTACATCGCACCTTCTCTTTACCATTACAGTATCTCACAGCAATCGGTTCAAGACAAACAAGACTCAAGAGCTGCTCTGAACCAGATAAATAAGTGACCTTTTCCTAGCCTTTCTATTCTTTTGTTCTCTCATCACCCAAGTATCTGAAAATTGTGAGTTATAAAATGGATTATAAATTCATCCCATAAATGCAACACATTGTTCCTGTTAATTAAAAAACAACAACACTTGCTTTACACAATTTCCCAAACTAATTCTCTCCTCGATAATAAGCTGAATTAAATCTATGTTAAATCCTAAATGACCTAGATTGAATTTGACTAAACAACAAAAGCATTGACTATGGATTACACACACAAGGCAGAAATCAGGCTCAGAGATCAAGCTTGGCCCACTTCATTAATTACCTTAATAATGGTATCAGGGAGCTCAACGCCTCTGCTGCACCAAGTATACCACAATTAGTCAAGAAAAGCTTTTTATTTTAGAACTGGTCCTATCAGCTATGTGGTTTCACTGAGAGTTTGTAATCTGTGCGTTCTGGCTGCTGAACAACTGAAAGGTCAAGTGGAGGCTCTTTGGCTTATGATTTGGAAGTGAAAATGCAAAACAGTGCTGTAGTTATAGTGATTTTATGCCGCTGTCAATGCATTTTAACCATAGTGAGTTACTGACAATATATTTTTCATAGCTGATGCTGATACCGATTGTTTAGCAGAGCAACCGATGGCTGATAAACTTTTGAGGCCTATATTTTGGGCCAATTTAAAATATTTTCCCTAAAGATTATCATTTAAATTTACTACAAACTCACCACAAGTCATTTAAAAAAATATATATATATTATTATTATTATTATTATTTTTTTTTTTTTTTTTTTTTACCACAAACCTGTAAGAGAGCTGGGTTTTGTGCAGAAATCTCATACATCAGCGACATCAGCCTATTGCTAGAGATTTAAGGAGCATAGTCGGTATGCTAAAAAGTCTAAATATTGTTATATCAGTTAGCCAATATTTAGACTTCTATCTCCAACCAAATACCAAACAACCACTGGCTTATTTAGCTTTATCATTATAGCAACTTCTAAAACAGCATATTGTGTCTAGGAGTGAACATTTTATATTTTGTCTTCAAAATGTGGACATAGTGGCTTGTAAAGGCCTCATCCCGTCAGATCTCAGAAGCTAAGCAAGGCCGGGCCTGGTTAGTACTTGGACGGGAGACCACTGGGAAAATCAGGTGCCACAGTGGGGTGCCAGTGGGAATAACTGTCATTGTGTCCTTAGGCAAGACACTTCACCCACATTGCCTAGTATGAAGGAGGTGTGTGCATGAGTGATGGCGGTGGTCGGAGGGACCGATGGCGCCGATTGGCATGGCAGCCGCACTTCTGTCAGTCTGCCCCAGGGCAGCTGTGGCTACAATAGTAGCTTACCATCACCAGGTATAGAGTGAATGAATAATGCTAAATAATACTCTGTAAAGCATCTTTGTGACAAAAATGTCTGTGAAAAGCGTTATATAAATAAAGACTTTCTTATTAACTTAAAGCTGACTTGTTAAAAGTGTCAGGACTGATCAGAATTAGAAGGATTTGCCTCAACCAAACTGATGGTTAGATAGCAGGATCAGACCTGTACTGTACTCTAAAAGTGTTTTGGGGAGTAACTCAGGTGAATAGTTGCCATGGGTGATGTGATGACCAAAAGACCCAGTAGGCTAAATGCGAGATGACATATTCTTTTCTTGTAGTTTTCTTCTACAGTTTGCTCCAACATCATCGTCTAATCCAGCCTCTTTGACACTTGCAGGACAGATGCTCTCTCTCAGAAGCTGCCATTTTGGTGCACGCTGAGCACTTTCTACCTTCCTTTGGGACACGGTGGTGAGAAAATAGCCCATAACTGAGAGCGAGTCAAGGCAGGCCACAAGCCAGTGCCAGTGAAATTGAGACTTTATTGCCCCAGTAGGAGACAGAGGGGTGCAAATGACGACGATGCATGGGTCACTCAAGGATGGACAGGTGCTAAAAGAAATAAAATGACATATATTGGGTACTTATTACTGTCCTCGCTTTGGTAAAATGGTAACCACATTTTAAATTGGAAATGATCATGTCTCTTTAATAACTTGGTAATAAGTAGCTAACGTGAGGTCTGCCCTGTGTTCCCTCGTCCCCCAAATATAAATCCCCATATATAAATTGAATATATACTGGCCTGGCCCTATCCTGCAATAACAGATACAAGCTGGAGCCTTGCAACCAGATTTACTGAGGTACCAGGCCTGAGAAATTCTTGGGCTGTGTTTCGCCTTCTTGTCTTCATCTATTACACATTGTAACTGAAAATTGTAAAAATAAAAGTGATGAGGAGAAGTTTCTTTACAATATGCAATAGTGTAGTTTGTACTGACCATTCAAGTCTGACTATTGTGGTGTATAAGATGCTAAACGACAGATAAGGTTTATAGAACAGGCTGCAACATTGTAATTTGATTTTGTAATGCTTTATTAGATCAAATAATGGGTGATTTTTGTAACCCATTCGCTGTATCATTTGCCAACAGAGAGCAGGTAGGTGTGTTTACTGAAGGTAGGGCAGTGAATTTTGCGTGCACTTCCGCTTTAAAATAAGAGCTGAAGCGATGCTGAGCCCGGGCCATTGAGAGATCAGTCTCCGATCCAGACGCACCATCACTGGCTCAGCATTACACTCATGGTTTACCTTGATCAGCTTACCTGGGACTGTTTTCTTTACTTGATTCTTGTTTGTGTACGGAACTAGAGCAACAAGTAAAGCACGGCCGAATATCAGAAGCCTAACCCGTGAACGTGTAGACAGTTCCAGCTCAACTCCACTTGTTGATGTTGAGGCATTTCGTGCGTAATTTGGTTCAAACGAATGCTCTACGGAAAAAAGAAAGTTTAAAGTGGTTGTGTTTGGCTGGCAGGTGGTGATGTCTGATGAGTAGGCAGTTGTTTTTTCGGCTCGTATTACACGCTCACACGCGAGGCTGCCGCAGGTGGAGAGAGCCGTGAGCGCGCAAGAGGAGACGGAGGAAGCGGTATGGGTAGCCAGATGGACAAGTTGTCTCATTTAAGTTACGCTGAAGTTCCGACGGTGGACCCAAACGGCGTGGACACAGAGGACGGACCGCGCATTGGTGTTTCGTACATATTTTCCAACGATGACGACGAGCTGGAGGAAGGCAGCGCGGTGGACGGCTCGCACACGGACCCAAACCAGGAAGAGAAGCACTTCAACCCGGGGGACGAAGTGGAGTGCGCCGTGTACAACCGGGGTGAGTGCATCTACGAGAAGAGCACCAAATCCACCAGCCTGAACGTGTACTCCCCGGAGAACCTGCTAAATAAATGCAAAGCGGGAGACTTGGTGGAATTTGTAGCCACGGGGCAGTACCCGCACTGGGCCGTGTACGTGGGGGACTTTCAGGTGGTGCACTTACACAGAGCGGAGGTCAAAAACAGCTTTCTGACTGATGCGAGCCAAGGGAGACGGTGCAGGATTGTGAACGACTTTTATAAATTGAAACCTCTCGGAGCGGATATGGTGGTGCAAAACGCCATGGAGCAGGTGGGACTCAAGGACCGAGAATTGAGTTGGAGGAATTCTGAGTGTTTTGCGGCATGGTGCAGATTTGGAAAGAGGGAGTTTAAAATGGGAGGAGAGATACGCATAGGCAAACAACCATACAGGTTAAAAATATTTGTATCGGACAAGCGCTCGCACGTGTTGGAGTTTCAGAGTCTCGAGGACATGGTTATGGAGAAGCGCAGGAACGACCATCTGGGCAGGACAGCCGTGTTACAGGAGCTGGCGGGGCACCTGAGCAGCGTGGAGGAGGTGGAGAGGGAGCCCGCTAATGACAACCACTGACCCAGAGCCAAAAGAGCGCATTTACCACCTGCTTTTTAATCTGTAGCAAACTGCCATTGTCCAGAATGTTGTTTTCATATGAATGTCAGGTTATTGCCTTAAAGTACCATCATAGCAGTGGTTCTCAAGCTGCAAAAATAACCACCTATTTTGTTATCTATTTCCAAGTAGTTTATTACATTGTCAACACAACTAGATACAATACTGGCATTACTGCCCTCAAACTTAATAAGGATTTGACTCTACTAAATGAATGGTTAGATAGCAGGATCAGAAGTGTACTGGACTGAGGTGAATGGTTGCTATGGGTGATGTGATAACCATAATTTTCCTAGTTGTTTAGATTTCCAAGTAGTTTATTACACTCTAAAGAGGTCAGCGCAAACAGATACGTTTAAAAGTGGCATTGCTGCACCAAAACTTGGCATATTTTTATGAAGCTATTAAACTATTAAACCATTGCAAAACCAGAATGTAATCAAGGTACAGGAGTGGGCTTCACTTCAAAACTGGAACAGGAAATGAAACAGAAAATTGCTCTAAATCAAACAATGAACCTTAAGAAACCCTGACTGGTACCATTTGAGAACCAATGCTCTCATGTCAATGGCCTTACTCACATGGAAGCGGAGCGATAATTAAACCATTGAACTAATTACTCACCTCTTTTGGAGTTGTTTTTTCACTTACTAGGAGTCACTTACACACTGGCATAGCTCATAGAGTCTGGTGTTTTGATGCTTGTGAAATCGCCTCTTTATTCAAACAACACTGTTATAGCTGATCAATAAATGCAACCAAGACACTTTTGAAATGAGAAATCTGGGTACATTTGATGAAGAAGATTTAACTTGTGATATTTTGGTGTGGTATTGGCAACCCATGCTTTTATACTCTTCACATTACTTTCAGGTGTATTTGGATGTAGTGTAAATATCTTATTGGTACTGATATGGTCAAAACAACAACTAGTCAGCAGCTCAGCTCAGGGAAAGGCAATTGAAAACAGATGAATTAGCAGAAGGACCATTTGGATGACAAACCTTTTACACAAGCCCTCAATTACTCTTTCATAATAAACATGCAGCTCAGACCATCTGCCTGCATTCAACGGAAACAAAGGCTCAGACTGTGGTAAACAGTCTTTTATAAACATACATTATTGGCTATTTATTGGTGAACATACATTTAGATGCAGTTTGTTTTCCTCGAAGGCTGGAAAAATGAAACATATACTTAGCCTCGGTTCAATGTTATTATTGAACAAAACTAGTACTCAGCTGTGAAAATACAGTGGATATAAATACTTTTGACAAAGTGAAAGGTGCACAATATTTTGTCTGCCAGTTTCTTGATTCTATGGATATGTCCTGCTTCAAATGTTCCACAATATAACATTAAACAGATCTTCCTTACATTTATTCAATTATAGGTGGTTTTATTGCTCAAACATACCTAGAAAAACAGACATAAATTGGCATAAGATTGCCTCTCCGCACATCTGATCAGTAACTTGGCCTGGTTTAGTTTCCCTGATGATAAAAAAAAAAGTTTTATGCCATACTGTGAAACATTTCAGACAAAGCAATAACATCTCCATGGAGAAAATCATTTAACGGACCCTCCACCAGAAAAGCTCACAATTCACCTTTAATAATAGTAATTACTGATAATTTCTGTATTTACTTATCTTTCAATACATGAAAGATGAAACACTACATTTTGGGGCTCAGTATTTATTGTGTGTACAATTTCTTTGCAATACTGGAGATATTTGCCATTTTTATCTAATAAGTTCAAACTTGAGCTGTACAAAGTAGAATAAGTAACTTCTATGGCTTATTACTGGTTCCTTCAGCCAGGTAAAGGGTGCTGTTTAATCTGTAATATGCAGTTTTCATATAGAGAACATGCAATACAGGCCTATCAAAATTATTTGTACCCAGGGCCAGCATGCCTACATCCCTGCCTACAACAATTTTTATGTTGAAGTTCAGGCCTTTTGATACTGTCTATTTAAAAATCGGTTTATGATCGTCTGTTGCAATATTTGTTTGTAACAATATAGAGTGCCTCAAAATGTGTTATCATAATTCATGACAGGCCTATGAATTTCACTTTCTTGTTATATACCTCCAAAAGACAGTGACACTGATTCCATCTTGCAATAGTTAGAATACTGAAGTTAGAGGCTAGAATACTGTGTAAAGACTCAAACAATGGATGCTCTTGGTCAAGGATAAATGCGTCAGCCACAATATAAACAGTAAACAAAAACAACACATAGCTAATAAACTACATTTCTTTTCATTCCCAAGAACCAAAGATATTGCCATGTTCATAACATTGTCAGCATATCCACGTTATCTGTACCAAGACGTGTGCGACTTGTAGAAGTATCTTAGCTTGGACATTGCTTGTATGTAGACTGTATAAAGACCATAGATTGTTATTTATACAGTACATAGTCTGTTATCTAATGATATGACTGCAGCGAAGAAGTAGATTTATCTCATGGTGCAGTCTTGCTAATTAAAATCACTGTGTCTGCTTCCTATTAATAACAATGGACAATTGATTGGCATGGCAAAATTTTAATCAAATCTGAAGAGGCATATCCCTCCACATTGACATTCATTTGTCTTCAGGGTATCAGCTGCATTCACACTTTTTTTTTGTATGTCTTTTGTACGTTCTCCCTGGAATTAGATTTAAAGCCTTGTGTTGTTGTCCCTCCTCGACACAAGGCCAGTGTGAACAGCCCTCTCAGACAGACACACACTTCACTGATGTCGCTATATATAATGCTCTTTTTCACAGCTCCCAAAAATGTATCAGAAATATTCCCTATAACATTTTTCTGCAGGGAGTGGGCTTTAAAGGGCCCATATAATGTTATTTTCTGATCTATGTTCTAATGTTTCCTCATCACAAACATACCTGGAGTTGCATTTTGCTTCATTAACTCACTCATGTTTAACACACAAACCTTCCATACACCTTCACTAGAAGCATTTGGATAATTTCAGCCTTGAAGTTACCAATTTCTACTGAGCTAAAGGTAAAAGGTAGCTGTGAACTTGAAAACTACCACTGCATGACATCACAAAGTGGAACAGTGCTTTTAAGCTTTGGAGGTGTAGACAGATTAATAATAAAGGATGACTCAAACATGTGTGAAGGAAGCAAAGCACAACTCTAGGTGTGTTTTTGCATAAGTAACAACATTCTAACATGGCTTTAAGTTCAAAAGAGTAAATTTTTCATAATATAGGACACACTGGGGTAGTCGTTGGCACTTATGTACAAGCTGTGTCTCTAATTGTGATTATTCGAAATTTTGATTCAATTGCATTCTGTCTTTTAGTGCTTGTAGCTCTTCATTTACCCATGTGACATTTTTGTGTTTGGTTATTTCATCATTTCAATTTTAATGCAACACATGGATAATATGCTTGGTTACTGCCACCACGAATCTGCTCTGTGCAAACCTTATACCACTCATGTTGGTAAGTGGTATTGATACAGACAAACTGGATCTTACATAACTGCCACTAAATGTCATTTTCTACTGGCAGCCCTCACAAATTGGCACATGGTATCCTGCTATTGTGTATTTAAGTTTGTTGGTAACATACAATTTGATTTTGATGCATAATTTCATTGGGTATTTCATTTTTGCCAGCATTTCATTTTAAGATGTACAGAACATTTTCACCATTTCTACTGGTGCATGGCAATGTAATACCTTTGATTTTAAGAGCACTCAAATTAAAAGTAAAATTCATGCCTATCTGGAAACAATACTGTAAAGTAAAGCTGTATTCATTTAAGTGTTTTCTGTTTCTAGACTGGTTCGCTTTCCGGTGAGACCAACACAGCCGTAATAATAGAAGGCTGTCTGATTACACCTGCCATGTGGTCTGTGGCTACCTGTGCACACAATGGCTCTTTGTGCTGCAGTGATGCCCAGAAACTCCCCCAAAGCCCCAAGCACAACTCTAATAATGGGCATGAAGTCTCGGTATAGTAGAAATATATAGTGACTTTTTCACATGCTAGTTTTCAATCAAAATTAGCATGTGACTTTTCTGGTTGGGTCTCCATGAAGGGGTTAAATTAATCTACAAATTCAATCAATTAGTCAATAAAACTTTATTTATAGAGCCCTTTACATCATTCAAAGTACCCAGGGTGCTTCACATTAAAATCAACACAATATAAAAAACAATGAAAAACTATTAAATAAAACAAATTGTGTAAAGTATCACTGCATGACTGGGTGTGAATAGATGAGTTTTGAGCCTGGATTGTACATCGTGTAAAATTCTAATACCAATGCAATTTTAGACAAGTCTCTCCCTGTCTTCAGTAGACAGAATAACTGTAAATGTAAAATTACAGTGAAAAGCAGGAAGAAACATTCAGCAAATAGTCAAAGCATTCAATCACAATTTGTCAAAGTCAGATCCTTCCTTTTTTTGCTTACAGCTTTGAATGTGATTTTTTTTTATTATTACTTAATGATTTTATAACTGGTGTGCCCATGAAGTTAGCTGTCATAATGTTATGTCTGAATACTTAAAGGTGCGCTGTATAACTTTTGGTGGAAGGTCTGCCACCAGCTGGTCTCCATGGTTATTGCTTTACCTGGTATGTTCCACAATTTGACCTTAAGCATATGTATTTCCATGGTAACAGGCAAGTAATGCCATGAGGCCAATTAACAGGTCAGATCTGTGGAGATGTTACACTGCGTACAGTATGCATACATGTTTTTTGTGTAACTTATGAGCAATAAAAATGACTGTAGTTAAATTAAATGTAAGATATAAGTTTCATGCCATACTTTGGAACATTCAAAGCAAAGCAATAACGTTTCCATGTAGACAAGCAAGTGGCAACTCCTCCACCACAGAAGTTACACAGTGCACCTTTAATAATGCTTTTGGTCAAATTGTTTAGTACCAGTCTAAGCCTAATATGTCTGTCTGTTTAGGAAAAGCTTGTCTTTGCTTCTCAGTTTGTGTTTTGTTGTGGACGCTGCAGCAGTTGGCCTCTTGTTGCTGTTTGTGGTGCAGCTGAGAGACTTGAGATGCACGAGGGGCAGGTGCTTCATTGTCTGCTCATGTGGCTCTTCCCCACAGCAGCTCTGTTTGGCTACACGTCTGATTCTGCTCTGGCCATTTCTCTTGCTCTCTGGAGCCAAGATCACATTGATGGAGTTGTTCATTAGCGTAGCTGTGTTGTGATTGGTCGGCAGTTTTCTTCCTGTGGGCTGAACAGTTTAGACCTTGTTCGTAGTGTGGGAAGCAGTGAGTCACTTTGAAATGTAAAAGCCACATTACCATATTGTAACCTACCACTGTTAACGCACCATTAGGCTGCTAACTCAGAGGACACAGGGGCAGGGTGCTGGTGATTCAGAGGACACACCGAGCCAAGAGCCTCATTTTCTCTTGTTTATGTGGTTAAAAGGAATGAAAATTAATTTAATCAGAGATTAACTTTGCTCTTTATATAAATGCCACTGGATTTTTAATCTGTCTAATATTACAAGGACAACATCTGCTCTTTCCATGGTAATATTGGTGTGAGCTTTGCTTGACATTACTTCACTTGCTCCACCTTTTATATTTTAAAGGTGTTCTATGTAACTT